TTATATATCTCATGAGAAAAATATATCAATTATCATCAATTTCCATTACCTATATTCGCCGAGAAATAAATTGATAATGAGAAATTCTCAAATTTATCGATATAAATTCAAATCCTCTTCATTTCGAAAGACCCATCCATCCAAAAAAACTATATATTCAATATACCAATTAAAATATGAAATTTAAATATATAAAAGAACGATGAATGAAAATATAAAATCGAAAAAAAAAATCTCCGAGCATTCTTCATTATTTCAAATCAGAATATTCGATATTTCTCGATAATCCAATGAAAAACCAAGAAATATATTTTATATTAAGAGCATTCATCCGAAATTTCATGCAATAATATAATATCATTTCTAATCTACAAAAAAATTATAGATATGAATTCCGAATGTCCATTCCACTTTTATCATTTTCATCTAATCAAGAATATTCGTAATAAATTTATATAATAATCAAAAATAAATCTATTCAAGAACAAATGAAATAAAAAAAAGAGATTAATTATAACTACATCTCAGAATCCTAAAACCCGATATATCTAAATACCTAAAAAACTACATGAAAAAAATATTTTCCTCAAGATCTGGGATGTGAAATTGTCGGCCGCCAAAATTCGGTTTCCTCATTTTACCATCATGTCTATAGATCTTCATGATTTTGTTTTCTGTTATTCTCTGTTATCGCAGATACAATCTCTGTCCTTATCTCTTCCTCGTAGTCTATCTTTGCCCATGAATCTCTCAATCTGTGATTATCTCTCCTCTATCTGAACAATATCGTTTTCAAGTTGGTTTCAAGGCAGGGTAAATTTAGAGTACACAAGGTATCAAAGCCAGCTTGGCTTCATGTGCTGCCCTGTTTCTCTTCCATCCGCCTTCTTTGGACGGTTGACTTGCGCTTCTGGCTCCGAAACCAACCGATACTTCCGCGCTCCGCCGGCGGCATCACTCCGCAAACGAAGCCAAGAGCTGCTCCAGCTCCCTGCCATTGGGGCGGGTTTAGGGTTTAGGGGGGCAGTCGTAGGCTGAAAGGCTGGCAGCGGCCAAAGCAGGCTGCAAAGGTTTCGCCTTGCCACACCATCGTCGTCGTTTGTCCACTCGCTAACTCTGCTTGCAACCTGAGGCAAGTCAAACAGGCGTACCCCGTACCCCAGAGTATGATGATATACGCTGATCATTGTTTCAGGAACCCCAGCATGTGTACTCAAAACCTTAAACCCTAAACCCGAGGAAGTTTCAGAGCCTCCTTCAGCTCCTCCCGGGCATTCTGCATTGCCACGCCCTGACCAGCGAGCTGGAGCCTGAAATGAAAGGAGGACGCGCGCGCCCTGAATTCGAGTTCTGAGGGTAAAAAACACAGCAGGGGCCTTTTCGGATTCAACAATAGTTGGGGTTTGGCAATTAGAACAAGCAGACCAGGAACTGCCCCAGGATTTCTGTTCGCCCCTCCCCCTCAAGGTCGGGGTTCTCCCGAATCTTTCCTGGAGACCCCCCCGCAACCTCCCTTGAACCCCTCCTAAGACCGTTGTGCATGCTCCCCTGGAACCCCCCCCCACAACTCCCTTGAACCCCTCTTAAGACCGTTGTGCATGCTGCACCCCATGTTGGGCTAGCCGGCCGCGAGGCCGCGAACGCAATAGAAGCTCGGGTTCTGGGCTAGGAATTGGTCCGAGGCTAGGGTAAGCATCCAGAAAGATACACAAAGTACAAGGCCTGCGCACGTTACGAGACCCGTCTGGGGCTCAACCGTGAGGGGTCGAGCTTCCGTATGCATTTCTTGGGGGAGACTCATGTGGTTCCGCCATCGCGACCCTGAAGTTGACCAGGCAGCATCTCGATGTCGTTGAAGTTATCCCCGAAGGCGATAACTTCATCCTTCGCTTGCACCGGTGACAAGGTACGGACATCTCCTGCTGCTCTACACCGCTACACAAGAGGAGGCAGCCGAAGTCACACTCTCTTCGACTTGCCCAAGGAGTATGACTCTCATATGAGCCATCGTGTACGATCAACCGACGTCCGAACTTCGGCCGTCAGGAAAGCACGGCAGAGCCAATCCAAAAACAAAAGGCAGCGTGAATGATTGCGATGCAGGCTCCATTGAAATGCCCAGGTGTTCTGTGCAGAGTCTTCGGAGGGTGTCACCTCGCACAGAGCAGGACGACAGCACTACAGGCACATGCTCAATCGCTGCAGCATTTCGGCACCCGTGCCACAATGTTCTGTTGCTGAATGTACCGAGTAAAATTACACCCAAAACCCTAAACCCCAAACTGAAGACTAGAGCGGGTCAAGTGGCCTTTGCTAACATCTGCGGACAGGAACCTGAGATGTTCACAGGTTTCCAAGGGCTCCGGTCCCCAAACGGCAGGCAAAATGTTCGTCAGAAACTACCAAAAGACTTCACCTTCCGCGGATGCCGAGCGTGTCCTGTTACCTTTCCCAGATTCTGCCATGGTGCTCAACATGTACCTCGGCAGCCACGACGTGAGCTGCGCCAGGTGGCAGCATGGCACGGGCCTGAGTGCCCCCCCCACCCCCCCCAAAATGCATCATGCCTATGGGCCGATGGAAATTGTCTGTGGAAGAATTTCGGGGAAGTGGTAAGGACCTCTATGACCCAGCTTAGCTAGTGCTCAGGAAACAAGGAGGTCGAGTAGGGCTCACATCAACGAGCCTTGGCTGCCTGTGCCGCAGGATTCTCAGCGAGCGCAACGACCTGCAAAGCAGTTCTGGGCCAGCCAAGCATTGGTTCAGCACCTACCATTGCGTACTTCGCACCGATGACACCTCTCTCAATCATATTTGGGGCTTGGATACGAATGCTAGCCTGCTTGCGATGGTGCCACGATTCTGCAGGCCGACAAAATGGAGGTTCTTGCCCCAACAGACATCACAAACTGTGGCCACACCTTGAGCGGCGTTTCTGCGGCAAGCAGCTCCCACAAATCCTCCACACGCTCCTGACGGACTAAAACATGTTGCAGCTCGATGGCTTTTCCGTGGTAGGTATCTGTCTGGAGGAGACTTGAAGTAGCTGCGTGTGGCCCCATGCTACTCAGAGACCGCTGCGTCACTATGCAACCTCAAAAAGCGCAAAGACCCATCAACAACCAGCCTGCTCCATGCCCTCGAGCGCTTCGAAGCTTTGAAGCCACTCTTCATGGATTTCAGTTTTCCTGACGTGCTCCACGATGAATGCGTGCAGTAGCCACAGTTTGCGCCCGGTTGTCTGGAGCTCCCACACATGTTGAGGGGTCAGGAATGATGTAAAGCTGTTTGATGAGGGAATACCAAAACCAAGAAGCCTAAAGGCTTCAGTTTAGTAAGGGGCATCTGGGCGACGTGGAGGGTATGCGGTGGGTGTCTGCGGTATACATCTGGATTGCGCAGAGCCAAGAAGCGGCACCACCGAGGTGCCGTGTGCCTGGCAGTAGCTGGCACACCAGCCCCGATCATCGCAAAGCTGCAAAATGCCTCTGGGCACAGTGCAGGTCAGCCGCGATGAAAGGGAAATGCGCATAGCATTCGCATTGCCATTACGAATGCAACAATGCCACAAGTGAAGTGCAGGAACCGTAGTTTCTATGATGTCTTGAAAGTTGCTAAGCGTGATCCTGGAGTGCCAGTCAAGGAGCTCTCCGTTGCTGAGTGGCTCAAGCCTGCGGCATTTCGACAGGTCTTGGTATAGATCGACTGCGCGTCGAGAGCTGAGCCTCGTGAGATCAGCACCTCTTGCCCCTCACCAAAGGGGTCCACCAGTGTCGCCTTAGTTTACGGACAACAACATGAATGCGTCATCCTCAACTATTCCAGGGTGCAGCTCAGCTGCGCAGGCACCATTGAAACAAACGGTGGGCACCGGTCGAGTCAGGCCGAGCTCGGTCACGAAGGGCTCAGGGTTGCCAGGGTTGTCACACACCCTTCACATCCCTACACACACTCCCGACAGCCCCGTGTCCGGCCAGGCCTGTAAGGAGAGCACTGGACGCCCTGTAGCAATGATGACGTGGACCTTGGCTTCACAAACCATTCACTTGAGGCATGCTGGTGTCGCACTCTATGGGAGTTTCCAAACTTCAGGGTACCTTATTGGGGTCATTCTTGTAAGGGAACCCTACTATTTTGGGGGTCTATGTTAGGGGTCCCGTATTGTCGTAAGCGTAAGCCCGCATATCACGCTCATTCACGCTCAGGCCGACTGTCCAGAAGGCAAAGGGCACACCTCAGCACTAGGGCAAACAAGCAGCCCCTGATGCATCCTTAGCTGACTTGCACCAAGAAGCATGACAACATGACAACTGCGAGAAGCTCGACGCCAGAGTGCCCCGAAAAAAGGAGGAGATTCAATCTTCTTGATGGCTTCCACCGTCCGGGCTGTGAGCATGTGACTGCTGTTCAGCGTGGTTCCATCCAGGTCCAGCGCAACGGCGCGCCATGTGCCGCGCAAGGCTCGCATGCCCGATTGTCAAGGAAAGAGGTTCAATTGTCTGCGAGGTGACCGGTAACAGTCATCATATCGGTTCACATCGTTCAAAAGTCGGTCCATGACGTTCAGTTTTGGGCACATGTCCTCGTGTAATTCGTGGACTATATGACCCTGCTGCTATGTAGTTTCCTTTGCTTGAGGTGTGAATGGGCACAAACTTGGTTGCAGACTCTTCATTCTCGATCCTGTACATGCCGAGACCCTTAGTGCACTGGAACGACCTAACACTATGGACCTTGCGCGTTCTGGCCACTCGAGTAGCCTCAGGGTAAACCCTGGTCTGAAGCCCCCTGAACTCTGCAAAGAGGCTGAGGCCCCGTCTACGCCGTCGGCCTCTGGGCTCACTGAGTCTCGGAATCTTGATGTGCAAGAAACCTGTCCCGACATGTTTCCAGCTTTCCCAAGAAACTCTGACAACACATCCAAGACCTGACAGTTTTTGCAGACATTCTGATGTTTTGGGTGTGACTGGCGTGCGCACTTCAGACTTGCAGCCCACCTCGAAGGTGGAAGGTGATGGATCCATGCGGAGACGGTGGGGCAGTCCAAGGGGACGCTGCGGAGTGACGCAATCTCATCTCACGCATCTTCAGCACCAAGCGGCCATCGTTGAGCCATTTGAAAGGTGGCTGTGGCTGAAGCTTTGACCGTATGTATCCGTATGTCCATGCCGCCATTGCCGTGCGAGAGTGTGTCAACGTGCTCCTCCTCGCCAGGGCTCTAGACTTCGGGCTCCGCTCGTTGCGCCCTGCACCGCTGTGCGGACGTCATCGGCCTCTTCGTTCTAGATGTCCCATCCTCCCTTCAACCGGGGAAGTGGAGCCAGCAAGCCCTTCACCCTTCCTTCGACCGGCGAAGCTCAATGATAAGCTGCTGCTGCCTCCTCCGCAGGATGCATGGTGCAGCCTCCACGTCCACTGGGAAGGGCAGACGTGCTCGCCGCCTCCACCCAAATCGATCCCAGGAGAACTGTAGCTCGGTAGGGCAAAGCTGCACGTCACAGTCCATAGTGTTCTGCAACCATGAGCCAGGAAATGTGACGCATACCGAGACCTTTCCCTGAAAGGATGCGACGTGTACATCTGGCTCATTCCAGTTTAGCATGTATATCCTTGGTGATCAAGCTCATGGACGTCGGTGAACAGACATCATTCCAGAACTTCCTAGTCTGACATCATTGGTAACTGCACGTAGCTGCATCAGCTTAGCGTCGCCAGGCAAGTCTTCTCATTGGGATGTCTGGCGACGATGCGGACGCTGAAGCCTCCGGCATCAAATTCGCAGCGCAACGCCCGCCCTCCCGTGCGAGGACACGCATGCGCACGCGCACATTTGTATTACTACTGCCCATTCTTCTTCAAACTGTTCACATGACTACCAATATTCCGATTACCAATGATCCTACTGAGTCTCTGTCTCTCGCAAGTTCCGTGCCGAGCTCTCCTTGTCGCAAAGACGCCTCGAAGAATCGGTCCGAGTGCTCGGGCCTTGAGAGTTGGGTTTAGGCTTTAAGGGGCTTAGAAGATTTTTGGGAGCTTTCGGGGTAGGGTATGATTATAATAGGGGGTACTAGAATTCCCTAGTAAGGACTCTTAATACAAGGGTATGGGAGTTTGAGGGTTTTGGGGGTTGTTTCGGGTTTTCGTCTGAGGTGCTGATATCCGACACATCCTACATCTGATGCAATCGGAGCGGCTGTCGGTCCTGGTGCGCGAGCAGAAGCCTGATAGGGACATGCACTTGATCTGCTGTACATACATGCGCATCAATTAAAAAGTAAATTAATACAAAATATATTAAAAACAAACAGACCAATCAATAAGTAAACAAAAAATAAATAATAAATGAATATAAAAAATCTATTTATCATCATCATCATCATTATCATTATTATTATTATTCTTCTTCTTCTTATTATTATTATTATGAGTATATATATATATATATATATATATATATGCATATATATATATATACATGTTCCGGACTTGAACAATGAATTTCCGGTCGTTCTCCCGCCCTCCGAGAGCCTCGTAGCTTTCGGGCTTCTCAGCTCACAGATGTGCCGGAGGGTGTCCTCGCCGGTTTCGGGGGGCTCTCCGGGCTCCCACAAAAGCCAAAAACGATTTTCGAGCATCCCGGCCAGTCCAGCAAAGCCAAGTAGGGAACCCGTTCGTGAATGACATCAGCCGCCAGAAGGAGCAGCTGTGGCCTTATGGGAAAAACACAGCACATCTGATTGCTGGCACTTTGTGCGAGCCGTGTCGTTTTGAGTGTTGTCGGTGTCCCCTCTCAGCGCAGTGCTCGAAAATATCCTTGATGTCCTTCACGCTTGTGGGATCTTCCCAATCCAGGCAGGCGGCTGCCACGTCCCTGAGGGCTTTTGGGCAGGGTCTAGGGGCATGGGCCATGAGTATGTAGCCGCTAGGGTCCAGACTTTATCCATGTGTTGGAGGAAATACCTGTGCAGGTGGAGGCATAACAAGCGACAGTGTACGTCCTCGTGCCCATGTTGCCAAGGCGCTCTTCTCCAGCAGCGGCACCTCAAGTTTGCTTAAGGTTCAGCTTGCCCTCCTAGATAGAAGCGCGGAGAGCTCGACAAACAAGACCCAAGTCCCCAAACACTTCTCAAAGCCTACTCTGGATTTCTCTGGAAGGTTCCCGACACGGCACCAGCACGGGAAGGTCGCTGAGAAGGCCGCCCTTGGCCCCCAGAGCGGCGGCCACAAGCCCCACGAGCCCGGTACCGGCGCCCAGCTCCAGGATTCCTTGCGTTTTGGGGGGCATTTAGGGAGATTAGGGGTCCAGGGTTTAGGGTGCTAAGGTGGGGGGATCTCATGCTTTGGACGACGCCATCAAAAAGAACAGAGTTCTCAAGAATGCGCAGGTGCGGGCGGTCTGGCAAACCCATGGAAACCTGACAGGTTAAGGTGGCTTAGCTTCATCGATGAGGTTGCTTGAGTGCATGCCCAAACCGTTGGACAGGCTCTACACTGATAAAGGTGATAAAGGCTTCGTTCTGAAAGGAGCAAGTTTACAAACGTGGTGCAGTACGTGGCAAGCGCTCTGGCCGCTCTGGTCAGGAAGCCTACTTGGCAGTCGAGCTGCTGGCACAGGAACCAAGAAAGAAGCACAGCGGCGTCCCACACCACTGCTCCCAGCTCATCACTTTGCAGGCTTTGGCAGGCCCGCACTGTCTCGTGCCCGGCTATTGGGAAGGTGAAGAGGCTGTCTTCGTTCGTCACATCGTCCCTGCTCCAGATGGCTGGCGGCACGGTCTTGGCTACAGCATGACACATTGCAAGCACATGCATGTCAAGAGTCGCATTCACTTTCCTGCTTCATCGCTTGCTGTCGCTTCATTCAAGACTCCAGCAGGCAGGCATGTCGAATGCTCCATATGGCAACATCGACTGCGTCCTGAGGATCTGCGTACACGCACCCAAAGCTTCAGCTGTTCGCAAGCTGAGTTGACAAAAACACCTGTGTTGAGCCTCCACTCAACTCTCCGGCCGTAAGCTCCTGATGTTCAAAGGCACGTATGCATACGTTAACAATGATAGTTCTGAAGAGTGATGATAATTGCTGCTAGAATAGTGTTTACGATCATGGCTTGTTGTTATTATTATGACTACTGCTGTGAAGACCTGCTTGGAGAACATCTTGGGGCTTTGCGCCGAGGTGCGGTCAAAGCGCCGCTTTCACAGAGCGGCACGTCCAATCGGCGCGCCTCGAAGCCAAATAGGTCCTTAGGTCCTTACGCTCATTGTGGTTCTTATGTGCTGTTCGCTCGATTCCCTGCACTTTGAGGACCTAAAGCACATAAAGCACAATTGAGACACAGCCATACCGGCCTGAATCTGCTGTACCTGCCACAATGCTCATGTAGGGCCCAAAACCCCAAAACACTAAATAGCTTCACACTTCACGAATGGCGGTCTCAGAGTCCAATGCTTGGAAGAACTCCTCGGTGGCCTGCGCCAAGTAACGTCAAAATTCATGACCAACGCAAGAATACGTAACCATGAATTGCCAGCCCTCCCCCCTCCCCCTCACAAAAAAAAAAAAAACAAAAGAAACTCATGAATCCCCGAACCCCAAGATTCCCAAAAATCCGGGAAGCCTGTAGGTCACGCTCTCGCTCTGCGAGGAGGAGCTCCCCGAACCGCAGCCGCGACAGCAACCGTAGCAGGGGGGTCTGAAGCCTCGTAGGAGCTGTAAGCACCAGTGCGAGCTATTGTGGGGCAAAAGCACCCGACAAGTCTGGCGCCAGCTATCCGGTAAAAAGCACTAGACAAGTCCGGTGCGAGCTATTTGGTAAAGAACACCAGCTATTTTTCCATGTTCTTCCGGGGCGGTTGAGATCATATCTGAGGCGCAGGATGCTCCCTTTCCCAGCAGGCTCGCAAGAGAGGTACAAGACTGGCGTCGGCAATGCAGACTTTGGAACCACATCACCCGGTTTCAGTGTCAGAATCATCCAGGGCATCAGGGCATGTCGATGACATAGGCCATATAGAGGCTGATTGCCAATGAGCTTCTTTATCTTCTCTACGGCTCAGGAGCGCGTGCAGCAGGAAAATCAGCCTAAACACTCAACTTCCCCTGCACTTGTCATCCCCCTGCCTGTCAGCCCAGCTGCGTGGTCCCGGGGCAATATCATGGCCAACGGCGTACCAAAGCAAGTCAGCCCCCAGCAAAGTGTCCCAGGTCCTGCAATCTGCCAGCACTTCCCAAAGTCACCCTTCTTGCCGTCCACTGACGAACTCTGAAGGACAGTGCGACGGAATACGACAGACGCGTCTGACAAAGCCAGCGGGAAACAGCATTCAGTTTCTCGAAAATCGCAGACAAGGTGAAGAGGGAATGTGTTGCCTGTGCAAACAGACTAAACACCTTTGATTGCTGGAGTCTCGCAATGTATGGAACCTGCAGCAACGGAAGCTCTGGCCTTTCCAGTGCCCAATCTGGCGGCTCAGACCAGTCAAGGACCTGCACTTGCAAATGCAAATTGTGCTTCTTTGCGTTTGAAGGCTACTATGTCTGGCCTTCCTTTGCCAGCAGCAGCCAGCGCACTTCAGAAGCTCGACACTTTCAGCCGCGAACTTCTCAGAGGAAGAGGCCTCGGCATCCGAGGTGTAACAGAATTCAACTCACAACCTTGTCAGAAAGCAGTTTGATCGCAGGTTTCTGGGGTACACAGGCACATAGGCATCGAATTCTCACGTGCTGAAAAGCTGCGTGGATGGCTTCGAGGTCTGTCGAGGTACAGCGGTGGCCTGGCCAAGGCAAGACCGGATGTACTTCGCGGTTCACGAGTAGTTATGAATAGGTTCTAAGTATGGTAGCTAGAATGAAACGAATCCCAAGAGGCCCATATATGTTAGAACAACCTGTCTTGAGCGCCACAGGGGTCCACCCTTGCACCTCTCCCGCACCCTGCAACACTATGCAAGCTCGGGCCCCAGAGTCCATCCTGAACGATAACCCCACCCCCTTCCCTCTTAGAACCGCAATCTCAAAATGAGCTCTTTTGAGGGCGAGTGGCTGGTGCCGCATGGGGCTCGGGTGCACGAAGCCTAAAACGAGTGAGAATCCCCTTCAGGTACGGACGGGGAATAAACGCAGACCTGGGACAGCCCGATTCTCTATTTTTGCACATGCATATATATATATACACACAATTGCCCATGTTTTTTTTTGTAAATGTGTGCATACTATGAAATATCCAGTGTGTGTAGGAGACCGTGCATTAAGGCGACTCCAGAAGCGGCTTCATGGATGCTGAGGCCCCAGCCCAGGAGGGCGGCCACGAAGCCAACCAGGCCGAGTCCAGCGCCCAGCTCGAGCACCTCCTTCTGCCTCGGGAGCTTCTACAGTAAAGGGGTCCCCACCTTGCCTTCGCAGCATTGTTGCAGTACTGTTGCTGTTGGTGTCATTGGGAGTACGCTTCGGGTGTTGTTGGCGATGATGGTGATGATCCATTCTTTGTTTGTCTCAGCGTTACCAACATTATTGTTGTTGTGCTGCGGGGACTATCTGGATGATTCGGGGGCTTGCCGCTTTGGGGTTTCGAGTCACCTATGGTCAGGCGTGGTCATTCTTGATGATGGTTTGCAAGAAGTAAAGTGTCAGCACGATCAAAAGTGGTGATCAAGGTGTCTCGCAGCATCGTGCTGACTGCCACGCAAGCATGACTGACGAAGCAGCGACAGCCACCACACCATCATCGCACAAGCAAACTCCTCAACTTGTGACCCCGGCGAAGACCCGTACGCGACTCCGATACCACTGTTCAGTTTGTCACTTGTCGCGGCGCCAAGCTGCTCAGAGCCCGGAAGTAGCTGTGGGAGCGCACAAGCAAGCACAATTCCAGGATCCCACACATCTGTGCCTCCAAAAAGAAGAAGTGGCATGCAGAAGCGACATGAAGCGACAAGAGGTCGCAATGGGGCATTGTGGAGTAGCATATTCTCAAAGGGTGTGGCCTGTTTGATCGCTTTGGTGGGCTTCGATGTCATCCAGCTCCGGGCTGGGGGCAGCAATGGGCAATGGCAGCGCTGGGTACCTAGTGACGAGTCGGAATTATCAGCTGTTCTGAAAACGGCTTGATTCGGCTCGACGCTGAGAACGACTGAGAGGGCATGGTGTGCATATCCCATATCGGGGAATGTCATGATCAGCTTCTGCCGCGCATGCGTCAATCGAACCGCAATCAAGGAACTCTGCTGTCAACTTCAAAGTGCTGGCCTCAGGACGCTTTTGAAAGTGAGACTGCGCTACCTGTCGACTACAATGGCGGCAGCAACATGTGATGTCTGCAATGGCCGGCCAAGAAGCCTCTCGGAGCATGTAGGGCAGCGGAAAGAGAAGTCCATACCTGTTTCATTCAGACATGTGATTTATGTCCACGCCTTGCCATGACCATGAGTTCTTAGGAGCCTTCCACGAAAAAACAAGCTTTTCAGTTGAATTTTACAGAAACCTCATACTTCACACTAGCAAGCTGCAAGCAACCGCAGCATGAAGATTCTGACTTACGCCTTTCAGGATCAAGACATCGGCTTTGCCTGCAGTCTTGTTCTGGACCCAAGCGGGCGTATGCCTGCGCAGGAAGTGCCCAGAGATCAACATCCCTTGCCAAGGACTTTTCTTTCTCTTCGTGACTCCAGTGCGCTGTATGTCCAGAGGAAGCTTGCAGGATTCATTTTGCATTTACGATGCTTATGCTATATGACTTTAAATTATGTCATATAATTCGGATAAAAAACGGACACATGCACACACACCGCACACACACATATATATATATATATATGTATATGTATATGTATATGTATATGTATATGTATATGTCTTTTCTTTATTACAGTACATACGAGTATCTGAGTACACCGATTGTCCCGGCCTGGAGAGCCCATCGCCGCTTCGACGTCGCCACCGCAACTGTGGGCAGAATGCTGCTCCTCAAGAAAACAGGGGGGCTTCCGAAATAGAAATAAGGGGACAGCCGACACATGGTCTCCCGGCATAGTTCTGACACGCCAAGAAAAAACTCAAAGCCTTACAGATGATATGGAAATGACCTATGGTGTCGGAACTTTCCCGAGACTGTTCCCTGAAGGTCAAGACTCAGCAAACAAAACTCGCCCCAGTATCTCTTTCCTGCGACATTGCAGCGTGACGGATGCCACCGGCGCAGCATGGCTGAGAAGGACTTCATGGCTCAGCAGTGGCTCGGAATGGAGGGATGTCCTTCAAGCATATTGCTTTCAGCTGCCGCAAGCTCTCATGACCTACCGGTTGTTACTTACGGACCTTGGCACCCTATACAATCTCGTAACGGATTCTAGAAGAATCTATCACTTATGTAACACCTTAAAGACATCTCCCAGAAAAGGACAGCAACCTCTGTCCTCAGCGTGATCTGAACCTGAGCAGCACGACTTCTTGAATTCGTTGAGCAGTTGCAACGGAGGGTGGATTTAGGTTTAGATTTTAGGGTGCTTGAAGCTCTTTGAGCTAGGCGGTCAGGACATCCAACTTGTCTTAGGCGTTGCTGCAGTGCCGCTGGTTGACACTGGGTGACGAGCTTTGCTCTGAGGCTGAAGCTGGAAGGTCGTTCACCCAAGCCCATGGTGCAATTCGGCCATTCTCCTTCTGCCGCAGGACGGCTTCTGTTGCATCTTACACCATGTCATGGATCACTCCCACAGCTTCCCAGCTTCGAAATTTGGCTTGCACGATGGTGCTCCGTGCTACGCGTGCTGTGGCACAGCGAGACACTGAGAAGCCGACCTGGCGGGCGGCAACTCGTAGGGAGATGCTCTCGTCGTTCTCGTCATCCACACGGAGAACTAACCGCCAAAGCATGACACTGCTGCGGAAGCCGTTTGGCATTGCCTCAAAGATGCTGCGTCACTGCTTAGTGCGTGCTCTTTCATGCCCACTTCCAGTGCTACCCCTGCATCTCCCTACGAGGAAAGAGAGGACAAGAAGTGTGCAAGCTGCGGTGGATCTTGCCTCAAATGGACCTGGAGGTTGAAGAGGTCATGCGAAAAAACCGCCCTCTTTCGGCTAAGTTCTTTGTCGCCCGAGGTGCATGAGGCGTGCGCTTCAGCGAACTTCGAGGATTGCCCCAGTGCCCCTGAACAGACAAGGCAACACCATGGACATCGTCTAATGTTGAATAAGCAGTAGGACGATCACCCTTCGACATCAGTCAAGTTTTGGGTGTCTTCGTGATTTCGGCGCGTTTTCTCAACTTACCCAAGCGCTGCTCGGCAACTTCAAGCCTGGGACCTACAAGATTCGACTGACAAAGCTGTTGGAACAGGTAGTTGCCGGCGCTTTCGCCCCCCGAGCAAAGACCCGTCAAGAAACTACTCGAGTCAGGCAATGTTTCCATACTCACAATATTGCAGTATCTCACAGTCCGGGCGCCAAATCGCAAGACTTCTTAGTGTGGTCTGTCGAATGATCCGGCAGTCCATGCCTGCATCTCATGGCCCACCACCGGGTCCTGCGATCGAAGGGGGGAAAAAACCGGGTGATGGCTGCCTAAACCCTAAACCCGCCTCTGCAAAGGTCCAAGTGGACGTTGCGCCCCTCTGGCCGCAAGCCATGCTGTGTTCGGCCCATGTGCTGGAGACTTCACTGAAGTAAGAAGCACAAACGGCTCAATACGAGAGTAGCATCTTGAGCCATGCATTGAAGCACCATGCAAATGTGCAAGGAAGCACAGCACTTGCAAAACCCAATTATGGTACGGAGAGGTGCCCCAAAAGAGACCATCATTTAGGGAAGTGTTATGAAGTGTTCAAATGGCACCAATACTCAAAGCAGGGACTCCCCGCACTTTTTCGGCGTAGGAGTTGGAGCTCAGGTCGGGAGCGAACTTTGCACGGACCTGCGCATGGCACAGCCATGACCCGGTCTTTCTCAACAAAAGGTTTAGGGTTTGGGGAGGGTGTAGGTTTGGGATGTTACCCCCTTTTCTTACAGTCCCTTTACAGGCCTTATAATAGGGGGGGTACTATAATGTCCCGAAAAAAGGATCGCAATCAAGGATGGTTCAGGGTTACACCCGCGAATTCAAGCCACCTGCAGCCTGAAAAGGCGTGGCCTGGCCCATAAACGCAGCTGGTGGCTCCGTAGCTCCGATGTCGCCACACCTGGCACAAGGTTGGCAGTTGAGGCACCTCCTGAAAGTGATTCTCCATACCATTTTGTTACGTTTCTTACCTTCCCTTTAGCAGGCACCTATCAGGAGCATGGCCAGCAGAGCATGGCAGAGCAGTGCTCCAAGGCTTGTGTGTAACTACGGCACGCTCCCTGCGTTCCATGCCATTCCACACCAAAGCGAGGAACTATGTTCCTCGCATGTAGAATGCTCCTGAAGCATGTCATTCTTCTCAGAGCCCTCGCAATGAAGTGCCACTTGCCAAATTGATCATCTGCCGTATGCCCCTTCTCTCTCTCTCCCCAACTTAGAGCCCACGAGCCTCTTGCTGGAAGCCTCGGCCTTCGAACAGGTGAAGGCTTGTTTGGTCGGTAGAAGGGAGAGCACGCTAGCCTGCTCCACTTGGCGCGAGCCGGCCGCCTCGCTGAACAGCTGTGACGGGTTAAAGCAAGGTTTAAGGGATTAGGCATGTTTCGGTGGCTTAGGGATGCTAAGAGCAGTTTAAACAAAAGCTTCGGGTGGTTGAGGGGGCATGTTCTTGATGCCGGGCTTCTTTCGTGTTGTCCATGGCCGCATGCTTCTGAAGGGTCTCCACCACCTTGGTGCCAAGGGCATTAAGCAGAAGCGCTCTGCCCACTGGATGCTACTGGGAGGGTTTCCAGGGCCGATGCCGACTCGCACTTGTTGGTGAGAGCAAAGAGCATAGCTGTCTGACCACCTTTAGCACCACGTGCACTGGCAATACGATGTCACATCTCCATCCAAAACCCGAAAACCACTTGGGCCGAGTGCAGCACGGTTGGCAGCCAGGGCCGTATTGGCCCGAGCTGTGAGCAAGGACTTCACAACTTCTGCGTTTCCTCGCCCAGCGGCCCACCTGAGTGCTTAAATACTGCTGTGCCTCAAGACAATCCAAGAAGCCAAACGACCAAGCGATTAAGTGAACAATAGCAGGCTCGTAGGCAACGGTTGCTGCTTCTATGCTTCAGCCTCGGCACATAAGTGCCGTGAAGCCACCCAGGTCTCTTGCATTCACATCAGCCGACTCCTCGCAAGCCAACACTTCGAGACGAAACAGCTCAAACAGAGTCTCTCCGATGCGTCATGGACGCGTCGGAGCCCGGCCGTCCTCCAGGAGGATCGGAAGTATTGCAACGTCGCCGCTAGCAATAGCCTGCACATCTGTGACACCGGTCGTCCCTATGTGCCCAGAAAGAGCAAGCCCTTTGCCGCAAGGTCTAGAGATGGACATGTGGGCGCACCGTGTGCAGTGCAGTACGACCTCGAGGGTTGGCGAAGTTGATGTCAGCTTCGCCTGTCACTGCTGCGCTTTGCTACGCGTTTCGTTACACATTCTGGCCAAACGCGTGGGCACGACTTGAAAAAACGTGAGATGAGATGAGACAAGTGCAGCCATGCTGGCATGCACCCCATTCCCATCACGAGACGTGCCATGTCCAAACCCACCAAAATCCCACCTTCAAGCAACCTCAGCGCAGTGGCGCGGCGGTCGCGGAGAGAAGCATCTGCCCAGGCAGCCGCGTGGCACAGAGCAAAGAGTGGCGTCTCGCCTCGAAGAGGCTTTTTGAGCGACGACAGCTATCGCCTACTACAGAGTCCAGCCGTGGTCCATGTGATCGCGACAGACATGTGCTTTAGTCCTGCAAGATCGGCTCGATTCGCGTCTGCCCGGAACTTGAGCAGGCTGTCAACCAGCTTGAAATTGCACCTCGTCTCTCAGAACATGGCAAGGGCTGGCTGGAGCACATACGCACATCTCCAAACACAACCCCAGGAAGATGGCCGAGGTGCCGCTCGGCCGCGGCAAAAAGTGGTGTGCGATGCAAAGTCCCCAGCGCGGCATTGGGGTCCGCTCGGCCGCGGAGGAGCCTCAGAGTGCTCGGATAGGTCGGATGCCAAAATGTTAGACCAGTTAATTCTACCTGACATAAATACTCTAATGAGGCCTATTCGGCCTCATTTAAAGTATTAGTTAGGAGGGTGCTTTCTTCGAAAGCACCCATTATATTTATTTCTTCGTCACATACCCTCAGGGCGGGATGGATCTTCGATCCATCCCTTCCTTCGGGACTTCTTTGTATCGATTCGCACCCGCTTACATATCAAAACCAACAGAATGAGGAGCGAAAAAAGGAAGGTTGGGGGGTTTCGTGCATCTGAAGGAAAAATCTGGTGCACATCTTCAGTCCGCAGCTCGCCTTCGTATGCGTAGGCAGGCCGAGCTGCGCCAAGGCACACTTGTCGTCCACAGGCCCGTGGAGCAAGCTGGGGTTTCCAGGGTCACCAGCAGAGTCTGGCAGCCCAGTGTCTTGCCTGGGGTAATGCATGGCAAGACCCCTCATGTACCCAAAGAACGCTAGAATCCTCAGGGCATCCCCAAAGAAGGGTGGAAAGTGGTCCGGACCCCTGCAATAAGGGAGACGGGGATGCAAACTCAGGATCAGTCAATGTGCACGTGGACAATACTGCGAGATGGGACATGTGAAGCTGTCTGATGGTAAGCTTTTGCTGGGAGATGAACAGCCTCCTCTGCACCGAGCCCGGTGCCACCTATTATGTCAGGTTTTCGCGCATGACGTCCGGGCCGCTCCGTCATGGCCAACTTCCGCCCGAGCTCCCGCGAAATGGAAAAGCTCTGACCTCAGTATGTGACGTTGGGGCAATTGCTTCCTTCGGCGTCTGATGAACATTCCACCCCTGGACTCAGCCAGTGACGTTGCAAAGCTGTTATGCTTTGGGCTTCTGGCTGTCCCTCCGCGTTTGCCGAAGCAACCTAGGCGACGCAAGGAACAGCAGCAACAGTGGAGCACATGGTATCCCGTGGCAAGCTTAGCCGTTGCTGTCAATCGTATCCCAGAACCAGCATCTTGGCAACTACGCGGGCTCTGCTCTCACGCTCTTTTCTACTTTGGTGTGTTTGCTCGCTGTCCTTGCTGCGTCAAGGAGGCCTCCCTGAGAAGGCGACAGCCAAGATAGCAGCACGCATTGACACGAAACTTTCTGGTGTCCTTACAACTAGCCCTCATAACCCTATAACTAGAACCCCACAACCCTATAACTATAGCCCTCTAACCTTAGCACTATAACCCTATAACCCTAAAAACTATAACCCTACAACTCAACGCCGTCAGGAGCGCGGCATCGGCATCGTCTCCGGCGTGAGCTTATGAGTCTTCAGGAATGCCAGAAGCTGATCGTGAAAGTACTGAGTCATCTTTGGGGGACAGCCGCTGGCTAGCCTTCTTCACACGTCTCAACAGCAACAACAACAAAAATAGTAATAGCAGTAAGAATAACAATAATCGTAACAATAACAACAGCAAGAACAATAAACATTTCTTATAACCATAAACATAGCAATAACAATAACAATAACATGAATATTCAATGCAATAGGAAAAGAGCGTTCTCCGACCCGATTACCTCGTTCAGCAACCCGGACGCACTATCAACTGTGTTTCCTGATGAAAACCAAGGATCAGGGGCATAAACCATGTCCACTTCCCAACACCGCCCGCGACATACTCGCGCCAGCACCTCTGCAAACTCTGTACCCGTATTCTCTGGATGGGCAAGTGTTCGTTGGGAAACTTATGCAGAGATCCGCTTTTCGAAATGCATTGGCGTTCAGGACTAGGGGGGCCCAGTGGAAGCTCTACTTCTGCTCCTGACACTAGCTTGATCATTCTGCGTGACGAGTGGCTCATCGTAGCTCATCGCCTCTGCGATCTGCGGATTACGGGCCGTCAGCGCTTGGTAGTACTCCTGGACCACCTGAGGGTTTCCGAGACCGTCTGAAAACCGAGGATACCAGTGCGTGTGTACGGAGTCCTTTTTGCGGACAGTTTGGCTAGTGACGTATTTGAGGAGTACGAAGGGGGGAAGCCTCTTGTAGTTTAGAGTAAGTGCCCGCCTCTGCTTCAACAGCTGCCCTCATACCAGGGTCCATGTGGGAGATGAGAAACTGGGCAATCTCCTGAGGGCCGGAGCCAACTCCCACATTCTCCCAATCCAGGAGAATGAGCCTGAGTGCGGGTGTAGAGTTTCGGGTTCAGAAGCCACTCGAAGATCGATTGAATATCTAATGTTGTGCTGTTGGGCCTCAATTCTAACTGGGCTGCTTGAAGTCAGTAGTAGCTTCCGTGCCAGACTCAGATGCCAGCAGCATGCAGTTCGCTGGGTGGAAATCTCCATGTACCAGGCTCCAGGGTGACTTCTCCATCCAAGCCAGAAAGGACTGAAATCCACCGTTCTCCGGCTTCGCCTTCGCGATGGCGGCATCGATGCACTCCCGCAGAAAGGGGTCCCAGGCCACACCAGACGCAGCAAAGTCCAGGGATGCCCAGGCGCCTTGGCACTGCTCCTGGTACTTTTCCCAGATCTCTTGCCCTTGACCTGAAATCCAGCCTGATCCTCTAAGCCATGGATGCGTAGAAAGCCCTGCATCCCTGAAGAAGGAGCCGTGAATCCCGGCCGCTGCTCGGGCGGCAACCTTGGCTACATCAAGCGCGGAGATCCGGGCAGAGAGGCCCCGGGTCTTCTTGAGAAGGTCTGCGCCCCAGTTATGAGGTGAGCCTGGCCCAAAGAAGTAGCCACTCTGGATGCCATCGCTCAAATCCTGCATGATGATCTCCTTCTCTCCCGTTGACAGATCGCCCTGGGCATGCCAAACCGTCGGGAGTACGGAGCGAAGAGTCTCATTGGACGCAAAGGCCTTGCGGGAAGATGCGGGAAGCATGGGAGGCCAACTGGTTCACAAGCCCTTATGCACCCTTCTGCTACGCACGCCACATTCTACTTTTAAACAGGTTCTTCATGCTTTTGTTGCCGAAGCAGGAAAGGTCTGGGGTGCTCTCCTCGGAAGTAAAGAGGAACACGCCTGGCTGGCTGGGCGGAATGGTGGAACGCGGAACGGGAGCTTGTGGCATACGAGTTCGGAAGGGTGGAACGGCGGCGCTGCTTTAGCTTTGCCCCCATGCTGTTTGGGGTCTTCGCTCATGCTTCCTACTGTTTCCACTTGTGTTACTCGGGGATGGCGGACAAGTGACTGTTCAGCGGCCTCGTAGAAGAGGGCCTCCCGTGCGAGCCCAAGTTGTTTGGACATCTCGCGCTTGTCATCATCGTGGCGCTTGAAGACAAAGGTTGTTTGGGTGCCATCTTTGTAGGTTGCCAGGAGTCGCATCATGGAGCAGTTGAGTCCCCCTGCGCCGCTCATGCTCTCGGTGGCAACATCGCTGACATCATCCCTCTTCAAGCGTTCCGCAAGCCATGTGACGGAAACCTCCGCCATGGCACGGACTAGGCTTGGAAATGCTGTCAGAATTGTTCGACGATGCTTCAAGAATGCCTTTGATCTTTCTTGCTGATGTGCTACTTTGCGCTGTCGACATGTTTCTGCTGGGGGCAAGTGCACCTACGCATCATATGTCTCCAGCAGCAATCCTTCCAATCCGGTCTTCTGCATTGTTTAGCTCAGCACTCCGAGCGCCCCACCGGGACAGGGTCCGCAAACTTTTCCGGAACTGTTTCCTTTGCTTCCTGCACTTGGGAGACGACTTCGGGTGCAGCCCCCTTGATGAGAGGTACTGGCATCTAAGGCACAGCACTTGGACTTAAAGTACTTCGGTACATTCATGATTATTGGGTGAACCCTGCAATAAAAGATTAACTGGAAGGTCTTGAGAAACCACTTATTGAACTAGCAGCAAAACAAAACATTATCAAAGGTGCTTGAATGTCCAGAATTTAGGGCATTTGTTCATGACACACTACGAACTTCATGTACCTTACCAAATCTAGCGGGAAGAAGCTGCAGAAAAGATATTAATAAGGCTTGAAAGTAGAATGCGCCAATCATTAGTTTCTTTGAGCAACTCTGACCACAGCTTTCATCATTCTTTGCAGTTTTATGTCTGTGCGCCGTCAGCACGCTCTTCGGTACCATTGCTGCGGAAGCTACGCAGCCGGCCCACCTGGCCAGGTCGAGGACATGCAGCTGCCTCCTCGGCCACACCTGGGAAGAATGGCTGTTACCATGAGCGTTAAGATGCGTTGCGTGCGCGTTTAGACTTTCAAGTCTTCGCTTCTGTTGCCAAGCTTGCAGGCCCCGAGAAGGCTTGGGTAGGGCAGGTGCTGAAATCTGTATCCCGAGTTGTCACAAATGAAGACATGGAAATTTCCCAAAATAGGGGGTTCTTGAACAGGACCCCTTGGGATGTTAACAGTCCTTGAAAGGGATTATCATAGGGGTTCTGTAATCCCTATTAAGGACTGTTAGTATAAGGAGGAACATCCCAAAGGACCCCCCCCCACAACGGGTACCCTTATTTTCGGAGACCTCCACATGGGCTTGGGCATCTTGGGGGCCCCGGCCGGCCGGGGGCAGGTCATCGAAATCGAAGAAGCTTTGAGCAGAAGCAGCCGACCTTGCAGTCATGATGCACCCAAAATACAAGGGAATCCCTGCCAGGGTTTAGGGTTTAGGGTCACGAATTTCGCAACATGCTCGCGCGCTTGTGGAAGGCAGGGGCGCAGACGGAGGGAGGGGGGGGCGGTGGGCCATGCCAAGGCATGCTGAGACTCCTGGAGGCCCTGAAGGACTCCGCCAGTCTTCCACAACTTCTGATCAATAATCTAGAAGAATAAACAACACGGTGATCATAGTGTATCCCGGAAGACATCTCGGGGCCTGACGGTCCGATCGCAAGGTTTGGGTTTAGGGTTGAAGGCTAAGGCTTATGGAAATTGTATAGGGTTTGGGTCCCAATGACGTACTGACCCGAAAGCTCTTTTAGAACTTATTCTTGGAAGATCACGAAAAATCTTTAGGGCTCCTCACGCTCCTTGTTTTGAGGCCCGGCACATCATGGATACTCTGCGGGATACTTAGTGGGGGGGGGGTGGGCACTGCCGGCTGCTGCAGGTGGGCATACTCTGCAGGATTCGCTGAAAAATGCTCTGTGGACTCTTTGACTGGTGGGCAGGGTAGTCAGAGACCCGATGATGTGGGCCATGAAAACGGCTGCATTCAGCTGAAAATCCGAAAGCAGCCACAGGCCCACGAGGATTCTTCAGACAATCGCTCTTTTGGATCAAAAAAGCGGTGGCGTCGACTTGCGTACTAGCCAACTGAGCCTCCGACGCCTCCGCCTCTGCTCGCAGGCACGAGTTGTGAAAGCGCAGGATCCTCGGTAAGGTACGGGTTATTGCTTCGGTTGTAGGAGTTGAAAATGGGATTGCCGGGTTGAGGCCCTAGATTCTTAGATGGCTTACGCGGACAGTTTTGCCATTCTGGTACTATGGAAAATCGTTTGATATGAATATCTTGACTCCTTGCAGCCATGCCAGCTCCTCCAGTACCGCAGCGTCCGGCAAAGGTGCCCGCGCCCGCTGCTCCACAGGGAATACCTACAAAGATCAGCTCAGCGCGAAGCCCTAAACCCTAAACCCTAAACCCTAAAACCCTGGAACCCTAAAACCCTAAAACTCTTCTGCATCTTGGGGCTTGCTAAGCTGGGGGTTCGGTTGTGCTGTTTATGCGGGCCCCCATCTTACACGGGAACCAAAGAAAACAGTACGATGTGCGTCGAACATACCGAGCGTAGAAACCAAGAATATTGACGCACTTTGGGTACTTCAGGGCTACTCTGAATTCTCAGCGGGACTCGCTGGGAGGGATTCTTTGGAGCGAGGAGTACAGGAGAAGCGGTCGACGAGAATGCGTGAGTTCACAGTTCAGATCTAAAACCCCACACCGACGGCGGGGACATGCGGGGCGTGACAGAATTCGAGAATGTCCTGCTCTCGGATACAAGAGATGTAACGGGATGCCCATCTGATCTGCTGCTGTGATGCAGTCATTGCCACAGCGCGCTGGCATCACCACGCCGAGCGCATGATCGTCCACTCTACTTGCATCTCATCCGGACTTCTGGAATATGGAGCTGATGTGGGCATGACATGTCATTGCGCAGACATATTTCCCTGTTGGCATGTTCCTCAGAATCTCTGCAATCAGGAGTGAGGATCACACCCATTGACTGGTAGGAACCGCAAGAAGCTCTTCACATACAGAAACATAAAACTACAATCATGTGACATGATAGGAGAATAACACTAGAGTAACATGAGAATACGACAATACACTGCGAGCTGCGGGCTTCTTTGGGCACAGCTCCGGATGTCAAGCCTTGAAACTCGTCGCGGATCTCCAGTAGCACCATGGATGTACCGTACACAGCTTTTGCGCTCTTTAGGTTGGACAATTTGCCACAATCCCCCCCCGCATCCCTCCTGTGAAAGTCGCTCCCAATCAACAAGTGTGGTACGAGTAACTGCGAAGGATTGCAGTATAATAATTGTCCAGGAGCGCCAAAAAGAAGGGTCCCAAAGCCAAGAAGATGAGAAGCTCTCTCTTGCTTTCGGAAGTGTTCTGGCGGCTTGGAGGCCTTCACCCGCGTAGCTAGAGGCTTCTCCAAAACCATCCCTGTGCAAGCTTTAGTTACAGTTTGCCCCTCCGCGGAGCTCCTTGGGTCTTCTTGCTTTGTGCTTGCCCCTGCAAGGCTTACGAATCAGCGTCCTGGAAGCATGTCAGAGACAACTCGGGGCGTTGATCCCTGACTTACGCCGGGCTCCGCAGGACGCTGATGGACCTGGAGCATCCTCACTGGCCTAGCCAAGGCGGTGCTTCGGAGCTTCGGGATTCGGGTTTAGGGCACCAGTCCTGGCATCTCCAGCTGGAGCTCAGAAACGACCAAGGAAGCGCAAGTCGAAATGCAAGTGGATGCAAACCGCCAGTGTTCGCAGGTCCTTCCATCTGACTTGGGAACCTGGCTCTGCAACCGAGGAACTCCTCCAGTTTTTTCCATCTCCAACCCAAGACTCAAGGACCCTCAGGGGGCCATTCCTACCATGGAAAGATGTGGGGTTTTTTAGGGTTTAAGATAAGATTTCTCAAGATGAGCCTCGGTCAATCTTGAAATCCGAGAGCAGGAAGGGGAGATCCTCCCGCAGAGGGCCCAGACTCAGCACATTGCTTACCAACAGCAAGGGGGTTTAGGGTTTAGGGTGGGCATTTCAAGTCGTTACCCTCCGGCTCTTGTGAAAAAAATCATTGCATCAATCAACGAACCTTTGCCACGTGGGACGGCAGGATGGCCGTACCCAGCTATGCGCAGTTTCAAAACAAAGTAGCTTCAAGCAGCGTGCACGGTACCTTCACGGTAGCAGGCAGCCTTCAACTCCAGCAGTCAAGGTCAGTTGCTTTCAAAAGCAGCATACAGCAAGCTCTCTATGTGGCAGTTTGGCAGGCCTTCAGTGCACAACTCATGTATCTCTTGACCTTGCCCGAGCATGAACCACTATCACATCAAACCTCCTGCGAGTCTCCTTTGTGGTTGACTTCTTTGGGGAGTATGCGCGCGCTTGGCAGCCCAATCCTCAAAGGCGGGCATTGCCCATTCGTTGAAGTTAGTAAAAGACAACTGCCCTGAAAGTGATTGGTCTGCTCAAGCAGAATGTCAGGCTGACACTCCCTGTCCGAATGCAACACGGACAGCTGTCCTCAAGACGAATTGCGCATGCAACAGGGAAAGAGGTCCCGGCAACTTTCCTGGCAGGGATGCTACGCCGCCCTGCCGGGAGAAGCACAAGCGATCGCGAGCGCACTGTACAAGCCTGAGGCGGCCTAAGCAGGCGGGGAAATTACATAGCAACCCGGATGCTTGGAACCCTCTGGAGCTCCTCGGAGGGGCAATTGGCAATGCGAACTCTAACTCTGCTGACTTGGCTAAGATCTCCCCTCGTAAGAATTCCTTTGAGGTGTCCTTTCATCGGAGTCGTGAGGCTGAGGAGAGGCTGGTCGAGCGCTTGCTACTGCACTATCTGTACTTGTATGACCTGTATGCACTTGCATGATCGCAGGCTCCAGCCTAGAGCATCCTTGCAAGGGCCCAGGGTGGTCTGGACCGGTTTTAGGGGGTTCAGTTCAGCATGTACTGCATGATACCTGCACTATACTTGCGCCGAGCCCGAATTTGAACAAGGTCGCTGTCTGTGTATGGCGGCGCTGCTCTGAGCACTGTCGACCCTGTCTGCAACACTCGAACCCAGCCTCAACCAGGGTTAAGGCAAACACTCTCTAAGGGAAGATGCGCACAAGTATGCAGGGATATCACAAGGGAGCATAGGTGTATGCTGAAGTATGCTCCCACAGTGCGGGTGTACCTGGTGGCTTGTGATGCTTTGTGGTAGACTCTCTGCAGCAAATACCAAGGAACAGAAGCTCAGATACCCTCATCCATCATTAAGATCAACTTGGTCTGCGCCTCTTCCCACTGGCAGGGCCCTTCGAGAAGCCCAACTGCTTTTCACAGCCCGTGCAGAAGCCGTCTGATGCATCTACGCTGTGGCGTGGGGCACTACAGTCACTACCGTGCCTACCCATCTCCGTGCAGTTGGGCAAATCCTTGGAGGACTGCCTGCAGTGCAGCCTACTAACCTCGCCTCAAGATGCTATGTCATTCTGTCTCTCATTGCAACGAATTTTTGCTCACGTCTCTCACTGGTGGTGATGGAACCTGGCGAAACACGCTGACCCAGGTTGACGGGAAGTAGGCCTCCTAAGTCCCTTTCAAGCCCATCGAACCTGCCCTTGGAAGCCTGAAGCCCCTTGCTGCAACATGTGGGGATTTCGAACCTTTGAGAACCCCAAATGGGTTCCACTTTTTTTGGGACCCCCCCCCCCCTCTCCCTTCCGCAAACCTCTTCAAACCCAAAAGTCAAGCTCGAACTAGGGAGCAGCTTGGACTGTCCAGAGGCGCACCGTGTCCTGCACCACCTCGCGCAGAGGAGGTCCACCAGGGTAGATCTGGGAGCCCACTTGGCGGACGAGTCCTGACGGCCACACCCCCAAGTCCCCCAAATCCCCGACCTTGAGCCATTTTACAACCCACGTTACATCCCGACCACCCACTTTACAACCAAAGACAGCATTTTCCGACATGAGATAGCTTACATGCCAACCCTAAGCCCTAAACCCACCACTGGCTCCCAAAAAATATGTTGGGGAAGATGCCATCCTACCCCCCCTTCATAGTTTAGGGTTTGAGCCCTGGACCCTGGACCCCAACCTGAACTGACACTCCCTGACTCCAAGGCTTGTCTTCGGGGTTCGTGGTTAAAGCATGTTAAAGCATGTTAAAGCATAAGCCCTAAGTGTTGAGGGTTTAGGAGGAGGGGCAGCCGGATGAGTGGCTGTACTCGCCATTGCGGGCGGGCGTAGGAAGCTTACGAGCCGGTCGTGCCCGCTGCAGTGGTGGCAGGCCGCGCCCCAGGCGGGTCGCGCAGCGTTAGCATGAACCACTCCCCTAAACCCTAAACCCTAAACCCTTCCTACCAAGCCTTGAGTGTTGGTTTGACCCCTGACCCGGCCTGGATTGCCACAGAGTGGCAGGAGAACCTTGCTGGCCACAAGGAGCCTTCAGCAGGAGAAGCTGCGAGTTGCTTTCAAGGCTTTTAAGGCTTTGGGGTCTACTCCAAGCTATCAGAATTGATCCTCTGTGGTTCCCAAGCAAGATCTACTTGCAGCGAGGTGCTTGGCGACGACATCTGCAGCTTGGCGGAGCTGCGCCCGCGTCCGGCCCTGGCATGAGTGCGGAAATCTCGAGTGTCATTTTGCGGCTGGTGCCTGACAGAAGAACTTCGTAACGCGCAGTGGGTGACCGCAAGACAGGACATGCTATGACATGCTGAAACGCTGAATCGAGAATTCGGAGGTGCCGGTGGTCCCACTAGCCTTAACATCCCTAAACACACGAGATCGAACAATCGGAAGGGCGCGTGCCGTGCCGATTCCGCCGGCCATGATGAAGTTTTCGAGACCACCGGCATGTCAAATTCGCACAGGAACAGACTCTGTGAATGTTTAGGATGCTCACCGCCACAATTTGAATATCATTCATGCCAACACTTAAAATGTGTATAACGTTTGTCTTACTCTTCTTCGCGATCCTTCAGACATCGACACTGGCAAGGCGCGAAGCAAGAATTCACATTTCTGCCTCAGAGAGATTCTCTGAGTCGAGGAAGTCTGCCTAAAACGATGCCAAAGCCATGACAAAGCACAACGAAAGCGGGTGCAAGTGCCAGCTATTGTCAACTGGGGGTTTCCGAAAATAGGGAGACCTTATTGGGGGTCCTTATGAGAAAGGAATCCTGCTGTTTGGGGGTCTATATTAGGGGCCCCTCATTTGTCGCAAACCCCCACATAACCCCCACATCTACCTGAAGTAGCCCCTAACCCCCAAATGACCCCAAAGGTCCCTTGTAACGGCATTTATTATTTTGTAAGAGTTTGCTTCGAGCAGAAACCAGGCACATGTAACTGGTATCAAGTCTCCCAGCGGTGCTTCGGTGCTTGTCTGGGCTGGGCACGGGCGCGAGCGGCCGATGAACTCGCCGCAGCAAGAGGCTAGCACACCGCCTTGGCTGCAGTGTTAGACGAGTCTGACAAACAAATATGTATATAAGTAAATAAATACAAATGAACAAACAAATTAACAAATAATCATATATATATATATATACAAACATATATGTAGATAAAGAAACCTAGACTTCGGGGTGACCTTTCTCATGGCGGACGAGGGGAATTTGCTGCCACGAACTGCCGCCGGGGCTCTGTTCATCCAGCCCTGCGAGCTCAATGTTCCTCGGTCTTGGGCTTTTTCAAGAATCTAAAGCTCAAGTTACTTGGCCGATGCAACAGAGTTTGAGTTTTGTGCAGCGATCAGGTTCCCTGTCATCTCAGGAGTCTCAGGAAGCTGTGCCGTGGCTTGAATATGCTTGAATAGATTGAAGGCCAAGAGGCACTACCTTTGTGTCCCCCAATGACTCGTGCAGAGGGGATCGGGAGCAAAGCAGCAGCGTTACACGATGAGTCTTGCGTAGCACTTCGGCCAGCAGACCTGCCGAGGGCAACATCATTCCCGTCTGTCTATGAGTCTATGACAGGTGTTTGCACGTAGTTGCGCTCCTGACTTCAAACCTAGAATCAACAACATCAGCATCGTCATCTTCATAATCGCAGCAGCACCACTACCATCGACAGCAGGAGCCACAGCTCAGCAACAGAAACAGCAGCAGAAGCAACATCAGTCATCAGCATCTACATGGCCCCTTTCTCTGCAGACTTGTGATAGAACGATTGAAAGCATGCTGCCTGCCTCGCAAAGGGTTGCTTTGTTCCAGGGCGTTGCATTCGTCGTCTAGCACCAGAAGAATCGGAGCATGCGACCTGAACCTGGCGAAGCTTGTGAGGTGTCAAGGCAATCGTCTGTTCACAGACATTCAGCTGCCCGACTTTTTCCCTGAGATTTCTTGGGCAGCTAGAGGGGTAACAGGGGAGACCGGGGGGGAAGCCTAGGGAAACCTCAAAAGCTGCAAGGCGCCTTTCCAGCTGTTGGAGCTGCCAGGCGACACAGCGGCTGTGACCCTCTGGAGCTTCGGCCAACGAGCACGGCCCGGACCTGGCACCAAGGCTTGGTTTAGGGTTTAGGGTTTAGGGTTTAGGGTTTAGGGTTTAGGGTTTAGGGTTTAGGGTTTAGGGTTTAGGGTTTAGGGTTTAGGGTTTAGGGTTTAGGGTTTAGGGTTTAGGTCAATTGCCAAAGGTCGGCTCTGTTCCCAAGATTTGCTAATCCGCGCACGGCCTGGCCATGAAAAAGTCGACGCATTCCTCGACAAGCAGCTCGCAGAAGTTGCTTGACGGGTGAAGAGCAACATGCAAAAGATCTGCAGTGATAGCATGTGATGTCCGTTGGCGACTGCCAACTCAACATTACCCTCCTTCTGTGATTGGGAGATTCTCTTGCTGGCGAAGTCTCTTTGATAGTCTTGACAGCTCTGCTCTTCTGATCCAGGCGCACGTGCAGCACGTTGCTTGAAAAAAGCCTGGCCAACTGTCGCGCAATGGCCCAGCTTTCCCCCAAGATACTACATGTATCACCCGGAAAAATTCCCCCAACAGGGTGCAACCCGATGGTTGGAAACCCCCGAATGATTTCGGTGATGGCCGCGGACACCCACAGGTGATCATGGTGCGTCTTCGCACGTCGCACGGAGTTGCGCAAGGAGGCTTTAGGGCCTTTAGGGCTGCGGGGTGGAGGCAAGGTCAGTCACGCAGGATGCCCGATTGCCACACATTGGTTCACCATTTTGCCAAAACGGGGTCCCGAATCGTGTCCGGGGTGTGGCATTGGCTTTTTTACGAAGTTCAACAGGCGCATTGCCATTAGCTTCCTACATCGGCGAAGAAACAACCCAGAATCCAAACTCATTCCTTAAGTCTACATTCGTTGACTACATCTCAAATGCAGCACATCGACTGCCTTTAAGAAACACATTCCCAGACTCAAGAACCATACCCAGTGCTAGGCCCGCTCTGCAGGAACTCCGAGAATGCTCAATTTCGAGTGTGGACCAAGCTTGCCCTTACACACAGCACACCCTCAAAACCACGTCGGCGCCTGCCCGGACTTGCGGCAAAGCGCGCGACTTCTACACCCAGGGCGGTCTTCCCGATGCCCTGGTGTTCACTACTGTCGCAGGTGAATGGCTCAACTTTAGTGGGCCCTTGGACACGGTGTGGACTTCTCACGACAAGTGGTCGCTATGGCTGGTGTGGGAACAGTACCACATCTGCACGTGTCCGTTTGCCCACTAGCCTTTGCTCGTTCGAGGTATGTGCTCTGCAGGTGCCTCTGGACCATGCAGGGCGCAGGCACGACGGTTACGAAGAAGCATCAAAACCTGAACCAATCGATTATGGCACCATGTCAGCCACGTGGAGCTTTAAAAAACATGCCTGCTGCATGACCGGTGGGCGAAAGAAGTCCTCCACCTGCGGTGGCAGGAACGTCAGCTTGTCCTGATGAAATGGTGCAAAGCAAGCCAGCAATGAGATTCGAGACTTTGGCATGTACAGTAACAATCAGTCTGCACACTTCTATGTCAGAGACCAGCTTGCGCAGTCCTGGAAGCTGCATGCCTCCTGTCCAAAAAATGGAACCGCAAAACGCCGCATCTTCGTGGCTCCATAGCAAACTGAACCCGTCTTGGATCCGTTCGACTTTGAGCACTGCGCGCCTGGAACCCTTCGATGTCAGTGTCCCGCTGGCTAAGAACTGATGATGGCCTCAAACTGGATCGATGACGCACCCGATCTTTGGCGAAACTCTTGTCCAGGTTGCAGTGGAGCCGTGGCTAGGTTTTGTTTTGAGATCTTGTTCGGCAAGATGGAATACGTCAAGCAATGGAGAACAGTGGGCGGCTACATTGTGACGTTTTCCCTTTTAGACGTTTGATGTGGGGTTAGCGTGCTCTCTGCCCGCCTGTCCGAATACTCCATGAGCTGCCAGGATCCATCGCCACCCATGCCTGCACTCGGGCAGTCACCACCTTGGCCATACCCTTCTTACTGGAGCGCGCTGCCGGGGCGTCACGTACTGGGGGCACCCCAAAAGGCACCAAAACAAAGCGCATCACCAGACCGTTGAGTCCAGTGGTTGCTCACTCTTCAGTTCTGTGAGCAAAGGTCGCTACGAAACACAAAAAAGGCACTACTAAAGCGAGGCACATTCCAATCGGTCGTGGTTCGTGAGCAGGAGGAAAGCATTCGACTGATCGGCCACCTCCGGATGTTCGGGTCAGGGCATGCGCCTGTGGATGCTAAGCCCTAAACCCTAAACCCTAAACCCTAAACCCTAAACCCTAAACCCCAACTCCTAAACACTTGTTTAAGTATTGCATTGCAGGCACGTCGTGCCTCTGGGTGCGAGCTGGCGAGCAGTGCTTCCTTGGTATGCTCGAAGGCTGATGCGATAGACCTGGGCACCAGATATGGACGGCATCTGACGGGGGAGGGCCTCCGACAGACATGACAGACAAAATTCAGCCAAACGGCTTCCCAACAAAGAGAGCTCCGTAGAAGCGTTCGGTGAAAGCACGTGCAGTGGCATCGAGAACCGTCCTGAGGGAGAGATTGACCCGGCCATGGTACCCACTAATTGCACTTCATCTCACTAGGGAGGCTTGACACTTGCATTGCGATGGCACCTGCTTGTTGCAATAACATGCTGGCATCCACAGTCGATGAAGACCTGAATTCAGGCGCGTGCTGAAAATGAACAGCTCGCCATTGTCGCAGACCCTAAACCCCAAAACCCTAAACCCCTAAAACCCCCAAATCAGGCAAGTCGTTCCAAGAGGCCTGGGCAAGCTTCTTCGATTTGCAAGAGCTGAGGAAGACCAGGGAAACTCCACGCAGCCCGCGCCCCCCCACATTCAGGATCTTTCTGAGCTTCTCCTCGGCAACCAGTCCAAGATGCAGTGAAATCTACGAGTTTGCAGCTGCCGTGTTGCCGCTTCTCGCTATCGCAACCCTAAACCCTACATCCCACATGGGGGTCTCCGAAAATAGGGGTACCTTGTTGGGGTCCTTATTAGAGGGGGATCCTACTGTTCGGGATCTATATTGGGGTCCCCTACTTTCGTAAACCCCCAAATTGTTCTGAGCCACCATGGTGAGGCTTCGCTTGCAAGCCAAGCCACGTGGCTGCAGCTATGGACTTCTCCAGTGCCCTTGGTGCTCTCCAGAATGAGGCCTCCATCCTGACGCAAGAACGGACCAACAAGCTTTGAACCATCAGAAAGAGGGCTTTCCGAAACTTTGGATTCCCTGAGTATTTAGAACCTCCCAAGGAACGAATTCTTGCTACCAAGCATGGCGGGTCACGGCACAGAACGGCAACTCTTCCCCATCTCGCGCGGTCTCATGCATGCCGACTACCACAAGCTGTCATCCCACCTCCTACTTACTAAATAGGACAACAAGACAGTTATGCAAAGGTTCCGCCGGCACTAGACTTTGCAGGGGCGACCCTCAAGTTTGCCAAGAGCGGTCCACAGGAGCGAGTTCTGTCCGAACTGTCTTCGTAGCCCCGATACTTTAGGGTTTAGGGTTTAGGGTTGAACGGAAGGGAATGGTACACTTAGGGGGTTTCCGAAGACCGAGGTGCCCTTGGGGCTTCTGGTTGAGGGATATCCTTTTCGGGAGGTTCGTCGAACAAGGATTAGAAGATCTTGGGGGAATATCAGGGGTACCCTTTTGGGAAATGCCCGCTGTGTCACAACCCTTAAACCCTAAACGCCTAGACTTAACACTTGAGGCTTGGGTGCACCTCGTCACCATGTGCTGCTAGATGCAGGATGAGGCCGCTCCTGCCAAGGGTGGCAACTCGAAATCTGGGGTTTCTTAGGACTTAGAGTCTGGGGATTCAGGGCTCAGAAGCTTTTTTGCTTTTTGAGAGGCTGGTTTTGGGAACAACCCCACATGTGATCGCATCTCCTAACAGCTTGCACCTCGCAGTATCCTTTTTCATCCCAACTGCATTTTATCCTTGAACATCTGCTTGGCTGATTTTTACCTGGGGCCTCCCTCTCATATGAACTGCAGTAGCCTTGCAACTTGCGGGTGCTTGGACCAGTTCACAGGCAACCTGCTTGCAGTCCGGACCTGTCCTTTGCGCATGCGACAACGTCAGCAGCTTTGTCAACGAGGACGAGGAAGCCGTGCCCACATTCAGACGGACCTGCTCAGCCGAAGAACCCTACCACAACAGAGTCGAGCAGCAGCATGCTTCCCCGACCCGCCTAAAGCAATCTAAACCGGAATTTCCCCAAACCCCGACCATAATAAACATCCCTTTACAACCTACCTTCCTAAATTTTCCAACCCTAAACCCTAAACCTTCAACGCTCAACCCTGAACCCTGCCTGGCCGGTCTGGAGTCGTCCAGAATCCCTTGCGCTCGACACGATGCGGTCGATCTCGGACTCGAAATCTATGGGCAAGTAGTTCGTCAACGGCCTGATGTGGGGGTTTATGAAGATAATTGACCCCCAACACAGATCCCCAAACAGAAGGATCCCCTCAGAATAAGAACCCCAATAAAGTACCCCTAATTTAGGAAACCTTCATGTGGTTTATGGTATCCAGGGTTTAGGAGGGTTTAGGGTTGGGGGTATCTACGGTTAAGGGTTGCCGCCCTGTTCTTAGACAACAGGATGTCGGAACATGCTAGCACCGGAGCAAGCACAAGTCTACGCCATCTCACTCAGCATCCCGCGAAGCATAGAGGACGAAGAGCACGCAGAGACCAGGATCCGTGGAAGCCTGGCTTGGACCCAACGGATTCGGTGGCACAGGAGAATAGTGTGGTCGGGCTTCATTCATGGTCATTCTCAATCACAGGGTTTTGAGCTGATGCTCACACGTGCAGCTCCCCGTCTCAAATTTCGAGGCCATATCTTGCAGCCCTGTTGCGAAGCGGTTCTTGCTCTTGCCAACCATGAAGGTGCGCAAAGATCTATCTGTAAACTCATCCGTCCACATGACGGGGCTCCTCGCACACTGATGAGGACCTGGCGACGCTGCTGACTGGGCATCGCCAAAGAGGCCACTTTCAGTCGTCCTAGACACAACACGACAGTCCCCGAACATCTGAGGGCTTCCATGAGCCAAACAGCAGCCGAGCAACTTGGCCCACTTCGATGCGCTGGCGTGCCCATGTTGCTGCCAGCTTGGTGTGGAGTCCCCAGGTTTGCGGGCGTGCTCGCCTGATTCGCAGGTGATGGGAACCTTGGCTCTCGAGGGTGCTCCCACACCTTTGAGTGAGAGCGAGAGTGTGAGAGGGGTGCAAGTGTGCTTGTCACATTCTGACAAACCCGAGCAACATGCTCATGTAGAGCGAGTTTGGGCTTACCGTGGACGTCTCAGAGCCGGCGCGGTCAAAGCCTCAGATTCAAGAAGCAAGGCTCGAAGGCATGAGAAGTTGCTTCCTCTCTTTGACATCTCTCCTGACTTGACTTGCAATCCCCCCATAAACCAAGTGCAGCACACTGTAGCCAACTCGAATCCGTTCAGACAACTCTCTTTGTTTGCAGCAGGGCGCTGTGCATGCGGGTCCTTGCCGGGGTCCAGGGCGAATGTGGTGTCGCACTTCGGCTTATGGGAGGCAGCGAGAGGGGTGTCGAGGTGGAGGGCGTGGACAACGCCCGGGTCCTGCAAACGATCGGACTGGGGCGCTTCAGGCTGCAGTTAGTATTATGCGTCGGTACATGAGGAAGAAACGGCAAACCTGCTTGTAATCATGCGTTGGTCCAACCAAGCTTAGCCAGCTGAGTACGCGGCGTGCTTTGCCCAGACTGGTTCGATCGCGCGCGCGACCCACATCGACTTCTAGAGGGGCTTTGCAGCCGGAGATCCATCAGGTGGAAGTCGTCCCTGCGCAGCTGTGTTGGACCATCTTGAAGCAAGGTGAAGGGAGGCACCAATTCAGAGTCCTACAGAGTCCAACTGAATCCTATTGAGTCCTACACCGGCGACTGGGGCGACTGCAGGCCTTTCGTGGGACTCAGCGTTTTGCAGGATGGGCGGAAGCCAGCCACTGGGCCGTGCCTCCGGGACACCCTGTGCACCCTTTCAAGCATACATGCGACAAGTGACGACAACAGTCTACCATACTTACTATACCCTGCAAGTACGTGTGGCATAACCCCATGTGTCCTCCCCCCCCCCCCCTCCCCTCCTTTTGTTGCCGAGGCGCCTCGGAAGGCTCGCCCACCGGGCTGCGCTTCCCCGAGATGGCGCGCCAGAGGCTTGTCATCCCACAAAGACTACAGGAAAAGCGGCTCGACAACGTCCGAATCTCATGCGGAGCCCTTAGAGTCTTAGACCATGGCTAAAGTGTGGAATGGCTGTTTGGTGGGCCTTCTGGTTGCGCAAGTCGTTGCATGCCACAGGTTGAGTATGCTCGAGGGGCGCTCTGTGGCCCCAGGTTTCGATGAGGGAGATCTTGATATACACCTCCGATGCCACATGACAAGACTGAAATCTGCCATGAACCAACTACAATTCTGGAGCCTGGCCATGTGAGCGCACAGAAGCTGCAAGCTAAGCTGTGACGGATCCGACCTGCAACAACACTAACACGTCCACCTTGAACCCTAAACCCTAAGAGTCAAACAGAGCACCTCCCAAGCGCCTGCCCCAAAATGTCCTAAACGACACAATCTCAAGGCGAGGTCGGAGCCACATGTCGCACTTGCACTGTCTGGTATAGGCACAGGTGGTTGCTGATTGAAGGTCCTGGATCTGCGCGTTCTGGATCTCGCCAGAAAGCCTTGTTGAGCCCGTAAGAACCGCCACAGCCATGATAGGCCATGCAGGCGGGGCCAGCAAGCAATTCGCCCCTTTTTGTTACATTATCATGAGTTTGATTATGAAATATGATGAACATCATGATGATGATGATGATGATTCTGTTGATGATGACGATGATGTGATGGTGAAGTGAACCCATTAAAAGAAAAAACAGGAACCTCGGCTTGCCCCGGCTTTAGGGTTGACGAGTTCCAAGGCGTTTAACATCGGGATAAAAACTGCGATGCAATTATTCCTGTAGAAAAGACTCGCCCTTTCAAACAAGCAATCTTTTAGCCCTGAGCCTTGGCAAGGTGGGCATGGCTTAGGTAGAGCGCCGATCTTTTTCCAGAAGGTAGCTGGTTCCTTGCTGCAAAGGGCCTTGAACAGCAACTTGTCAAGAAGACAAGCAACCTGAACCCCCGCAAATCATGAGAGCCCTCAGTGAGCTTTGAATCGATATATGGGGAGTCCCGATGAGGCACCGATGATGGGGCACACAGGTTGTAGCTTCTGTACTACCCTCTCATGGTCGGCGTCGGTAAAGTGGTAGAGCCTCGGAGATGCAGCTTGGCTGTTTACCTTGGTGCCCCAAAGCTGGAAACCTTCAATGATGCAAGCCCTCAGGGTGTCAGGTGGTTTCTTCCGGCAGAAGCACATCGGCATTAACATAACATTTCAACACCACCTCCAAGGTACCGTGATGGGTAGTAGGTCTCCAGCTCCTCAACCGAGAACCCATTGTACTGCCCGCAGAAGTCGTTTCGACAGGCGGTCTGGCCATAGCTACTCGTGCGGCATGAGTACGTATGGCCAAGGTTGCCTTGGCATGCGCAAACCACTGAGTACCGCTTATCTGGCCTAGTGACGTTGGGCTCAAGAATCGAAGACCGACAGCAGAAAGTGCCAGACATCTTCAGTTTTGAAAAACAAGCAGGGCATAGCAGAGCTTCGCCCCAAAGCACCGTTTTAGCCGTGTGGGGGTTGCCTTTGCAACATCAGGTAGGAGCTTCACACCAAGGTTTCGAGCCCTGACCCTAGAGTGTGCTGAGCCCTCAGATCCGACAGCTGAAAACCTTCTGCTGAATGTGACCAGCGACAGTAACTGGATGTATCCCCATCCTCGTTACCAGGAACGTAGAGGTCGTGCCCTCCGCCGAAGGTGGGCCCATAGTTGGAATGCCCGTAGATGGAATACTGATTGTACCGGTACCTGGACGGCCCACGAGACAACTCGATCTTCATATGAGGTTCTTCAGCGCAAGAGCCAGCTGCCGCAGGGGCTTTTGAAGAGGTTCGTCATTGAGGGCTGATGAGCCGACACTTGCCTCATGTACTATGATGTACTACGATGCCGTGGATCCGCTACTTAGGAGCTTCTTGTGAGCCCTTCAGATGAGGCTTGCAAGCGGTGCAAGGCCAGGGCCAGAGCATAGAGTCAAGTCGACCCGACCCGGCACCTCGAACCTCCCTTCAGCTGTCCAATCTTCAGCTCCGTCCCCACACTTTTCACCAAACATAAACCTCCACAGCTTCTCAGCACGACCGAGGCACACGTTGTGCTTGAAGCCGTTCGTGAGCGAGAACAGCCAGCTGTCTCCCGTCTGGGCAGAGTTGCGCTTAGTTGCACGAGGTTGTGTTCCAGGGTCTGTTCAGGTTTATGCAGCTGTGTTCGGGCGAGCAGCGGTTCCAGTCACTCAAAGCCCGACACTGGGCTCCAGGCGTTTTGATTTGTGTACGATCCATGGCCTCGACCTGCCTTGCTGAAGCCTTAGCTGAGTCACCTCAAGATCCCAACACAAACAAGATTGCGACTTTGGCAGCATTTTTCATGCGCTGGCAGTGGCCCGACTCTTCTTTGACTTAAATGGCCCATCAACTGACAAATCACGGACCTCGGTGACCTCTTTTGGCTGCCTTCTTTCCGACATTTTCAAGGGCTGCTTGGCAAGGATCCGCCGATGACTTTGCCAGTGCTCAACCTTGGAAACGCAAAACAAGAACTAAATACTTGTAGAGGAGCAAAGAGCAGGATATAGCAGGATGATGGCCGCGATCTTTTGTCGTTGCTGCTGCTGTTGTTTGCCGTTGTATGCGCTTGTGCCCACCCTCGGTGTAGGGCTGCTAGGTTTCTGAGAAAACCAATCTCCTCGCCTCCTCGACCGGTGTCCGCCCGGTCTCCTGGCCTGGTCCCTCCACTCCCTGGCCCTCCGCCGGCCTCCACCACCCACCGCGACATAAAGGATAAAACCAAAACGTGTCCTAACAACAAACCTGAAATCAATAATCGTTTCAGGAAGAGTTTCCGAACACCAGGCCAGAAAACATATCCGCCGACCCCAGCGGTAGCAGGGCGGCGTCAGTGAAGACCCCCCACCGCCCTCACCGCCCTCACCCGCTCTCACAGCATGCTGCTCATGACACCTTGAATTGGAGTGTTTTTGCATTGTTTGGCTTTAGTGCATGCCCAAACCCCGCCACCCATCGCCCTCACCCATGATTGGACCTTTGACCCCCCCCCACCCCATCCATTCAGGTGGTTTAAAGGGTCCAGTGCATGCCCCCCCCCCACCCCCCCCACCCCCCCCACCCCCCCCACCTCCCCCCACACCCCCCCACCCCCCCACCCCCCCCCAACCCCCCCCACGGCCCCCCCCTCCTGTAGGCCTCGCCCCTACCCCTACCCGCCCCTGACCAATCTCTGGTGTTTTAAAAAAAAAACCAGTCCACGCCCCCCTTCTCCCCCCCCCCCACCCCCCCCCCACCCCCCCCCCCCCCCCCACCCCCCACCCCCCCACCCCCCCCACCCCCCCCCAGCCCCCCCACCCGCCCCCACCCTCCTGTCGGCCTCGCCCCTACTCCGCCCCTGACCAATCTCTGGTGTTTTAAAGGAAACCAGTCCATGCCCGCCCTGCACCGCTCTCCCCCCCCCACCCCCCCGCCACCCCCACCCTGTAGGCCTCGCCGCCCCTGACCAATCTTTAGTGTTTTAAGGATTCCAGTCCATGCCCGCCCTGACCGCCCTCACCGCTCTCATCACTCCCCCTCCCTCCACCCCTCCCTCCCTGACACCAACCCTTTACCCTCAACCCCCACCCGCCGCCTCGACTCTGAAACCCCACCCCCCCCCACCCCCCCCATCCCTTCCCTCCTAGGCCCCTACCCCCTACTCCGCCCCTGACAAATCTCTAGTTTGAGGGATTCCAATCCACGCCCGCCCTAACCGCCTCCCCGCTCTCATCACTCCCCTGCCTTCCGCCCCCAACTCCACCAACCCTCGACCGTCCCTCATCATTACCCCCTCCCACCATCGTGCACCATCCGACCGCCCCCCCGCTCTCACCGCTCTCATCGCTTCTTCATCTCTATGCCCCCCAGTCCACCCCTGCCTTCCGCCCCCAACTCCCTAATCCGACACCAACCCTCTACCGTCACCCCCCACACCCCCCACCCCCGCCGCCCCCCTTTCCACCCCCACCCACCCCCACCCCCCCCGCCCCCGCCCCCCCCGCCTGCCCGCGCTCCACCCTGCCTTCCGCCCCAATGCGACTGTCTTGGGTCTGGGGTCGGCGGCACTGGCGGTAGCCATTAAATCGGGCAGCGCGAGGTCCCCAAAGGACCGAGCAAATGCGGACCTTTTAGCCCGGGTCGTCCCGGGAATAGCCTTGCTGGCCTCTGGCCTTCTGCGAAGCAGAATTTCAGGCCTAGCGGCACGGGCCGGCCCCCGCCCCCCAAAGCACGAAACCTTGAACCTTGGCACTGTCTTCTCTTTCCCGTGTCTTTGTCCTCTCCTTCTCTCTGTCTCTCTTTCTCCTGCCTTCGCCCCCCCTCCCTCCCCCGCGCGCCCGCGCGCCGCGCGCGCGCGCGCGCACCCGCATCAGGAGCATCAGTGGGGTTGGTTTGGGGGCCTTAAAAGCATTCTATGCATGCGTTTTGCCTTCGAAAAACCTTCAGAAAACGCTGTAAACACGTGTTTTTGGGCTTGGGAAGCCTTTTGGGACCCAGGAAAGGGAGCATCATGAGCATCAGCGGCCTCCCCCAGGCCATCCAAAACCCCCTTAAACACGCCGATTGTATGTGCTTGAACGCTTGCGTGCCCACGAAACCCCCAAAAGCAAGACCCCGAATGCCCTTAAGGGCATTCGGGGTCCTGCTGTTCGGGTGTTTTGTAGGCACGAAGCCGTTCGAGCGCGTAAAATGAGCGATTTTAGGGGCGTTTTTACGTGGACCCACAAAACACTCGGTATTTACGAGGTTTTCTGCTGTTGGAACACCCCCCCAAACCGAGCATCATGAGCATCAGCTGGGTCTCTGGGCCGTGGGCCCGGACCCCCCCACGAAGCCCAAGAGAAGCGATGGCTCGATGATGCGCCCGGACCCCGCGCATCAGCAGCATCAGCAGACCCCCCCCCGGACGTGGGTTTCGATGATGCGCACTTTGGGGGCGGGTCAAGGGCAACAGGGGTGGGGGTCGGAGGCACGCGTGAAAAACCTCATAAAAACACGGTATTTACGGTGATTTCAGCGTTTTTCAGCGTTTTTTATTGCCTTGGGCCCGCGGGCCAGGGCTGCTGATGCTCATGATGCTCGCCTGGTTTTGGGCTTCCGGTACCCCCCCCAAACCTTGAAAAACGTGGTTTCGGCCTGGCGCGCGCCCCATGTGAAAAGCTAGGGCCGATGATGCGCGCCCGTGAGGGTTTAATGGGGTGCTGCGGGTGTTTTGTGGCCTCGGTTTTTCGTAAAAACCCATGGTTTTTACGAGGTTTTCGTGCTTTTCGCACCACCGCGTGTTGCGTCCCCTTGGATGCCGTTTTGGAGGCCTCCCGAAGGGCCCCGCGCGAATTTGAAGCAATTTTGGGCGGGGTCGGCGGCTCGGGCGCTCGCCCCTTAAAGCTAGCGCTTTAGTGCGACGCGGGCTCCGCCCTGGACCACGGGCGGCGCGGGGGCCGGATTAGGCCGGACGCCAGTGCCGCCGACCCCCGCGTGCCGCCGGTGAACGGTTTTTTTTTCGTGGTTTTTTGCGTCGCCACGCAGGCCCCCAGAGGGCGCGCATCATGAGCATCAGCGGGTCCAGCCCGGGACCCCCAGGCGCGCATCAGGAGCATCAGCGGCTCCCGGGGCGGGACCCCGGGGGCGCATCAGGAGCATGAGGCCCCCCAAAGGGCGGGCATAAGCGACGTGTCTAAGCCCGGGGCTAGGAAAAAGGGAGTGCTTAGAACCGTTAAGGCCGTTAAGGGAGTCTAGGGGCCTCAAACGCTTAGAGATTTGAAGGGAGTTTAGGGGCCTGAAAATGCTTAGAAACTTAACGCTTAGAGATTTTAAGGGAGTTTAGGGGCCTCAACATGCTTAGAAACTGCTCGCCCCGGGCTTCTGCGTGCGCTGCCCGCCCATGGGCGCAGCCCCTTAAAATAAATAAATAAATATATATATATGGTACCCCCCCCCAAAACCTACCGTTTCATACCCTTTTCTATGTCGAGACGTGTTTACTATATTCGAAGCCGGATATATATATGGACATATATCTATAGATATACATAAAATACGAAATAGCAAATACTTAAAGACGCCGAAAAAATCTGCAGGGCCAGGAGTTTTAAAACTCCTCTTGTGGCTAAGCAAGGAGTTTTAAAACTCCTGGCCCCGAAGATTGAAGATTGAAGATTCCCCAGAACTCTTTCCAGGAATCTTCAATCTTCAAGCTTAGGGGCCGGGAGTTTTAAAACTCCTCTTGTGGCTAAGCAAGGAGTTTTAAAACTCCTGGCCCCGAAGATTGAAGATTGAAGATTCCCCAGAACTCTTTCCAGGAATCTTCAATCTTAGGGGCCGGGAGTTTTAAAACTCCTCTTGTGGCTAAGTAAGGAGTTTTAAAACTCCTGGCCCCGAAGATTGAAGACTGAAGATTCCTGGAAAGAGTTCCGGGGAATCTTCAATCTTCAATCTTCAGTGGCAGGAGTTTTAAAACTCCTCTCGTGGCTAAGCAAGGAGTTTTAAAACTCTTGGCCCCGACAATCTTCAATCTTCGGTGGCAGGAGTTTTAAATGGCTAAGCAAGGAGTTTTAAAACTCCCGGTCCTGAAGATTTTTTCTTATGGTTAAAAAATATATTCCGCAACTCTAGGCCATGGTATTGTATATTACGCCACTGAAAGTGGTTCCAGTATGTATGCGTTGAATCGACTCAATTTCGACGCGCAGCTTGGGCTATAAACGCGCAGTTTCCAGCCATAGCATACGCGTACTCCTCATATAAGGTTTGAAGGTTATGTGTTTCAGTTTAATTGCAGGCTTAGGTTGAAAATCATTTATCTTAAGCCCTAAACCTTTAGACCTTAACCCTATAAAGTTTTCAGGCTGCAGGTTTCGGTTTAATTGCACGTCAAGGGTTCACTACCAATATCTTAAACCCTAGACCTTGAATTAACCCATAAAGTTTAAGGGTTTCGGTGTACTGGCAGGTCAAGGTTTAAATGCCTATATCTTAAACCCTAAACCTTTAAATCTTAACCCTACAGGGTTTAAAGGTTAAAGAATTAGGCTTAATTATTTGTTTCATTCTAAGGGTTTCGGGGCTTTTCTTTAAAACCCTAAACCCTGGATCGATAGGGGTTTAGAGTGCCTATATCTTAAACCCTATACCTTTAAACCTTAACCCTGCAAGGGTTAAAGGTTTCGCGTTTCCGTTGAGTTGTAGGTCAAGGTTTACATGTCTAAACTTAATCCTAAACCTTTAAACCTTAACCCTATAGGGTGTTTAAAGGTCCAGGGTTGAGGTTTAATTGCTTAACCCTACGTTAACACCCTAAACCCTGGACCGATAGGGTTTTGGAGAATAAGCCTGACAACACCCTTAAACAAACGCAGAACGCGCAGCGGAGTGAAGTAGAGGGGAGGGGGGGGGGAGGGGGGTGGTGGGGAGTGTTTTTTGGTCCTGCTTATTTTGGAAGACCGACCCCTGGCACCCTCTCCCCTTTTAATTAGAAGCAAACTAAGTCCTTATAAGCAAATTTGTTGTGTTGTGGAGATTGAGTACACAGATTACATGCCAACTCATACATATAAAGCCGATACACAGTATGAATATGCATGTGAGTATTGCAACATTACGACGACTTCAATCTTTAGTTTGAGGGTCGATTCAAAACTGAATCGGCCGATTCAAGTTTGAATCGGACATATTTCATCATTATATTGGATCCCGCTCTTTAGGACTTTTTGGCGAGCAGGATTTAGGGAATAGGCGCTGAAGTGGGGAGCATCCCAAAGCTTAGTTCCCAAATCCTATTTTCTAAGGGAGCCCAAACCTTATCGCTAAGGCTTTAGCGTTAGCGAGAAGATTTATTGAGCAAGGTGGGCTTTTGTATGAGTTAGGGGGGGGGGTCTCATTTTTGGGGTTTTAAGGCTATTTTTTAGGTTCCCTCTTTAGGATTTGGTGACTCCCTCCCACCCCCCCTTCCCCAATAGGATTTAGGGAGTAAAATTAAGAGAATAAGATTGAGGGATCCTTCTTTGTTGACTTTAGCGATAAGATCTACTGAGCAAGGTTCTTTGTTTTATGATGTAGAAGGAGAGGCTCATTTTTAAGATTTACAGTAAGGATCCCCCTCTTTAGGACACCCCTCTTTAAGGCTTAAGCAATAGGATTTAGAGAGTAAAACTAAGGGAATGCTTTTTAGGATTTAGGGGACCTCCTCTTTAGGATTTAGCCCCCCCCCCCTTTAGGCGGCCTTAGCGAGTTAATTTCAGGGAACCAGATCTAGGGATCCCGATAAGATTTTATCCGAGCATCTGTTTAATTGGTGGGACCCCCGGCCCACCGCAATAAGTAAGAAAGGCAGGGCACTGCAATAATGAGACCATGGCAATGTATGCATTCTCTATTAAGCACATTAGGAATATATTGTAGTTTCGACGATCCAGACTGCAGCTCAGAAATCAAAAACGAAGCCTGCAGACAGATTTTTGAACCCCCCCGGAAACAATTCTTTCAATGTGGCGGTATTTCCCCATATGGAAACCCCCGTAATGGAAAGCAGTCTCACAGCCGGATTTTCGACGAAAAATATTTCTTTAAATGTGGAGGTAGTAATTCCCTTTTGGAATTCAGCGGCTCTCCTCTTCAGAATTTCAAGACTTCCCTCTTTAGGGCTTTGGGAAAAGACTTAGGGAGTAAAATCATGGGAATATGATTTAGGGACCCCGCTCTTTAGGATTTAGCGAGAAGATTTAGTGAGCCATTTAGTGACCCACCGCCCCCCCCCCGCCCGCACCAGATTTAGGGACTGAGGGAATATGATTCAGGGAATACGATGTAGGGATCCCGTGCTTTCGGACTTAGCGAGCAGGATTTTGGGAACAGGCTTCGTTTTTTCGGAAATAGGGGTTTATGCAATAGAAAATTGTGCGAATAAGGTTAAAGGATTTAGGAAGCCGGTCTCAATTTTGAAGCGTTTTGGTGTCACGCAAGTGTAGAAAATTAGAAAACGGTAGGTTTTGGAGGGGGGGGGGTAGCATATATATATATATATATATATGTAGTAAGTTTGTTTCGTTTGGATGTCTTATTCATGGTTGCGTACTGCATGATATTAGTTCGAGCGAAGAGCCCATCAGAGTTTCAACAAGACTCACAACCTACGGCTTCGGCCATGATCCTGAACTGTTGCCCGCAACCTCCAAAATATCAGTGGAACCCTTCGCCTCCAAACTTTGTTGTCCCAGTTGCTTCATGACGGTCAAAGTGTTCGCATACGAACGGCATTTGTTCCACCACTGGCCATTCGAAGTTCCTGGGGCCCGTTGCCGAGCCCAATGCTGAGTCGGCAAGGTATGCAACGGCACGGGGCGAGTGCTGCAAAATGCTCAGCACTTGCAAAGAGTGGTCTGTAGTCTGGTCATGTCTGGTCGCACACGCTCGCATGCATGGACGCAATGTTCTCTGGATTCACTTTGCTAACCCTTCAGGCAACGAACCCACCTCTCACGCCGCAAATGTACAGGGCTGCCGCTTCAACTTCCAGCGCTGTCAAAGGGTATCAGAGACTTGTCCCTTTTACAAAATCAAGCCAACAAGGAGTTCGGGGCTGCATCGACAACTGGATCTTCTAGCCCCCTAGACCCTAAACCCTAAACCCTAATGAACATAGAAGCTTGGTCGTTGCCGAGCTGCGAGTCGACTTGCGGTAGCATGGCACCCAGTTAGTGCTCTTCAGATTCGAGGGCAACCAGCCCACCAACCTGAAAAGGGTTTGGGGTTTAGGGTAGCACAACAAGCCTTAGAAAAGCTAGCTACTCACTCCTAGACAATCGGGAACCAGAATGGTGAACATGGCTGAAAACTAGGAAACAGCTGATTCGCACGCGATCACCCGCACCGTTTCTGATGCAAACAGGTGGTGATTTGCTGTTTCTGTATTCACTCAGATTTTGCTGAGATTAGACCCAGAGCTCCTTGCGTCCTTGCTTGCGCTGGAGCTTTTGTGTCCCCATCGCCGCGCATAACTAATGCCTCTGATCATGAATCCGAAACTGAGCTTAAGCTTAGCCACCAGGCCAGCTCGAAACCTGCATGTGGCCAGCCAAATAAGTGCAATCTCCATCCCTGGTGAAAGCTGAACATACTCCAAAGCCACGTTGCAGTCCAACCAATGAACCCTAAACCCCAGCCCCAACCCTAGACAACCTAAACCCGTCAACCCAGAACCCAAAACATGTTTTGCGCAATGCTTTGGCTCCCACACACCACGCCAATCCATACCAAGCCAAAGCGCGTGTCCTCCCAAGCCTGTTTTGTGCAAAGAAGGAAGGTTCCAAGGTATCGACAAGTATTGCGAGATTGAGTTGCTGCTTTTTCAGAGTGCTGTGATATGGTTCGGGCTGCTTGCTTCAAGCTTTCAGTATTTCGTAGTGTGGTGTCTAGACTTGAGTTTGCCGGGATGTGCACCGGCTCGCCATTTGCTTCGATATGCACAAGGACTGGGTCGAAACCTTATCATGGAAATTACGCTCGGCGTTGTAAACTCCACTGCACGAGGTTCCCCAGTGCCACTACATACTACGAGTCCAAACTCGAGAATAAATCAGTATCAGGTATGGAGACATATTGAGCTGTAACGTGTTTGCATCATTAGGGCAAGAGAACTGCTTGGGCTTGGTTTCAAAGGTAACAAGCATGATCCACATGATCCAAACAACAAGTGGCGTGCGCGTGCGAGCACCCGCACATGCGTGTGAAGACACGACAAGCTTTGCTCAATGTCGGAGAATAGGTAGGCGATGAATGGGTGCACGCACTGAAGTGCGGTTTCCATCATCGGCGGCTCTGTGGAATGACTCAGACGTGAATACTTTTGTGGCAGGACAAAGGGGTTCAGGCGTGTAAGTGGGAAAACGTTGGTGAGAAAGGTTTAGTAGACCGACCGCATCGGCATGCCCCCCCCCCCCAACCCCGCCTTCGTCTTCAAGATTTTGCTGCCGGAGAACCTGGAACTGTCGCAGCACCTGCAGCATCAAAGTTGTTGAGTTACCTCCGCCCGACCAGTGTAGCCGCTCAAGCGATAGAAGCTTCCAGCCCTCCCCAACTTGTCTATGACTTGGAGCCTTATCTCAACAGTCCTTAAACGGGAACTTTGCATCCCCTCCTAGGATCCCTATTAAGGACTCTTAGTATAAGGGTTTAACATCCCAACCGATGATTCTCAAGCCGGGCCACAGATCTCTGAGCTCCCCGAAGATGCTAGCGGCGTTGGACTTCTGCACATAGCCGTCGGGGCAAGTGAAGCTGTCACAGGTCGCGCAGCATGCCTCGGGTTGTTTTAAAACAAGGGTTGTTTTAAAACAGGTTGTTTTAAAACAACCTGGTCTAGCGGAAAGTGTAACGAAGTTGGGGGCGAGTCTCATGAGTAGTGTCCTTGTCGGCTTATTTGATGATCCTTCGGTTTCTTAATCAACCCTGCAAGCAGCCTTTTATCCCAACAGCCCGACACGGAGCCTGCTACAAGTCTAAGGCTCCCTCACCCTAAACCCTAAACCCCAAAAATCTCTAAGATTGGCGTCGAAGGTTCGGCTGTGCAAGTCTTGGACGGGGCGTTGGACGGCAGCTGGTAGTACTTCGCCTGTCTTGGGTCGTTCAGGGACATTTGTGGGAGACGGTGCAAGGGCCTCTCTGCCTCGGAGCGTCAATGATGGCACAGCAAGCAGGCACATTTTTGCCCTCTTTCCTGGTGCCCCTCATGCTTGTTTTCCTCTTCCACAGATACGTGTGGCCCTTGCCCATGTATCACCTGCAACTCGTTTTTCAGAATGAGCTTATCCTCAGTATCCTCCGGCAACGTCTTCCGAGTTTTCGCCCTTTGCAAATTGTATTGTATTGCTGAACTGCAGGGGCCGACATTTTGCTATCCAGGATGGCAGGCCATCATGCGCCATCGCCACTTCTTTTTGCGCACATCCCAGCGCGCAAAGCGACCCTGCTCGGCCCAGAGCAGGCGCGGCCCCCAGCGACACTTTCTAACGCGGGAAACGCCAAGTCTCAGCCCTGTATCCCTTGAAGTGCAACCCGTGTTTGCCATGTAGTCAAGAGTAATCCCATGTTGATCCGACATGATCCGACGTCAGAAGCCTATTGGTCTCAGGACTTTCTAGACGGCCAAGGCCTTGTAGTTGTCGCGTCCGGCAACCAGCGCCTTGGACTCCACCGAGCCCTGCACCGGGCGGTTGCAGCTAGCCGCAGGGGACGCGCATCAGACGATTCCTGTGCTACGTGTTACCTCATCGCAGCCACACAGCAACACAGCGGTCAACCCTCAGTGTGTGGATCGGTTGGTGCACTTCTGAAGCCAGCTTTTTCGGTGGCCTGAGGGGGGCAAGCCTTGGCATCCCTGGGCACTGGCGATGGGTACCTGAGCTGTGCTACCGCATTGAGTTTGGAAATTGTGAGATTCCGAGTTCGAGTTTAGGTCTCTTGGTCATCGGCTTGCAGAAACTTCGTGCTTAAAGCAAAGCAGAGTTGAGACAGTGCAGTTGGGCGCCATGGAGCTGGTCTATCAAACCTCTTTTGGCCGCGGCGCGTCAAAGTGAGGGCACTGTTGGCTTCGGAGTCCTTGGCTGCGAAGGAGACACGCACATGCCAGTTTAGGGTTTAGGGCCTAGGGTCCGAAAACTGGGGTCCCCTTTTTGTGACCCAGACCTTGAACCAGCTCGCCGAGCCCCAAGAACCGCCCAAGCCGTGGCATCTCAAGATTTCCCCCGTGAGGGCCCTCCACCCACAAGACTCTAGAGTCCACATCGCCCCAAGGCGCGTAGTTCTTGCTGTTGCAAGCTTTCATTGCGTTTGCCTTCTCGGTGTCAGACAAGGCGAAGACCTCATCAGTTCTCATGGGATAAACACGCTTGAGAAAGACAGGGCTATACAGCACCCTGAACCCTAAACCCATAAACCCTAAACAGGGCTAAGCTCATTGAACCAGCCCCGTCCTAGCTTCGACCCCCCCAAGGGCCGGCTGACGTTCGAAGCAAGGGTTTAGGGCTTAGCGGGTGGCCTTCAAGAGACATTCCAGGTGCAGCAGTGCCTTCCACTCGTTCTTGATGGCTGCCTCCATACAGCTCTTCAGGAATGCTGCTGTTAACTTGTTGCGTGTGGATTGGCATGGGCTGGGGACTGGCTTGGGACCCCCCAAGGGCTTATTCTTGGACAACTGAAAACACATGCGCGCACAACGATCACAAGGTTCGCATGCTTTGCTGTGCCCATGCTTCTTTGCAAGGTGCTCCTACCCCTCACGGTCAGTAAGGGGCAGAATTCAAGACCCCCGAGCCTCCTGAACAACCCGAAACCTAAACCCTGAGACCGAAACCCGGAACCCTAAACCTAAACATTCGGGGTCGAGGATGGTCCTCCTGCGTCCCCACGGAGGTCTTGTCATTGTTGTAGGAGCTGGTGGCGGAGGAGTAGCAGTCATCATAGACCTTGCAAACCTGAGGCAAGCAAGCTCTTTACAAAGCTCTTCCAGGGAAAGAGCACATCTGGCCGAGTTTGCTTCATTTTTCGCTTCCTCAGGAACTGACGTAACAGTCAGCAGGAACGAATGCAGCAAACACACAAAACTTTCAGGTTCTGTTGTGCATCTTATCTGGTCACTTAGGTGGTGCTATTGTGAGCAAGCCTGGGGGACGAAGGGGGGGGCACTTTCCCAAAGCTTTGCTGCCCAAATAGCGTTTTCGGACGTGGACTGGATCTCGCACGACGCCGCATCCATGGTGTCTTGCTGCTTGTCGCATGCTGCCTTCTTCCTAGGCTAGGGGGGGGTGGCACTGGCTCCACTGCCAGCTGAAAATTCGGGTGGAACCCTAAACCCTACAGCCTTCAAGTCTCGTATGAGGTGCAGGGGCATCTCGAGTGGCTGTGGTGAAAGGATGTGAGAGGGCGCCATCTCCGGACTTTGGAAGAGTTGGGTTACGTATGACTACATGGCTACATTCAGGGAGGTGCCCTGTAGGTGTGGGAGTGTAGGCTACGAGAAAGCCAAACGTAATTCGGAGACTGAAGTCCGATCTAAAAACAACAGGGTTTAGGGCCGTTAGGGTTTAGGGATGTTTTAAAGGACTTAAGCTTTACTCATCATTGCTGAACATCATGCCAGATGCGTGGTCCAGGCAGACTTCAGATCTGAGCAGGATGTGGACTTCGAGTTGTGCACTTTGGTGGCCTCATCGCACTTGGCCTCGTAGGGACGGCTCGTCAGCCCTACGCTCACTAACTCTTCCACTGTGCGCCGGTTTCGCGGGCTTTGCAAAGCATGACTGCTCCATCGCTTCAATGCACGGCCTGCTACCCTTATCTTCTTTTCAGCATCGCCTTTTCGAGTATGCTGAGCGCTGGCTGCCGGTGGTACTGCTAATTGAATGAATCCATGAATGTGTGCTTTTCACAAGTGTGATTTCATGCAGTGAGGAGATAAACAACACACATGCGCGCACGCATGCGCTCAACCTAAACCCTAAACCCATATTCCACCCGAGATTTTTCGAAACGTTTGACCCTTGTTCCTGGGCAGTGCAAGGCCGCATTCATGTGGGAACCAGTCCGCTCGATGCGTCAGCATCGACTTGCAAGGCTCTGTGATCCAATGGACGCAGGCCCCTTTTCTGTTCGCCTAGCCGTTTTCCATGAATTCAGAAGGCCCAGCGTGCCACCATTCGCGGGGCCACGCTCCAGTTTTCCAATCTTCCTCTCAGAAACTCTAACTCTGATGTCATGCTTCCCTTCGTCTGCAGTGGACCACCCACTCATCATTTGGGCTCGGGCAAGGCTGTCAGGGCCCAACTTTTTGAGCCGGTATCCGATCCCCCAGCCTCAGCCTCTTTGCCCTTCTTGTTCTCGGCCTCATAGTACTTCATCAGCCTGCCACTGGCTGACACAGAAGCTAAGAGACTCGCGGTTGCTCGGGGGTTCAGTGCTGAACCAGCACTATGGGTGCGGATGGTCCCAAGACCTCTGTGGGTGAAGTGTGCTGATGCTCTCACATCTGATATACTTGCTGTTCATTTTCTGCGTGCCTCGCGGTGTAGGCGACATAGTCCTCTCCACTATTCTTGCCACAATTCCTGAGAACGCTGTTTAGGGGTTCCGATTTGGCCGCAGCAGTGGGGCTCTGTTGGGGGGTGTGGGGGGTATGGGAAGGGTGGTATATGATTACATATATTCTTTCATCATTCTATCTTGATATCACTATATCCTTCCATCATTTTACTATATCATATATGCTTGAATTTTGTATATTGGGGGGGCTCAGGCTTAAGCGGCCAGGACTCCCATTGCTGATCTTGTCGTAATCGGCGACCACCTTGCAGGCCGAGTCCTGGTCGTAACGCTTTTGGCTGCAACTTCACTAAGTCGCTATGACTGCTATGACTACCACTATTGCTTTAGGGTTTAGGGTAGTGGTCTAGGGTAATACTCATTCTCAGTAGTCCCTAAACCCTAAACCCTTGAGCCCTAAACCCTAAACCCTGTAACCACACTAGCACGAATCATGCTTCGAGCTTCAGATGCCGGCATCTCAGCCCAAGCCCAAGCATTCCTTATGGCCGAGTCTAAGCCAGCTCTTGACAGGTAGGGGGCCTCTGGGGTCCGTGGCGGTCTCTTAACCTTGAGAGCCCAAGTAGAGTATAGGGGCTTTGGGGGTTTGGGGGTTTTGGGGCCCAACTCCGTTTTCACCCTGCTTCAACCCTCGGCCCCCTCCTTGGCGGTCTTCAAGGACGACTCCTCGCTCGAGCATGTGGAGAACGCAGTCTCAGCCTCGGCCTCCTCCTGTCACTGCCAAGGCCGAGCAGAGTGTAGAGCATCAAAAAGCTTCAGGATCAAGGGACTCAAGGAGCGACCCACTTATTAGGGACTCCTAGGGGTTATTTAGGGCCTACTGAGGTATATGGGCTATGTTCAAAGTACCGGGGACGAACTCAGTTGTGCCAGCTGCTCATGAGCCAGCTAAAGCAGCTCGCACTACGCAGGCTGCAGCACCGCAACTCAGAACCTCGCATGCCAAACATGGAACCAGCTATCCTTGCGGCATGTCTCGTGCTGGGATGCAGCAGCTGTGAAGACGCCTCGTGCAAGTGGGAATTCCATCTCCAATCCCTCGATTGCAGTGCTTAGGGTTTGGGGTTGGCACCCCTTGAGAACTGGCTCAAATACTGCATGTTCCTGACATCTACATGGGGTTGCTCTGTTGAGTTGGAGTTTGCACTGGAGCCCCCCAGAAGGACCCGGTCCCCCCCAATAGGGATAGAGCCCACGTGCTTTTGCCCTGCAAGGCAACATGTGTCGTCTCGGAGCTCATACAGCTTCTTCTGCCACTTTGTGGTTTAGCCTGCTATGCCAGCGGGTGGCAGATGCTGGCCTTCCCGTACCGAGACAGACATCGCAATCTGGAGCCTTAAGATATCTCAAGTGTGTGACCGGGTCTTTCCTCGGCCCACACCCTGAGCCCCCTAAACCGAAACCTAGGAGTCAAGCACAGGCAAGTCGCTGCTCTTTGAAGAAACTTCCCCGCTTCCCAGCATGGTGGAGTCGCACCTGCGATAAGTTTCATGGCATGCCGTCTTGGGTTTGGGCTGACAGACATACCAGCTGAACCGGGAGATGCAAACTTCTGAGGGCAGAGCTTGTCATATCCAGTGGTGTAGTGCCCGTCCTCGCAAGCCAAGTCTTGAAGCCCAGCTTCGGACGTCCTAAGCCCAAAGGCTGTGCTCGAAGCCTGCGTTCCATTTGCACTCAACTGCATTAACCACGATGAACAACGATTAACCATTTTATATCAATTTTTAACCATTAGTAACCACTATGGACCATGACTAACCGTTATTAACCACTATCAACCGGACCTCACTGACCTCAGCTTTGTGCATCTTTGACAACGTTTCATTCCACCTGTCCAGCTCGGTCTGGAGAGAGGCCTTCACCTTGAGGACAGCTGCCTTGGCTTGAGGTCGCTGAATGCAGTGTCGGGGGATTGGAGGCTGCCCTTTTCCTTTGCACTTGTGATCGTAGCATCACATTTACCTTCTATGGGGCTCAGGTAAGAACTGCGTGTGGCCAACCAGGACACCGAACGCGGAAGAGGATCCGAAGCAGCCCCACATCTCCCCCACACTTGCGTGCTGAAGCCTTCATGTCATCGTCGATGATCTTCTGCAGATCCTTCGCGAAATTCGCCAAGGAAGGCGTCGCCTCTTGCTGCAGCAGCTGGTGCCTCAGTGGCATGAAAAAGCAAAAGCGGCCTCGGTTCCTGCACGTTTCTTCTTAGGTTGCGTGGTGGTTCGAGGCGCCGCTTTGGAGAAGCCGACGCGCTGCTTCGTGGGAATCAAGCCGCAAGTGTTGCACTACTGACGGGCCCCGGAGGGTCTGCGATCCAATGCGAATGAAACATGCTGTTCAGATCTGGAAAGGGGAGCATAAGGGAGCATAGAGGTGTCTTATTCTTGCCACCCCACGCCAGCTTCAGCACCTCAATGCTTTGTTGCAGCGCTGGGACGTGGTTCACTCCTTCTTCGATGGAACCTGCTAAGCTGATTGACGGTGCTTAGGATTCCCTCATATCGTCGAGACGGTCCTAGAGACCTCATCCCTAATTCGCCCTCAAGCGCTTAAATCCCAAACCCTCAGAATCGCAACCGTCCTCGGCTTGGCCACGTGACACGGTGTCCTCAAGGTCAGAGATGTCCTTGGTGAGCACGGTCTTGTTGGTGGCATTCAAGAACGCCCGTGTGGCCTTCAGGACAGAACTGTCGAACTTCGGGTTTGTGCTCTTCGCACCTTCCAGCTAAACTGTGGTCCCCTGCATGTAACTTCAAGATCAAATGACATGCGTCGAGACTGTACACTCCCGACAGCCCGACGGTGGCACCGCCGAGATGAAAAAACTCTCTTCTGTAGCACAAGATCACATGAGCGGCAGCAAGCACAAGTTTCAGAATCAGAAGTAGGAATACAGATGCAGTACATGAAGCTGTACGTAAGGATGAACAAGATTGATCGGTAGCGCAGGCATCTCGCGCAAAGCACGCATGAAAGCTTGATTGTTGACTTGGCAATGGTGCCGATTCTCACACTGAATTCAACTCACCGACATTCCTTTGTACCGTATCCAACCACCGAATCAGACTCTGTCGGAGATCTTAACTCGACAGAGGACATTTGAGACCTTGTCGAGTTGTTCCTGGTCATTCCTGTTGGTCGCCTTTCGTACTTATACCCCAACCCAAGAGAACTTTGAGTCAAATGGGCTTGAAGGGGCTTGGGGAGCGGCACTGAATTCTTGCAGATACCTGGACAGCAGCAAGCCCCTGCCTTTAAGGCATTGGATCCCGCGAAGGCAAAGAACAGAAGGAAGACTCGATTCATTGTCCTCAATGACATGGATAAGATCGACTCTGCTCCAGCCTTTATGCTTCAAGTCTCTTCGACAGTTGCAGGAAGTCTTAGCAATTTACATATAAGATGCGCGCACGTTTGCTGAGTGTTCTGACACTGGGGATAAGAGTTCGTGTCCCTTCAATGCAACGGCTCTAAATATCCCGCCTCCATACTCTACCGGGTACCGTATCACGTTGAGAACTTGTTTCCCGCGAACATTCTCTGGGCCAAGAAGCCCTGCTGAGGCGAGATGACTACGTTGAAAGGCAGAGGGGATGGAGCTCGCAGCTTCGCGGCTGCGGTGGCTGCGGTGAGCTGCAGTGGCGTGAACAAGTGTGGCAGGTCCTCCCGCAACGCCTCAAGACAGCAGCAGGCAGCATGCATTACGTTGGTATGGTGTATGTCATGTAATCGACGTATGTGACATTACTTCTGTGTCTTCTCGGAGGCGTGCAGTGCCAGCCATGGGCAGCATACCGAGGTTTTCGCGAAGGGTCTAACGAGACCCAATGAAAATTTTGCGGAGCTTTTCACTAGGCGCAATTGTTTGCCAGCAGGAGAACCGCAGACCTGATGGTGGTGTGGTAGATGCTGCTTCAAGGCCTTTGAACAACATCTTCTAGTTGAGCAATGCAAGCACAGCGTCTCATTCTACTGATCACAGCTCACAAGCTCAATGTCTGGCAGTCCTGACTGCGTGAGAGCGAACGGAACGAAAGCAGCGAGTTGACAAGTTTGGCGGAAACAAAACCTCTCGGTGTCCGGATACAGGAGGCCCTTCGATCCGGCCTTTGCTCACGTGACTGCAACGGCACCGAAGACATGTATCCCAAGTATTCTAAGTTGCTAAGGGTCTTTGCTTCACCAGTGTCCAGGGATGCTTCAACTGACATTTCTGACATTGGAGCAACAGGCGAAGACAGAAGCTGATAGCAGAACGAGGCAAGGCCCATTCTTTTGCGACTCCTGAGGCCGATCCTGGGATCCTAAACCCTAAACCCTAAACCCTAAACCCTAAGCCCTAAGCCATCCAGCTGCTCCTGCCAGGCTCCTGGACCGACACTTGCTCTCAGTAGGCCTGGAATCCGGATCTCCTCGACTTTCTGAGCCACACATGCGTGAACAACTCGGAAGTCTCCAACACAACACCTGGGAGACGAATAACTGAGTGATGCATCGGGCCTGCAGGATTTTGAAGATGAGTTACGGAGCTCTGTTCAGCGCCTTCGACACCATGATACAAAGAGCACGCACCATCACCTCCACATATCTCCAAGCTGAAGTGCTTGGCTCCGGCCCACCGGCCTTTTTCTTCTCGTGTCATCTTGTCGTCGGATGCTGAAGGATTGAAAGGCGTCTGCCACCATCTTTTCTGGAGGCTCCGCTCTTGCCGGCACAGCCCTCGACAAAAACATGCCATACGTGAATCTTGGGACAGATGTGTGCTTCGATGATGTGTCATTCTCCCTGAGGAGAGATGCCAAGCGCATCTACAAACATGACACTCGATCATCCTGTTGACTGCGGGATCTGATGACTCGGACGAGTTCAAGTGAAGGCGGAGAAATCGGAATGCATTCCGGTAGTCCTACTGGGGGGTCTAGATTATGGTTTCCCCTGCAGGCTTCAACATCTAGGTGCTCCTCTTGAATGTGCATGTTGAAATCGTGACTTGCGCCTTGCAAGAGCTGAGCTGCTCTTCACTTCGCAAGGAGAAACGATGGATCGTCATGGGTTGCGATGCCAAACCCGAAACGTCAGTTGTCGGTTGCCTATCGCATCCTCTCATTTGGAGTTGCTCAAGAGTCTCCTGCCGGTGTCTCAACAGGTGCTTATTAGGACTGGTAAGAGGCTCTGACTAGTACTTCCCAGCGAGCTTGCAAAAAATATGAGACTGCACGAGGAAACCCAAGCTTGAAAGCAATAAGCCCAGTGCGCTTTATCTGAGTCAGTCATGCTAGGAGGTCATCCTTGCAGTGCTCCAGCCGCGGGATGTCCCACAATCCGACCAAGATTGCCAGACTAGTGATCCCTGGACTTGTGATGAGAAGATATGAGAAGTGTGTGATGACTTCGGTCCTGTCACGAAGGCCAGGGCAACGCACACACAACATGAAAACCCGGTCACCTGAAGTGACCTTGTAGCCTCATTTAGCAAGACGGGGGGCCACCACGCATTTGCGGCCAGGGGAGGGACCATTTCAACCGATGTGCGTCTTAAGTGTCCGCCGACCCCAGCTGTATGTGGACAGCACCACAAAGGAACTTGCTTTCGGAGTTCTTGACTTTTCACATGCTCTTTCGTGAGACATTCACACGCTGGCGCCGGAGCTACTTCTGGGAAGGACGAGGAGTAGGCTCTCTTGACTCAAGCGACGACTGTGTTCATCCAACATGCTGAGTCCTGTTTGCCCATTCTTCTGGTGAGTGCAAGCCTTTAAAAGACTGTAGTCACCAAGCCTCCTTATCTCCTTAACGCCGAGGCCTCAGCATGTTGTTCCCGATTCACCGCCAGCGGTGCCATACAGAATGAGGGCGTACGGGGTACTCCCGACAAACGGCATTGCAAGCAGCTCGCTCCAACTCCAAGCGTTGGAAAGGGTCTGCAGAAGCAGGGTTGAGTTATACAGTCGTACTGCTCCCATTCATCTTCACGCTTGGAAACTGTAGCGTCTACTACTTCTACTGGTACTCCTTATGCTACAACTGCCACACTGCTACAACTACTAAGTCACTGAGCAATACCACCACGGTCACTACAAGTACGATGATAACGATGGCTGAGGCTCCTATACTACCACTACTTCTACGTCTATGTGCTATGACTCATGCATTAGTGCTACTTAGTGCTACCACGATACCGTAGCGCCACGGCAACGACGGCTGGCAATCACAAACATTACCGCCAGACTTGCTCATACTTCCAACCATTCACTGCTTGCTTACTTGATTCGCTTTTTTTCCTGTTTTTCATACTACTGCATGTGCCCCCTGCTGTTCGCCTTCCCTTAGACTGCCAGAGCTGGGCAAGCAGCGCCTGCACTTTCAGGGATCTTTCAGGGATCTTTCACCCGACAACACCATTTGAGCTGTAGTCACAACTTGTCATTTTCCATGAGTGATAGAGCAATTACGGACCCTTTCGTCCAGGCTGCCAAACCCCGACAGCAATGCATCCTTCAATGGGGTGCTGACTACAGCTCGAAAGGAAATATATAGTATTCGCATGGTTCACACCCGCCACAGGGACGTGAAGTGCAAATAATCAGTCACGCCTGGCAAGGCAACCAGTGGTACGGAACAGGCACGCCTGGGCAATTGAAGATGCAGCAAGAAATCCAGACGTATCTAGGCAACGTCAAAATTGAGACGCAGTTTCTTTGCCTGTCTGCACGCACACACCAATTGAATGCAACACATAAAAACTCAAGCCCGCATGAACAACTCATGTTGCACTCGCTTGTTTAGACCCCCCATCGCTCCCCAAACGAGTCTGGCTCTGTGAATGCGCTATTGGCAGCTTAGGGGGTGGGGTGTGAAATGGTGCGAATGCGGAACGCACGTGTAAAGGGTCGGCTCATGATGTGGCTAAAGCTTCAAAGTCGATTGCGGAGTGCAACAAACGGCGGGGGCATCCTTTCGTCTCACAACTTGTGACCAAAACCTCGGTGGCAACCTTGTAACCGACACCAACAACCACCCGAGATGGCCAGGGCCAGCGATTATATTCGTATATGTATATATGATTCTACTATGATATTCGTATATATGACTCTATTATGCTATTACAAGATTATGCAGTCAGCGCAAGATGCGCACACAATTGAATGCCTGAGGTATGGCCATTGATCACAAGATGTAAGCTGCAAGGCTTGCGTGGCAGGCTCCCCGTGCATTTCTCTTCCACGAACTGAAGTCTCTGTGGCCCTCCTATATTACAACTGATATAATACCATGGTAATATCATAGTAATTCGCCTCGGCTTCCTGCCGAGAAGCGTCTGGAACAAGCAGACCCGGATCGGGCCTCCTTCCCCCTAACCCAACCCTTCCCCCCATGCAAAATTTTGTGACGCCACCCCCCCCCCCCCCCCCCCCCCCCTGTGGGACCCCCCCCAATCGCTTGGAAACCGATGCCGTCGAGGGTCCGCCTGTCGGTGGCTCATACAGGGGGAGGGGCCTCCCCCCACCCCCCTCCCCCCCCCCCCACCCCTCCCCCCGCCACCCCCCCCCCCTTTAACCCCGCGAAACCCTCTTTCCTCCTTTCCTGTCCTGGGGCCGGCCCGGCTGCCGAGGCGGCGCGCGCAAGCGTTTACAATTATAAGGATCTACTCCAAAAAATCATACTCACACAAGAACATGATAGTATGAGAATATCATCTTATGTAAATTTTATAATGAGATATGTATGTATACATATATACAATATACTCATAAGTAATACAAGAATACAAAATATCTCAATATACTAATTTAATATACTTACGTACTAATATACCCATATTACAACAAAACGATATACAAATATTGTAACAATATAGAAAATATCACATACAAATATAATATCAGAATATAAGAATATAAGAATCAACTAACGTAACAACATAACATGTACCAATATAAGAATATAGCAGTAGAATAAGAATGTACCAACATGGCAATATGAAAAAGGTATTCATATAACAATAGGAAAATATTATAGTAATTTAAGAATAGAACAATATAATGATAGTAGAAATACAAATACAATAACGAACTAATAGTCATGCAACAAAATGACAATATGCTTATCTTCCAATATAGTCATAGAATATTTTCATACAATAATCATGTGACCATATAAAAATGTAATCATAAAACAATCAAAAACACACAAGATATGAGAAAACATCAATATCAAAATATACCAATATCTGAATATGACGATACTACTTTAATATAAAGTTTTAATTCGACAAGGGCAGAAAATAATAAAATTCTTAATATAAGAATATCGTAATCAAATAATACAATACTATAAATATAAATCAGTGAATTTGAACATAATGAAAAATTTCCAAGAAAACAATTTACCATCAGTATGATACAATATATTAATCCGACACAACAAACCATTTTATAATCATATACTAGTATATGAATAGCTGACACGGCGGCACTGGCCGGGGGCCTTCCAATGCTCTCCGACTGAGCAGAGCCCAGTGGTGCTGCGGATTGTCACGATGGCTGCAACGTCCGGTTGAAGCTGCCAGGGATTTTGGGTTCACGACCCGAAGCAACCCTCGACTCTAGACATCGATTGCCAAAAAAGTACCTCGCAGCTTGATGTACCCGAAATTCTTCGAAGCCCAGGAAGTCGTCCAAACTTCGCAAAGTTTGCTTGTGGTATCAGCTGTTCCTTTCACTAAACTTGAAAAGATTTCGCTCTTGAAATTATCTCATTCCAATACCTCTGGACTGCCAGGTTTGGTTTGGATCTTCCCGGGCTTAGAAAGCGGATGAAACTAGACCGACCCAACATGCACACAAGAACTATGAACGCTGGGCGGTGATGATGATTTGCACGGCGCCACTCACAATCGATCCCACCGCGATGCCTTGTAGTAGATCACCGCAGCATGGCCTCGATGCGAAAACATGCAAAAACTGACGGTAGGAAGAGTACGAGGCCCTCTGGTCAGCCACCAGCAGGTTGATCTGTGCATACGGATTGGCTTGACATGGCCCAGTCTGAGTTCAAGGTCTAGTACGTGTATCTGCTGTGTATCTGCTCCTCGCAACAGTCACCTGATGCTGATTCGCTGATCTTCCTACCGCACTTATACCGCCCTTGTGTTCTTGCTGGGCTCGCCACAAGCAGCACTCACAAGCGGAACACCATGACGCCACCGTCCCCTTGGGAAGTACAGGGTAGTACCAAGGTAGTACAGTGAGCCCTTGACAAGAATTGAAAACATTGGATTGGCTGCAGAACTGTGGCAGATATGGAACTCATATTAATATAAATTGAGCAAACCTCACATCTATTGAAGATATTGGGGTCTATTTCATCTATTTCTGCAGAGGGTCCAACGTGCACACAGTTGAGGAGATCTTGGTCAATGTCTGCCAGGGTCCCGCCTACCTCGACTTGGGCCGCCAGTGACTTTTCTGAGTGCTTTTGTGGGAACTCGAACTTGAGCGTATTCTCTCTGGTGCGTGGCTTGGCATCCTCTGTTGCTGCAAGCGCTGCCAAGGTTTGGGGTGGTAGAATCTCTGGTGGAAGAAACCTGGCGCAGGCCAAGGACAGAGGAATCTCCGCACCCTCAGAGAACACGTGGGGCTTGTGCAAGGGGTCGAAGGTGCTGGCTTTTTCGAGGAAGAGAGCCAAGTTCTCCGCCAATCCTTGATGTGAAGCTTGCTTGAAGTCCGAGATCAGCATGTTCGGGGTTCCACGAGCCGCCCTAGCCGCCCTGGCGAGTGTCATGGAGTGAAAGCAGTTGTGGCAGGCAACGGGCGATGTGAAGTTCACGACTGCCTCGGACCGGGTCTGTCATTGTCTTCTGACGAGGCTGTACTAACTGCTAGTTGACTAGTTGTTTGCTGTAGTTCGTGATGCTTTCAGAACGGCTCCTGCCGCAAACGCACATGCATGAATCGGTCAAATCGTATCTTTCGTCGAGCTGCCAGCTTCTTCCAGGGTAAGTGCACGAAGTCGATGACCTCAGCACAACACCTAACATGCAAGGAGTAGGGTTCTCTTAGGGTTGAGGGTTATGGGCAGCGGCGGGGCCCTCAACGCTGCTGGTTCCTACCACAGCCATTGAACCAGCCCTGAACCCGCAGGTCTCAACACCCCGACAACCCTCTTTTAATGCCAATGCCATGCAACGCAAATTTACCTGAGACATCGTGAGACTGATGTGGCTGTAGGATCCAGCCGTCCTTCACCAAGCTGCGTCGTGCAAGTGCTTGCCAAGGCGCTGTTCCAAGCTGCATAGCGGCAGGCCAATGAAAGCTCAGAGTTGCCAAGAACTCCTACACAGCGACATGCGGTTGATGGTGGGCCTGGTAGGGTCTAAAGTTAAAGAGGAATGGTGACATGCCGCTCCTTGTGCGTCATCTTCTTGAAGGTCTTGAATATCAACGTTGTGGCGGATGCATCGAGCGCGGCCATCTCCGGAAAGAAGGCTATGAGGAGAAAGCAAGGCGCTTGAGCCGGGCATGTGGCGGCACCGAATGTGGAAAACCCTCAGTCGGTCCGCAGGCCCCTTATGTGCAGACTCAGACCATAACCCGACCATCGCCCTCCTCTTGAAATGACATGCGGCCAGCCTTGTGCAGAAACGGGGAGCTTGCATGCAGCTCGGCCTTCCAATATGATCAATATGGTATCCTTACATACCAACCGTTTGCATTGTGATATTTGTTTTTGGGCCCAGCGAGTGTTGATGATGTATATCGCCCCATGATGCCCCATGCATTGAAATGCTAGATCAGGCTCGCTTAGACCCTGTTTGGCAACCCGAGATTTACACATGTGCAAAAGCTGCGCAGCGTCGTGATGCGTCGTGCACCACGGGTGACCACATCCGGGGAAACGAGTGGGCAGGGAAGCAACAGCCTTTGAGAAAAAAAGGCCAGCTTTCACAGCCCGAGACTTTGGGAGATTTTGGGAGGATGCGGCTTTGCCATATGTAGCTTGCATCATTGCAAGGGGGGGCATTCAGACTCGGCTTCCAGGCTTTGATGTGTGGCCAACCATTTTTTCCTTCACCTCGACTTGTCAACATTTTCATGCTTTGGAGTTCCGCTCTCTCGGAATAACAGCAGCCCTCTTGAACCCTTGGATCTCCACACAGAACTGTGAAGGGCACTTGGTGATTCTGTACTGAGGAAGCCCTGAACCTAAAACTCGTAACGCCGACAACGTGAATTTTGTGTAGTTGCAACCTCAACGCTTTGAATGTTCTTTCCTGTTTGAAAGCTGCCTCATTGCCAAACCGCACGGCATCCACAGCCGAGCCTTCGCCACGCCTCGCAGCGATAACGCACAGACACGCAAGCACACAACCCCGAACATGCACGCACCTGGCGCCTGGCGCACACGCACATGCACGCGAACGCACGCAAATGCACGCGAACGCACGCACCCACACACATCCACACACACACACACAAACACAAACACAAACACGACATACCCGAACCACGCACCCTCGCGCGCGCAAGTGCACACGCACACGCGCATGCGCGCGCACACGAGCACACGGGCACAGGGGCACAGGCAACGTGCACATGCGGGCGCGAGCACACACGCGCACGCGCACACACGCACCCATGCACCCACGCACCCACCCACCCACCCACGCACGCACGAACGCACGCACGCACCACACACATACGCACACACACACACAAGCATACGCACATGCATGGCGGTACAGTGGTGAGCAAGGTTTCCTCATGTTTTCCTCCATGCAGTTTTCAAGACAGTGCAACTTCCAGCGCCAACCTTTTGAGTGAGGCCATTGGAGGGCTAAAGTGCATGTTGTGTTATTGTGTTAGCCTAGCAAATGTTAGCGGCTAGCTGCTAGCCCCGAACTTCTTTCCACGGGGTTTCGGCATGCTTTTGGCTGTCACGATGTTTCTGGGATGCCAGTTGGCCGGCTAGCCCGGTTAGACCGGCCACCCAAGCCAACATGAATCCAGCACCGACATCGATGAGGATTGGAACGCGTCATCTCACACCAGCATGATTGTACTTTTCTGCTTTGTAGTTGTTCCTTCAAGCAGAGCTTGCTGTCTCAGTCGCACACACAGACTCAACAAGGCGTACCTGTGAAGATCACACGATGGTGAACTCATTGTGGCTTCGACGCCGGGAATGAAGGAAGAAAGGCTGGCGACCAGCAAGCCATGTCACCATCGTGTGAAGTTGCTTGCGCTCTTCTTTATGAAGGGGCGCCCTCTCCAGCAGCAACCTGCGGCGTCCCGTGGTCGGGCTTTGCGTGTCCCCTGAAATCCGCATCTCTCGGGTCTCAGGTCTCTCTTGAGCTTGGAAGACTTCCTCGACTCCAACTCCCCTGAGTGGCAACAGCAGATGTTGTGAAGCTCTGAGCCTTACTAGGGTTTAGGGTTTAGGAATGTTACCTGCCAGAGGCCCTCCAGTCCCTCTTGAGTCCCGAAGTCCCCGATCAAACCCTTCTTCCGGGCAGAAAAGCCCCCCAGCCCTCAGGCTCCAAGAAAGGCCCAGAGGTGTGGCTTACAGACTTCAGGCCCCCAGTGTAGGCGTTCTTGGCATCCCCAGGATTACCAGGCGAAGGCAGCCCGAGCTGGGGCCGCCACCACGCCAGCAAGCCCGGATCCACAGGGATGCGATAGAAGTCCTGGCTACATGAAGGGGTTTCCGACATTTAGGGGGTACTTTGTTAGGGTCCTCAGAAACTAAGGGCATGCTACGATTTGGGGATCTATCTTGCGGGTCCCCTGTTTTCGTAAAGCCCCAGATCGTGATTCATGAGCATCTCCGTCCGAAGTTGCTTGAAGTCAAACTGCTCCGAATTTTGGTAGGGTTTAGGGGTTCGGGTTTGACTTTCGGACTCTCACATTTTCGGAGACAAATCTGTACCTTCCAAAACTGGACTTGACCCCCTATCATACTTGGAACTCGTGGCCTTGTCGAAAAGTTGATGCTTGTGTCTCGTAAGCTCGATGGCCCTGGCCTATTTGCGGCATCTTGAACCGTTTGATTCGGAAACTGAAAAGGGTGGCTTCGGAAACTGGCAAGAACATCCAAAATACGCAGATTCGGGAAGCTGGAAAACTGCAGATTTCCGAAACTGGAAACCGCAGATTCGGGAATTTGAAAAGCGCGGAATCGGGAAACTAGGTACAGCGGATTCGGGAAATTGAAGACCGCAGATTCGGGAATCGCGAAGTTTTCTGACAGCACCCTTGACATGAATGTTATCATCACCCCCACCCACCCAACCCCTACACCCTGAATCCAGGAGAATCGCCTGGCTTCCTGAATCGCGTTCAGCCATTTGCGAGGGACCCGATTGCTGAGGTACTCCGAAGGACTTTAGCTCCTGTCCGTTGTGAGCCACCTTGGCACGCCGCCTGTTTAAGCTTGTAGTAAGCTACAACATAGCTTACTACAAGTTAAACATGTCATAGGTTCACTCCCATCGCGACACCAGCTTAGATCATGTCAAACCAAGGAGCAGCTACTATGTAGACCACTGCCAACGTGGATGCCACACGGCAAAGCAATCGGGAGACCAATCTCTGCATCTGCTCTTTCCTGTTTTCCTATTGGGCATGGGGCCTGCGGCCTGTGTTCCGACAACAGCAGTTTAGCAGTTGCAATTAAACGACCCAGTCTGGATATCAAGCCAGAGGTGTTGCCTGCGGATCCCTCAACAATCCAAGTGCGCGCATGAGTTCGTGGAAAACTGCATTGCCCTAAACCCTAAACCCTAAAAACCATAAGAGTTGAAGGTTGATAGCAGCATCTCTGCCATCAGTACAAGGGCGCATCCGTTGTGGCCTCCAGAAACTGAAGTGCGTGGCTGCTCAATGGATGAGCCTGACCACAAACCAGAGTTGAAAGCCCCTTGACTGTAGAACTGGATCTTGCATGCCCTGAGTGGATCTTCCACTGACGTGGTGTGGCAGTCACATGCGCAAGTCCTGCACAAGAGCTGGACAGGCCGGAGCAGTCATGCCTGTCACAGCCAGAGCATGCCAGAGCACTTGGCCCCTGGCATGGAAATTGTGGATGTTGTAGTAGCTGTAATCGCAGATGTAATCTGTAGCTACCTGCAGCAGGAGGACGGCAGAAGCTAGACCTTTCCGCAAGGCAAGAAAGCCGGGACGATCAGGCACAGAGAGTCGGCCATGCTAACAGATGCACCAACACCAGCACAAAAACCCTGCACCGGGCCATCATGTTGTGGTCTACGTCGAAGAATGCATGGCCAACACCACGCTTACGGAACCTGGCCGTCGCATCGTGCAAGGGCAGGGTGCTTTAAGGGGGTTGATTCACTGGGTTTGGATCTGAATCAGGGCGGGGCAAGGACAAGCCAGGGATCAGGATTCGGAATTGCCATCCTTCATATGTAGCTTCTGATGTTTGGAAACCATGGGAGAACGACAGCCGAGACTGAAACTCCTTGCAGATTCGAGCCCCAAAGCTTAGATCACTGGCATCTTTGGCTGCTCGGGCTGAGCGGGTCCCTTCGAAAGGTCCTACAGTCTTTCCCTTGTTTTGTGAGACACGTTAAACACGCTGAACACCGCAAACACGCTAAACTCACTACGCCAGGTCCCTAGCATAGGCATTATTGGAAGCAATGCTTCTGCCCGTGGCCGGACTCTTGCAAGCATTCTTGGAAGCGGCCAGAAGGTTTCCACAATGGACTGCAGTTTGTGTCTTGTTTCTAAGGCTATGCTCACGTCCATGGCAACCTGCTGCCATCCGCTTCCCCAGAAGTTCGGCTCAGTTTCTCAAACTGCTATGCTGTATTGTTGTATTCTTATATTATTGCTACATTAATATTTTGTTATTACAATCTTTATTGATTTACTAGTACCATATTTCTATGCATGATGCTATACTCTGAAACTGCTGTCTTATCTTATTCTGTATGATGATTTTTGGACGATTCTATTATTGTATTACTTCCGTGTACTGGTGTATGCGTGTAGTATTGTAGTCATCTATTGCTATATTGCTCTGTCGGTATTTTGTTATATTGGTGTATTGCTAGTATAGTTGTATTCTCGTATTGTGAACGTGCTCTTTTGTCATCGTATTCTGCTAGTGTGGTAACAGATTCTTATATCACTATGTGATTACATTGGTGTTTGTTCCATTACTATGCCATTGCATGACTTGACTGTCATGGCATTTGGTTGGCTCTATTCTGTATTTACATCAACGTATGATTCCTAAACATAGGTTTTTTGCATCATTCTCTTCTACTACCATGCCTTCAATGCAGCTCTATCACTAGATCCTACTAATATGTTGCCTTTCACTGTTTATTTTGTGTACTGCGCCTACGCCATGCTTGTCAGCCTCGGGTTTCTGGGGAAGCAGGTGCTTCTGCTTGCGGTATATAATGCGGAAGTTGGAGCTAGGCGCAGTGAGACAGACCCGTTTCGGCTGAAATTCAGAGAATGCGACCAGCAAGATTTGCAGTGTGAAATGCATCTGAAACCATCACGAGAAGCCACACCAAGCCGGAACCGGCGATGAGGCAAAGTGAGACATCTTGATCCAATGCCCCACTCAGCCAGTGAACCAGCTCTGTTTCTGTTCAAGTTGCAGTATGGTGTATTGTAGTTACAGTTCTTCTTAGTGCCAAGACGCCTTGCTGGACAGCATATGGCCCACCAGCATGTTGATTTGGCGTACATTGGCCGCGTGGGCACATACATCGCATGACATGAAGCAGGGTTTATATTTCTTGACCCCTCAAAAGGACACCCAACAAATACACTCACCAATATGAAGAAGGAATCTTCTACACACTCACCAATAACAGTAATATACACCCTGTTTCACATCCCCTTCTTTCAGGAGGATAGCTCGGAGTACCCCGGAGTACCCAGAGGAATGGCTTCTGCTCGCTGTGGGCTTCAAGAGGTCCATGGTTCAGAGCATGTGCTACGAATTGCTTCAGAACCCCCTAAAAAAAACACAATTTCTTCCTTATAAGGGTAATATAGGGATTATTGTTTTTCATTCTTTGGGGCTCTTAAGCAAACAGTAGTGTGTTCTGATGCAACGTCTCAGGATTCAATCATGGAAGCCCACGCGGGCATTTGGAATTCGCCAGATTACACCTCTGGTAAACAATGAAGCAGGTGGAATCGAGTCTGACATATTCTTGCGTGTCTGCTAAGCATTTGCTAAGCAATGGCAAACATCAGACGACTTCGCTTCAGCCACCGCCTTCATTGAATCCTCGGCATCAGCATCTGACGAAACACGTCAAAACGCTCTCATCAAAGGCGGGGTGGCGCCGGGCACATAGGCCTCTGTCTCCTTATTCGCCTCTCTACAGTCGGAAGATGACCATGCCATCTTCCACGCGAGTGCACGTTAGGAGGTCTCCTGACATTGTCTGCAACAAGTCCGAGTGGGTTTGGTCAAGCACTGCAGGCTGAGGCCAACCTTGTGCTGCATCACTCGAACCTTGCAACCATGAGCCCGCTTCTGCCAAGCCTGCTTCGGCTCTCTCGGTATTGTGTCGCAGCCTGGGGGTTAGGAACATCTCGCATGCCCTTGTCCATGGAATCTCCTCCCCTTCCACGAAGACCAAGGGGGTGGGCTGGCATGCAAATGGGACGCTCCGGGAACAAAACGCCGCAATGTTTTCTGCCAGTCCTTGATGCTTCGCCTGCTGCAGGTCTGTAATGCAGATATTGTGCGTGCCAACCAGGCTTTGCATAACTCGAAAGCAGCTCTTGCAGGCTCCAGGTGAAGTGAAGTTCACCACAGCCAACCTCAGCACAACGCCGCAGGTTACATTCGTTTGAGCTGCTGCCTCTAGCTACGAATCAGCTAACAGCAAAATCATGTCTTCAAAGTGGGCAGGAATGAGATAGGACTTGAGGGGCAAGCCGAAGCCAACGACTGGCCCAAAGCAAACCCCCCAAACCTTAAAGACCCTAAACCCTCCAGACTCGAGTCCAGACAATACCCCATTTCGCAAGACCCTCATTTACATACCCTAAGGGTTTAGTACCCGAAAAACCCTCAATACCCCAATCCTCAATACCCAAAAACCTCTAGAATTCTTCTTTCTGGTCCTCCCCCCCCCCCCCCCCCCCCCCCTTCCAAAGGACAGGTCCTCCAGAGAGAATGAAAATTGTCCCCCCCCCCCAGCTCCACATGCGTGAGATGTTGCAGGATGATGAGCCATGATGAGCCGATTATTGCGCACACGCGTGCGAAACTCGATCAACCCTTGCATCCCGAGGCGCTTCTTCCATGGCAAGTGGACGAAATCGTAAGCAGGCTTCTCGTGCTCTTGAGGTTGCCAATAAAAGTTGAGAGCGTCGACGAAGTCCTGCTCAAACCAAACCCCAGGGATTTTTTCAGACTTCGAGAGGATCTTCAACCAAGGGGTCCCCTTCATCCCGAGGGTGCCACCTTCAAGGGTTTAGGGTTTAGGGTTTAGGGTCCAAGCTATGGTTTTCTTGATCCGACGATGAAATGCTCGGTGGGAATGGGCTTCAGGCGCTTTGCGACCTAGGCAGCAGAGCTTACCCTGTGTTTTCCAGGACTGAACCCCTAAATCCTGAACCGGGGATTCTCGGGGCAGCTTTGGGGGAAAATATAATATGGGTTCCAGGCCCCCCCTAGACCCGAAGCCTTCTATGACTCTACACCCAGACCCAGACCCTTTCTTTTTTTGGGGGGGCAGCATTTCAGCCCAACAGGGCTTCAGAATTTCGGGGTCCAAGATTTGAAAGTCCCGTACCGCCAAATTCAACATGCGAAGATCTAGAAGCATGGAATGTCGCGACGTAGGGTTCTGCTGCTCGTGAGACGAGTCAACATGATGCTGCTGTGAGACACTTCAAAGAACGGGCTTAAACTCACATCGACTTGACTTAACGTCTCGGATTCCTGCTCACTACACAAGCTCCTGCTGTGCGAGCTTCTTGGAAAGCTTGAAGATGAGGGTTGTCGCATCCATATCGAGCTCTGCCATAGGCCGGCTGCCCAAGTGCAAAAGGTCGCTAGCTAAATTCCCGTAACGAGACCTTTGTCTGCTCTAATGATGGGGATTGCTGGGGATTGCTGGGGATTGCCGTGTCGGAGGATGTTGGAGGATGTCAGAGGAAGAGGGCACCGCGGCTATCGGCTATCCTAGGCCAACGCTTTACTTGTCAGCAGCCTCGGCTCTCGCCCTGCAGCAAATTTCAACAGGATTTCAGGCGCGCGCGGGGGGCGAACAATGCAACTTCCAGGGCAACAGCACATGCTGCCAGGCATGAAGCAACCGCTATTCCTGAAGAAACTACCGTGTGCATCCGTGTGCTACCACATATATGGCCAGAGCCTGAGCAGAAAGTAGAAAGCCGGTCTGAGCTTGGCACTGATTGTTCATCGTGTGGAAGCAGGTGGGCCACACGTCGTCCTCACAGCTGACTCAACTCTCTCAATATTTTCTCTCCCCCTGCCACAGAAGCATGAAGAGGCACCAGCCGTTTGCATCCAGACTGGGGCCAACCTCGTGAGAGGGGCCGTTGAAGTGGAGCAGGCCGGGTGTGGTGTTGGTCACCAAGTTCTTCGGGGTCCTGAAAGCACGTGACGCTGCATCAGTGAGGCTTTGAGTAACCGTTTGCACTAACAATTGAGATGCTGGCCCCCTTGCTCCAGGACCTCGAAACCTGGTGAGACTGCTTAGCGGAAAGGCAAAACCTGCTATCGGGTTGGGAGATGGAGTTGAGAGTGCTTTTCTTTGGCAAGGCGAAAGTGAGCGGGATGGGATCTACAGGATATTTCATGGCTCCACTGAAGAGCTAATTGATCTCGCCCCACCGCGCCTGCCCAGACTTCCATTTCTGGCAAAAAGGGCACCACGAGCTGTTCCTGCCCCACTTGCCCCACTTGCACCAGTCGCCACCCCCCCCTCCCGCATAGTACTGACTTCCAGTTGTGGCAAGTACGGCAAGTGGGGCGAGGCTGGGAGAAACGTTTAGGGCTTAGGGTTTAGGAATTTATGGCCCCAAAGGGTCACGTAAAACAAGTTGGACCACGAGCAGTTCTTGCCAGGGCATCCCCGACATGTCTACAGAGCCCCGGGGGGGGGGGGAACTTTTCTGCATTCGCATCTACGGCCAAACCGAAAATGAGAGCTTTCTTACCGAAACACTTTTTCCCAGAAAAAGGATAGTGTTTGGGGGCCAGGAATTGTTTTGTACTTTCTTTCTTTCTTTCGTGTTGTGTACCTTCCCTTTTTGCTCGGCTTCCCAGTAAAATACAAAGGGAATGCAGGTCTTCTGGAAACGACAGAGGAAATAGAGATTTTCCTATTTATTACTACAGACGAAAGAGAAGCTGCCCTATGAAAACAGAGAGGAAATAGAGGTTTTCCTCATAAAACAGAAGCTGGAGGTTGCAGCCCCCCTCCCCCCCCGCCCCCCCAACAGTGAAGGCTTCATGATCTAAACTTGTGCCCACGGCGGCACATGCTTTCGTTTGGTTTGCGAGGAGAAAAGCGCGGAAGCATAAAACACCTTATTTCCAGCACATTCCGCAAACGTAACGACGGCAGTGTGTGCTTCCCGAAAACTTGCTGGACATCTCGGCAGAGCGAAAACAGCGAACACAGCGATTAGCTTATCCGATCGTCTGCAGCTTTCGGGAGGAAGCTGAGTCTTGAACCAGCCGTTGTTACAGGGCTCTCGCTCAAGTTCTCCAGCTTTGTACTCCAGCATATTCATGAAGACCTCAGTCCGGAATGCAACCATCGGCAACTTTGCACAGGTGTGCCACAAGGCGTGAATGCCTTACCCTTAGAGCACTGCCTCGGCGTGCTGATCTATCTGGATGTTCAGTTCCAGCGCATGTCGCATGATGACCAACCACATGGCACCTGCGTGAACCGTCTACCAGTGTGTGAGGCCGTCATGGCTTGGACTTGAGAAGCCAGCACCCTGCTGCGACGGTGCCTTGATCATTCACGTCCTCCTGCAGTACGATTTGGTTGTTCCTCGCAAGCTAGTTGAAGCGCTCTTGCAGGTGCAGCTGCTGCAGATGCTACTAGTACCCACTTCCACGACTCTTGAATCGCCAGCCCATCCCGAGGCACAAAACTTGTGGGGGTGAGTGTGTGGATCCGGGGAGATTGTGGGGATTTGGGGAACTTTTCGACTGCAAGGGTTTGTTTTGGAGCGGTTTTGGCTGAGCATGCCTCCGCAAGACCTCGATCACTCTCGAAGCCGGTCCCATGGAAAGGCCAATATTCGGAAACCTGGGGGCATGGATTTCCGGATTTCGCACACGCCTTGCGACCCGCGACCTGCACAAACGCTTCCTTAGTTGAGGCACCTGCGGGTAAGGGCCCTCTGCCCTGATCATCCGACAGAAGTCCTCCGGTCTAAACCTGAGCTGAACGAAGGAGCATGGCTCAAAAGTACTAGAGCAGAGAGTGACGGCAGGTGCGTGGCTTGATCCATCGGTTGATGGTCCATGAGATGTTCCCAAAACGAGCCTGTGCAGCGCAAGTACATCTTCTTCGCTGGAATGTTTGGATGTGTTCGGCTATTCGGGTTTCTACCTTCAGGTGCTCTGTTGGATGTGACCACCAGGCATACATGGGGTAACCCTAAACCCTAAACCCTAAACCCTAAGTAGTGTCATGACTTTTTTGGTGCAAAAAGCCATCAGTCACCAATAGCAGCTGAGGAGCCCAATCCGCTAGATCCCAGGCCCCGTGGGACGGATCCGTATGTGGCCTCACTGTTCTAATTATGTGTTGCAACTGTAATTATAAAAGATTACATTCAAAATGTTGTATTTTCACATTTTGTATGACTATATGACTATATGACTATATTACTATATTACTATGTGACTATGTGACTATATAACTATATTACTATATTACTATATTACTATATGACTATATGACTATATGACTATATGACTATATGACTATATGACTTGTTGAATCTATTACTATATGACTATGCTACTACATTACGATAATCCTAACTAACTATGTTGTTCCGTATATATATATATATTCATCAAGTTAAGTTATTTGGTTCTGCGATGTTCGGAGCATCTCAGACGGCGGCCAAGGCCAACAGTTTCGCTCACCGGAGATGAGGTATGGCCTGTGCTTTGGCAGGGCGTGCTCGCATATTCACACAACGCACTTCGAGAAGGCTGGCTTTCGCTGACAAGAGATGAGCACGATATGGTAAAATACCATACAATATACTAAATTTGATACCAGCAAATATATTCACATAACATATAACAGCCATCATGATAGGCAACAACGGCAAGGGCGTCCCCTTTAAAGACTCACTGAGGGCGAAGCGAGCCTGGCCAGCGGTTGTAGGCTGCCATGATGTCAGCCAAAGGTTGCTGGCCAGAGATTCGCAAGAGGGGGAAGTTTGGGGGATTGCTTTAGGGTTTAGGGTTGAGGATTTAGGGTTACTAGAAGCATGGCGGCCAGCGAAGAGGCGGCTGTTAAACTCGCAGCCATGAGCCTGGAGTAGCACATCATGGCCATCCGCAAAGATGACCTTTGCTCATCAGGCGAATTTTGTGCAAGGTGTTTGCAGTGCAACCGGTATCCGACTCCTCAGCATCTGTCGAAGTGCCCGCTTCCGATGCTGCCAGCCCACCGATGGGTTAGGGTTTAGGGTTAAGGGTTTCATGAGGGTTTAGGGGTTTAGGGTTGAGGGTTGAGGGTTTCGAGTGCTTTCGAGCATCAGCATCAAGGTTTCCTTCCTCCTTCGACAGGATCGCTTGGATCTCTTGGTGCTGCTGCAGAAGAACCGTCAAACAAATGGTGAAAAGAACCTCCTGCAACAAAGCCCAACACATAGACCGCCTTCCGATAGGTTTCCTTCCTGATGCGCCTTGAGCATGGGGGAGCCCGCCCTAAAGGTAGGTAGCAGAGTGCTCACTGTAGAAACGATGGTGCTAGGGGTCTTTCAGCTAGAACATGTGTGCAACCCGGGAATGCCTGTGAGCCTATGCCGGCCGCGACCGCGACCCCAAGAGGCTGGGGCGAAAACCCGGAGCGTGCAAAAATGCAGAAACAACCATGGTAATAGAGTCATATAGTCATATAGTAATATAGCAATATAGTAGTATAGTAATGTAGTACATGGGCTAAGAAGACCAATCCATCGCAAGCGACGATGTCATCGGAAGCAATGCGCCCTTTGCTGACCTCATACTCCAAGACCTGGCGTGAGTCTGGTGTCCCTGGCATCCCCGTGCTGACTCGACCATTACGACAAGCCTAAGACGGCTGGCGAGAACTGTGATCGCCCGGAATCAAAGCCCTATACTGCGCACATTCAGGCGCCCAGCCGGCCTCTTGGAGCATGAGAAACCTGATCTCATGCTGCGGAACGCATGGAACCTCTGGTCATGGCTTCAGGGTGTCGCCAAGTCACTTCAGGGTAGGCGAGTGGTTGTGGATCAAGATGTATCCGGGCCTTCACGGCACTTGAACACGTTGACACATCCCCCCCCCCCCCCCCCCCCCCCCCCCCCAGGTCTACGGCCAAAACAAGCACCTTGCCTTTTGCTGAGGCCCATAACACGGAGGACTCCGCCAAGCTCGACAGTGGCCTCGAGAGGCATCCATGAGAAGCACGCTAAGCAGCTCATGCCCGAGCACGTGGGCACTCACATGGCTTCCCTAGCACAGTTCAAACCAAGCTCAACCCTAACCCTAAACCCCTCAACCCTAAGCCCTAAACCCTCAACCCAGACCACCCTAAACCCCCCATAAACCTTAAACCCTAAACTTGCCCCTAAAAACCCTAAACACCCTGCCTCTGCCAGCACGCAGAGCCCGGGATGTGGGATCTCGGGAAGCGCTGCGTTCAGAGGGCTGCACGGGTCAGCCCCGCCGAGCCCCAAGCCGTATCCGAGAAGGTGTAGAAGTGAATCTGACCTTATTTTAGGGTTAGGTTTTGGGGTTTGGGGTTTAGGATTTAGGGTGTATACACTTGCAGCTCCTGCTACGTAGTTGTCTTCGACGTTTCTGCACAAATCGCAGGATGTGATGCCACTCCTTGAATGAGTGAGTGTATCAGACTTGTCACAAGATACGTTTTGCAATGCTGGCCGGGCTGCGACGTGCGGCTTGCCCAGACAGGAAGAAGGCCTCAACTGGCTGAGCGGTTCAATGCTTGCAGCGCAGCTCGTATAGCTTTGTCATCTCGTGAGCAACCCGCTGAATGAAAAATATTGGTGAAGTCTCGGCCCAACTTGTGGCCTGGTCATTCCAAAAGCCAAGACCAAAAACACCGTAACACGTGGAGGGTTCAGCCTTGCCAGCCGGAGGGGAGAATTGATCGAAAAAGAGCTTGACTTCATGCTTCACCGCCAAATCCACACTATGCGAGACGACATTCTTCTTTCCATTTCTTTCCCTGCAGCGTGTTACCATGCCGCACGTCTTGCTTTCAAGCCTGAAGCTCGACCGCCCTGACCGGTCCCAAATATAGGGCCCAGCGCAATGTAGTCAGATCTTTCCGTGCGTTTCGGTCCGAAAAATTCTCAGCATCCCACACTCTCAAAACTCGGAAATGCTGTCCCTGCCACGTCATTTGCCTCTGGGATCCTTAAAGGCGCGTGTGCGCGAGTTGTTTACGTCCGGTTGCAACTTTGTTTTTGGCCTGAAAACAACGTCATCTCTGGTTCGTCCTTCCTTCTTCCCCGTGAGTCCTGTCTCCGTCTTTCTTCTCTCTTCCCGCAGATGCGAAGGGTCAGGCGGAGACCCTCCCCCCCGCGCTGTCACACACCCATATTAATGTCTGATGTCGTGGTTCCACCACGTCGTCGCCGAGAGAACGGAGCACACAGCGCAAGAATCTCTGAAAAGCTCTTCTGGGTTTGCGGGTGGGGGGGAGCCGCCCTTCCTGTCCTCCCTCTGACGTCACTCATAGCATCTAAGAACTGTCGGGCCTTCTTCTTACGCAATCATGGGATGGAGGGTCTTCTCATTTCAGGGACCCTCAACTAGCTCAAGATGGTGATGAGCCGAGTGGCCCCCCAGCAGGCCACAAGCAAACGCCACATTTTTGGGCCACGGTCGTCATCTCAAAGCCCTCCTGGTGCCTGGCACTCGTGAGGACCCCATAGGCCCTTCTCATGTGAACGTGCACCCACTCTTGCTCATGTCCCCCGCCCTGTCGAGGGAGCGCCCTCGCGGTGTTCATGGCACTACGCAGGCACGGAAGGCTTGAGAAAGGCTTCCTAAGAGTTTCCTCAACTTTGAGGCTGCGCTGTGGGGTCGTGGGCTATGGACGACTCGATGCTGACAACCGACTCTTCCTCAGATTACATGTTGCTATATGTTGCTCCTCTTCCGCACTAGGTGCTTGACTGGAAGCTCGGTATGACGCTTTCAAGCTCAGGCTTGACAAAGGCCAACAACCAGATGATGTAACTACCTGGAAGCAGGGTGCTGGCAAGTAACTAACTGCCACATGTGCTTTTAGATTGCAGACTGGCAGCCGATAAGATGACCCACCCACCCAGCCAAAACCCCAAAGCCGTAGCAGAACGATTCATGAGGTGCTCGTGGGCGTCAAGCAGGAAGCAAGGACAGCTCGCAGGGCAACATGAGCAATGAACGTGGCGCTCGTTGTTTCGTCTCCGTCTGGCACAAACGGGCTCAGCGCCTGATCCAGAAGCAAAGGACTGCAACTGCCCAGGGAGAAGGTGAGGGCACGAGCTCCGGCAATTTCACAACTTTTACATCAGCCACAAGATGCCTTGACCCCTTGAGATCCCTTGAGTCAGCATGCTCGTGTGCGCAGCCTTTGCCCCATGTCGGCTGAGCCGTGCAGTGCGGAGATTTCCCCCAAGCGGATGGACAAACCTTCCACCTCACGACTTGGCTGGAGGGTGTGTAGGGAACTCTGGGGGAAGAGTGTCAGAGTTTAGCCATTTTTGCCTCGCCCTCCTACCGGCATCTGAGCTTTCGACTGCCTGCTGCATGGTGGTTAGTCCACGCGAAGCGCTCCTCGGTTCTGCTTTGGGCCGAGGATGGCCCAGGGCTGAAAACTTTGGACCATCTTCAGACTGCAAACCTCCAATGGACCTGTCGGACCAATAGAGGATGCCCTGTACCCCGTTTATACCCCATATAGAAGAGAATCTCCTTGAAGGGACCCCCAAAAGGGTACCCCTATTATTTTCAGAAAACCCCCCTATATGAGTAGAGTTCGCAGCCAAGGCTGCATCATGCTGCAGTCGAGCATCTGCTCCGCTGCGGTCTGGCGGTCGGCAAGGCGTCGCACCTGACGAGCCCATTAGCTCTAAGACTGGATGGTTTAGGGGTTTCAGGTTTAGGGTTTAGGGATTGGCTCCGGGCTTCAGTATCCAGGGATATTGAAGGTGCCAAAAGGACCGGCTGCCGAAGGCTTTGCATCGCAGCCTTCTCTTCAATACGACCACTACCTCTGCACCTACTGTGGGTGCGTGCGTGCGCAAAACCCCGGAAGCCCTTGCTGGCGAAGCACATCGATCATACAACCCTCAAACCTTGCCGTACAAGTTGAGCAGTTTCATGGTCACGATACCTTGCAAGACCCTATTTTTCAGGCCGGCGCTTCCTCCGCCAGCCCTTCCCATCGCGACCACAGCTTCTTCAATTGAGCCTCAGGTGGTGCAGCGCAATCCCCTCTTCCCCTGCGCACAGCTGCATCCATGAGCAAAACAGCAGAAAAAAACAGCAGCATTGCTGGGGCTCTTACTTCCTCTGCCTCTGCTCTCTCAGCCCACGGCATCTGATTCGGTGGCACCTGCTGCTGTGGATTTGACCCCAAGCGTTTGGGTAGTTCCCCCAAAAGGGGTACCCCCCATACACCCCCCAATACTATATTAATCCTTGTTGGAGAAACCCCCAAAAAGGGTACCCCCCCCCCCCCCCCCTCCGTTTTCGGAAACCCCCATTTGAGTGCTAGGAGTATCACATTGCAGCGCGGGGCGGAATGCCAAAAGATGACCGCAAGGGACCCGCAAGTCCACCTCCGCTTCCGCGAGGCTCGAGGCTGTGATGGGTTCACCTTGGGGTTTAGGTAGCGTTTGGGGTTCGGGGTTCGGGGTTTGGGGTTTGGGGTTGAGGGTTGAGGGTTTGGGGTTTAGGTTGGTTAGCTCTCTTTCCGACGCATCTTCCCAATGTTTCCAGCTGTGTCCCAGGCTGAGGCCATCCATGGGAGATTGCGCGCGGCTGCGACCTCTCCAACGAATTCTGATACTGGTAGTACAAAAACAAGCAGAATAATGATAAGAAGAAGAATAGTAACAATAAGACGAAGAATAACAATAACAAACACTAACACTGATGTCCTTCGGAGGATTCCGGGCAGGTTTTCCACCCTGTTACGAGCACCTCAGGCCGGAACAGAGTGCAAGTAGCTGCCTGCGAAGCTCGATGCTGTCCTGCTCAGCTGAAAACCTACACGGGGGTTTCCGAACTTAGGGGTACCTTATTTCAGTACCATATGACAAAGGAGTCCTACTATTTGGGGGCGGGGTGTATATTAAGGTTCCCTAATATCGTAAACTCCCACACTGGTCTGGGTCATGGCCTCTTGGAGCCTCTTGGAATGGCTCTTTCCCTCACTGGACTCTCCAAACCTTCGAACCTCACTCGACGTGCCGCGCAGGATCAGCATCTCATCTGAAGTAGGGTTTATTCCTTGTATCCCCAAAGGGACACCGAATATGTACACTTACCAGTAACAGCAAAATATAAACCCTGTTTCATCTGATGGATGGACCTGGCCTCCACGGTCTCGATGAGTTGGCAACGCACCTGTTTATGGACATGAATCTCCTTTGCAAGGGCTGAAGGACTTCGAACAACGGCTCAGGTGCGGGCGCTCTCAATCTCGGCCGCCGTGCTGCTGTTGCCCTTTCAATCGTGAATTGGGCCGTGCCAGTCTGTTGTATGAGCTTTGCTGAGCAGGCAAGCCTTACGAATCACTTGGTCTTCTTAAGTGAACACGAACGGTAGACTCCTGACGCACTGCACCCCACTGCAACCTGCGACAGCTGGTCCGAGAAGCTTCGAGCCTGACGGCCGGAAGCTGGTCATGATGCAGAGAAAGCCAGAATGGTAGGCACGCGAGCAGCGTTTCGGAAGTGGACCAGCAAGAAACTTCACTCAGCCCCGGAAACTCAGTTCTGTAGCACTTTGAACCCCGCTGCTCTGTCATGACCTTGTGGGATGATCCTTCACTGAAGCTGTGGCAGAAGGCGGAAGAGCTGCTTGTTTCTGATTCCAGCTTTTGTGCTCTCCTGCTCATGGCAGCCAGGCAGCTGGCCCACCGCTGCAAGGCAGAGCGCCCCATATGCACAGACAGCAATTGGGGCTTTCCGACAACAGGGGGCCCCTAATAAAATACCCCCAAATAGTAAGTTTCCCTGATAACCAGTATATAATACCCCCAAATAGTAAGATTCCCTGATAATAATTTCAATAAGGCACCCCTCATGTCGAAGAAGCCCCAACTGAAGAATCTGCCCCCGAATTCCTCCCCCAAAGGGGGGGGGGCTCAGAGCTGCCGGAGCCCGGTCGCCTCGAGGGCTCTCCTCGAAGCAGCTTGGGGTCACTTCATACATATATATATATGTATACATATATATATATATGTATTTGTATATATATATATATATGGGTGGCTGTCAATATTCCTTCTTCCAGGAACGGCGGATGCTTAAAAAAGGATTTCGAAGGTCTGGAACGATGGCTTTGGCAAGTACGGAAGCGTAGCAAAAATTCTTGCTCCCGATGCAAAAACCTCGCAAAACACACTAGCGCCGTCATTTTAAGACTCAGGCATCGTCTTCGGAACTACTGGAGCTACTTGAGCTCGAGCTAGTAGTACTTTGCTCTTCCAGGTTGGCCATGAATCAAATCAGCTGTCTTAGTACTGCTTTATGTCTTGGATGGGCACGTGGCCACCGCAAGCAGTTTCCCTTCATATTTGCTAGCGCGATGCTAGCGCCAACCTAGCGCATATTTCGCCGCATCACTTTAGACTTTTGGCACGCCGGCAGTATGCATCAGGAGCAACCACAGGGTTTAGGGTGTAGGGTTCAGGGTGTGTAACCCAATGTTCCACAGTCTTACCTAAGCCGCAGGCCGCCTATACTACTTAAGCTTCCCGAAGCTGGATCGCTCTAAACCCTAAACCCTACACGCTAAACCCCAAAATGTTAGCCTTTGGAAAGGAACACCTAGCGCCACGCTAGCGCTATCCTAGCGCCTACATGGGGAAGAGCCTGAAACCTGCATATACGCATGGTGCCGCCTTGTGGCGAAGACATAAACCAGCAAGAGCGGAACTTCATATCGCACTTCCATCATATTTTACATACATGGTATTTTGACGTCCGCCCATATATATATATATATATGCTGCCAGCGCTTCTACTTGTAGAGCTGTGCCAAGTGGCCATAAGATGTGCCAAAATCATTGCAGGCGGGCATCAACAGGGCAGGGACGTGTTGTTGATTTCGAATTTGCTCCTTGGATGATGTACTTTTCTCGACTTTCCTCACGCCAATATGAGGGGCATGCGGATGTTCTGAAGGGTCAAGGAGCAGCAGCCGCGAAGTTTAGCGAGCAGGTGCTTCTACTGCCTTAAACCCCAACCTCCGGCTAGAGGGCTAGTTGTCTCAGCTGCGGATGCGCCGAGATGTCTGCAAGGATGGCATGATACCCCAAACTCAAGAAACCGGACTTGCCGCAAGGTCTCGCAGCTTTCGATGGCTGCACCGTACGTGACCAGATTTGGCTCCACGTCGTGTCGCGCTTCCTCTCGGGCAGAAAGGCGTTTCGGGAATAACGTTTCACGGCTTGGGCCTTTTGAAGGTCCAGCGGTCGATGGGCAACGTCTACAACTCAAAGCTCAGAGCTCAGAGACCTTCTGGGTTGCTATTCAGGAGCTTCAATCAGTTTTAACCACAACATGACTTTGGTACTGGTATCCTGGACTTCTGTGGCCACTTGGCAGGAGTGCAGTGCTTTGAACTTTGCGTGAGCCCATCACAAGCGCATGTACGGCGGTCCTGAGCAAGGAGCTGGAGGGCTGCGAGCCACTGCATGCTTTGGCTACAGGCCAGGATGGCAGCGCTGAAGCTGATGGTGTTCGGCTGCAGGCCAGCTAGGCGGAGATCCTGAGAAAAGTTGCCGCGAAATTATGCAGCACAGTAGCGATCGCGCAGCTAGAGCTTGTGGGGAGAAGACAGAATGCGGTCGCGCAGCTTGAAGATTAGATCTGCGCCAAAGCTGGAAACCGCTATCAAGTTTGGGAGAACCTAGAGCTCAGTTTGCACCCCACCTTCATCAACTGGATGGCTTTCTCCCAGGCGTTCGCCTGCAATAGGCGAAACACCCGTCGTCCACATTTCCAGCTTGTCTGGGCCCGCCTTTTGAGCAGCACTGATTGCAGAATTGTACAACACCACATTGGGCTGAATCTTGTCTTCCTCAACGATTGACCTGAACCAACTAGGGCAGTCTGGCCCTTCAAAAAAAGTAGATTGATGTAACTATACATATATTTCTATACATACATATACAAGCAGACACACCAACAGTCAGGCTCGAAACCATGCTGGCTCGAATTGTTTACGCAGGGAAATGTGAGGTCCGCTTGGCGCCGGGCAGAACTCCGGAAGCTAAATCCCATCGCCCGGATCTTTCCACAGCGCTCATTGTGGCGCTGCAAGCCTGGTTACACAGAACCGGATTGAACATGAGAGGAAACATTGGGCTACCGCGCCAACTGTCACTCTTGATTGAATCTTCGGCGCCGGCCGTTCAAAATTTGCAAAGCTGACAAGGTACAAATGCTGCCCGCGCATCAACAAGGTTCACAGCAACGGCGTGTGCTATCAGTCTGTCAGGAGCTCGCTAGCGCCAATGAGCTTTAGACATCACCACATTATCCTTAGGACATCTCCGACTATGTCTGGCTCTCGAGCTGAAAGGGCAAGCCGCAATGACATCCGGCTGCAGTCTGATCCTTGGGCTGTGCATTGCAGGAAGCAAGAACCGCCTGGCATTTCGGGCATTTTCCTATCCAACCTAAGTGAGAACCGAAACGACCTAAACAACACATCTGTGTGCATGCATACTGGGCTGAACAGTTCAGGAGCTGGCAACTGCCCAGCGTGCTGCACCACTTGTCGCAAGGTGTTGCAACCACTTTTGCCAATCTAATTCCTTGTAAGCAAGTGGCTGGAGAACTTCTTCAAAAAGCGCAAGAGCAAGCTCCCACTGCTTGCTCTTCTCACAGGCGCTGATGACTGCACTGTAGGCCACGATGTTGGTCTGCGCAAGGGCGTATCACCACGGAGAACCCATTCTAGTTGCCTAGAGCTAGCAGTTCCGCCCCACTGACACCTCCAGCTTCAACTTTCGCATATCCAGCAGGAGAGCCAGCGCTGACGCCCAATTGTGGCCCTTCTCGCAGGCACCTCAGCGGACGGGATCGGGACAGAATATAGTTGAGCAGCTCGTGTACTCCAAGTTCCGGGCTGATGGCAGTGCTGCATGCGACCAGGTTCAGCCCAATACTCCGATCTCGAGCCTGCTGCCACAGGTGTGCACACAAAAAGCGTGTCTCTGGGTCGTGGCTTGTGCAACCTGTGGCCAACCCTTGTCCTGCCCAAAGCAGTGTCACGAAACAGGCATTAAAGCACCAGTTCAGTTCATGACAAGCCCTGCCTCTCCACACAATGACAGCGCCATCTCCCAGCGACCGCCCTGTCAAAGGGGCAGTCGGCGTGCAGCTGTCTCAAATTCCAGTTGCATCCCATCAGTTGTGTAGGCTGTGCTAGTAGGGTCGAAGCCTCGTAGCATTTGCTTTTGGCCGGCAAACAAGACTATGAAAATCAATAGCTGAGTTCGCCCAAAGGCCCCAATAAATGACTCACTATTAAGAGCCTCTGGGAAGCGAACGAGCATACATTCACTCCATTCATTCAGTACTGTTCTTATTATTGCACGTTCATAGTAATCTTTCAATGCCTGCGAACGTGGCGTGTAAAATGTGAAAAATGTCTCTTAATGAACGGACGAAACACACTCATGTGTCGTTCACACAATGGCCGGGGAAGATCATGCACTTCGTTTATATCAAGGGCCTTTGATGCTCGCTTCATTCTGTTTATCTTCACACGAGCGCTCGTTGTATTCTCTTATTTTGCGCTCGTAATGGTAACTAATTGTTTTCGTAATGCGCATGCACAAAAAATTCTTAATTTCACGCGAAATTACTGTTATTACTCTTACTCTTAATTAATTACTATCAGCACTTTCATTCTATTCTTATTGTGCGCGGGATGACAAAGTCACAGATGCTTTAAGCATGCACTCGTTTGATAGTCCTTTGACCTCAGCAACAGACACAGCAGGCTCTAGATTCACCACACATAGCCGGCCCACCAGCAAAGCGGATGCCAGCCACAATCACATCCGACGGCAATGTTACCAACAACATAATTATTCACAACGCTACTTTCGTAATGCGATTGACACCATCAACGACAGGGGCAGCCACAATAGCTGCTTCTCATCGCAACAATTAACGCAGGGATCTGGAGAGCCATGGGCTTGGAAGGAATGCGCTACGATTTGAGGAAGCTTTTGGGAATAAGAAAGGGCACCGCCCCGGTTTAGAACACGCCCGTATCTGCCTTTGCCAAGGCTGCCATGGTAGAGGAGGCGGCCACCACGTTGGGTTTGTCCAGAGAGCCTAGGAGCCAGGGGCAGCGGTTCCGCAGGGGCACACGGCCAAAGGTGCCCGCAAGGTTTCATGCTGCACTGGTAACACTGTGTAACGCTATGACAACTTTTTCTCGATTCGCGCCAGGACACAGAAGAGATACCATGCTGTCTCCCACTGACAGCAACTTTCACAAGCACCAATCGCGGCAGAAACCACGACCAGGTTCGGAGCCTTGATTTGAGGATTAAAACGAACTCACTAAACCCCAAATAAAAGCCACAACAACAACAGCTGCTCAATGTAGCCCAGTAGTTGCAAAAAGAAGCCTCTGTGCCATGAAATGCTCAACTGAGTCAACTGAGTGGCTACTTGCTGCTTCGGCATCTCTCGCAGCAGCTGCAGGGCCAGGATCCACTGACGCCCTGACTCGCATGCGTCGACGAGGCAACCGTACACGACGACCTCAGCACTTCCCACGTCATGTTGACCTTACAAAACCGTATACTCTTAACCGGAGGTGGGGAGCATTTCCCGTCAGATTTTGCAGGTCGGATTATCCGCCGAGGCCTAAGGCCTAAGGCGTAAGGGGTAAAAGAATGCCACCTCCTTCATCCCCTTCGTGGGACTTTTGACGTTAGCGGCCAACCTTCCCGCCTTCTTTTAGGTCTGGTAGTGGGCTGTGAAGGCCGATGGTGCCCTGGCATCTGCCGTTTTGCAAAGCCCATATGGACCCGCTACTGACCTCCCCTCTTTCAGTCCAGTGCAGCCCCTATGTATGTAGTGGGCCCTGTTGCCGCGTGTGGACCCCCTACAGATCTTGACCCCGAATGGGCCGCCGATGGCCCCTCCTCCCCTTCCCTCAGAACCAACCTCCTGCGCCCATGTACCTCGCCATCGCATGCGCTTAGTAACTGCCTAGACCATTCTCCTATGAGCTCTCTACATAGCAGACGCCTCGCAGGGTTGGGGTCTGGGCTAGGAAACTTTCTGGTGTTTGGGTTCCGAGGTCCCCTCGCCGCCATGAAAGCCGACGGACTTCGTGAGGTCCATTTATGACTTGGAAAGCGAAGACTGGAATTCACGCTCACTGCATCGCCGGTAGCAGCACTGTGGGGTCTTGCGATGCATTACTCTGACAGGACTAGGGGTTCCTTTGAGGGCACTGCGCTACATGTGCTTCGCAGATGGGCTGCTGGAAGGTCTTACCGGAGCAGTACGGATCATGCAAAATATGCAAAGAGAGAACAGCTGTTTCAGTCGGTGAGAGAGCATGTTGTGACAGTGTGGGAGGGAGGGGTGCTTCTCGGCCCCAGGCGTTTTTTGCGATCCCTGCGGCTGTGAGTGACTCACCAAGCTGCAGGCACCTGCAGGTTAGCATGACTCTGGCAAGGCCGCGTGTGCGTGACACAGTTCCCGGTGGCCGTAGGATGGCCACCGCGCACTGGGCTCCACCACTGCGCGACAGACTTGGATGGTGATGCCAGACCTCTGCCAGTGCCCAGCAGCAGTGCAGGCCGTCATCGCTGCAGTGTAGGTCACCCTTGGCTGATGATCGGTGAAGTTACAAAGCTAGAAGTCGCATGCCCTCTTTGCCTGTGCGATGTCAGAACTGGAGGAAAGATGGGGAGTGGCTGAACTGCTCAAAGGAACACTGTGCATGCGGCGCCCAACGAAGGCATCTGGTTGAGAATGGACAGGGCAAGCTCCCAACCTTGCAGGAGGCAGGGTCCCTGATCTCCTCATCAGTCCTAAACCCTTGCCCCCAAAGTCATCTGAATTTCGGGGTCTGCCATAGCTGAGAGACGTTCGCCCCTGCCGCAAGCAGTGATCACAGAGTTGCAGAAGACGGAGCTCAACCTGAGATTGCCACACTTCGATTTGACAAGCGTGGAATTCACTGCTAGCCAGGCAGCTGCAAGTGGGCTGCACATGCATCCTCCAAGAGTGCCACGGCGTGGCTCCAGGCGCCGCTGCAGGCTGTAGCAACTGCTCCGAAGGCCACGATGTCTGGCTTTAAGCTGCGCCTGGCAAAAGGAGCAACCTCTGCCGGCTTCTTGACAATCTCAACACGGATGTCGCCGAGTCACGCCGGCAGCTCCCGGAGCATCTGCAGGGCGTCTCTCCAGAGCGACCCAGCCGCGCAGCCGCTCATAGCCGCGCTCCAGCAGATTAGGTCTGGCTGGCCTGGCATCTACTTGTCTCCTTGCAAAGACTGCACCGCCCTTGCTACTTGCTGCAGGATCATTGCAAGCCATGCCGTGACCTCGCGCACGAAGATCAGCGAACAGGGCGAGTGCAGAGGGCCACTGCTGCGCTTGGCTGCATGCCCTGATGGCGACGCCTGAGTGGCGGTAGAACAATGGCTTGTGCACTGGCGATGTCCGCGGACACGAGCTGCAAGGCATGCTCGCGACAAATCGAAAGGTTCGTTCTGCTGCCTTGAGATCAATAATGACACACAACATCGTACAACGAAGCCCGCTACATGCCTCAAAATCAACGTTAGAGTCCAAAGTGGGTCGACGCAGCCTGCATCTGCTGGCGTTTCCCCCCCCCCCCCCCCCCCCCGAAGCCACTTGGATGCTTGAGCCAAGGGACTGAACGCCACGTTGTTTGGAGTGATACCTGGCATCTGCCCCCGGACATCCAGTCAGCGTGCATCAGCAAATATAACCCTCTGCATCAGTCTGCATGAACCGTGGGTCCTGAATTCAATGCCGCGAAGGTGTGCAGGACTTGCTGCCATTGCAGCGCTCGGCCAAACTCGGACATGCTGCGAACCTTGTGGCACCACCCCACAAAGCAGCACGCCTTCCCCAAAAATGACGGAATCGAAGGCATGTAAACAGAGGTGCAGACCATGCGCTTCGCATCCGCAATCGTAGCAGACTGATGCGCAGATGCCAAGGATGCCATTGCTAAAGCGCTTTGTGCTGCCGAGGCTAGTTCACCATCGCTCACCTCCTCCCCCCTAATGCTGCAATCTTCGAGCAGGTGGCTAACAGGCCGCCTTCGTGCCTGGCTCCTTCTGTGCGCAACTCTGGGTGCAACATGGTGCAATCGCATGCTGCAGCTGCTCGGCCATGCCAACTGCGATTGCAGCCTTTGTAGCATGGTCTCCGAATTCCAGTCGTTGGGGCCGACGTCTGCAAGCTCTGAATCCAAGCTTCAGAGCAGTGCGCCTGTGAGGCCATCTCTTCGGAAAGCATGCGCTTGGCCTGCGTGATCGGGCCGCTCAGCCGCTTGCCACAGGGATGCGTGCAAAAGCAAAAGCAACCACGCGCACGCACGCACACATTGACATATGACATCTGGCCGCATGGACATAGACACTGTCAAAGGCACACCTCTCCCAGCTCCAGGGACAGGGCGCCCCGGAGCGCCACCACTGAGGCCTCTCGCAATTACGTCTTGCTTCCCGTGCAGAGAGTGTGTGCACAAATGTGCACAACATTGCACAACATGTGTCAGATCCCGGAAGATTGCCTCAGTCTGGGCGAGCTGTTCTGACTGGATCTGCTGCGCGGGGCGCATGTCCACCTTCAGACACCCCAGTCGCAAAACCCGGCCACACGTTTTTTCGATGTTGCCTCCAGTGCATCCGAGAGGGACATCCGGAGCTCGGTGAAACCTGCCTGCAGCTCCTCCCGATGAGAGGGCAAAATGTACATGTCTCTGCGAGCAGAAGCATCGTGCATTCAGGCCACCGCACCATGCTACCAAGTTCCACATCATTACCTTGAGCTCTGCTTGAGCTCCCATGACTCGGCTCTTTTTGGACTTTCTCTGCGGCTCAAGGAGGCTTGTCCGCGCTGCTCATCGCCTCCGGGGCAGCGGCGAGGTGTCACAGGGAAACAAGATATTATATCACACGATGAACTTCCACCAATGTACTATATTGGATTTAAAGCCATATATGTGTATAGATGATATGCTATAATATACTACAATATGCGATATTGGATTTTAAATCAAACAATATATTATATAAAACTGGTTTAACTGGGGGGAGAGACTGGCCGCAGCCTCGGCCAAGGCCCGTTGAAAGGCATAGGGCCGGTCCCGTGGCAGGACGACCTGCACTTGACAGCTGGCGAAGTTCCGAAGCTTACTGTTGGCTAGCAGGGAATGAGGTATCACATATCCCCCTTTATATACCCCATAAAGGATTCTACTTATAGGGTACATGGGAAAGCTTGGCCTCTGGCCTTTCTCACAGACTTATCTTGCTGGTTCGTTGTGGACGTCTGCAACCTTCCCCCCCCTTGCACCCTGCCTGGGGCGGTATGAGCTGCGAGAGCTTTTCGCGCGCAGCGCGCGGTAGAGACAACTGCAGGGCCTGGCATCGGTTGGGGGGGCTGGACTTGAGAGGCTCAAGCAGTCTGCGCAAGTGGCCACATCACCCCTGCTGCGCAGTTAAGGTGCTTGGTGCCAAGATCTTGTCTGACGAACTCTCTGCCCAGGCAGAACACAGTCAGGACCCTGAAAAACCAACTTACCACTCCCAACTCTTCAGGGGTCCGGACCCGGATCTTCGTTTCCCGGCTGTCGAGGCGTACCTATCACGCAGGAAAATGGGAGCTACCACCGGCCTTTCCTTGCAGAGTATGATCGCGCCTGAAAACCTTCATCAATCCGCTTCTTAAAGAAGCAGCTACATGAACCCCAAGACCCAGAAAAGGAGGAGCAAGAGTGGCTCCCAGCCTCCCATCTCCGCAGTGCGGCTTCCCACGCCTTGTGGCATGCGGAGTCTGTTGGGGAGGGGGGGACGAGGGCGGATGCAGAAGGGTTCCTTACAGAATAGGGATATTCGTGCATATGAATAAATAAAAAAAATATATATATACACACATAGAAAAATAGTAGTATTTGCTATACGTATATGATAATGTGTACATATATGTACATATATATATATATGTGCAACATACACCTGTAGTTGTCCCAATGCTTTCTCCCCAATTTCGCAGTCTTTGTCTCACACACGAAAACCAAAAAAAAGGGCAGTCTTGGCCTGGAGCTCAGAGCCCCTGAGCCGCGGCGCAGGCGGAGGAGGAGCGGAGGAGGCATTGCTCGGCTCCCTTCGGGGGGAAGGAGGGTTTAGGGTTTAGGGTTTAGGGGTTTAGGGTTTAGGGTAAGACTCGGCTTAACAAATATTTAGCCCATTCTAGAAGATTCAAAGGATGGCGGATGTGTGTAGGCCCTACAAGTGAAGAGGAATATCTGCATGACTCGCCGTTCCCGTTCCCCTACTCGCTCGCAAAGCCAACGCCTCAGCTAGGCCTTGACTAGCACTGCAGCCAAGTGTCATAATCACAACATCATCTTCGGACTCCTACTGCAGGGGCAGTATGGGAGGAGCTTGCGGAAGCCGAAGTTTGCGTACGTACGTCCCATTTGCAGGCCTCTTCTTTGACCTCGTCCTTGACGGGCATATCCTCGTCCTGCTCGGCTCCTTGCTGTCGCTCGTGGATGCTTGTGATTTATGTACGTAGCTTTAAGTCCTGGGGATGACCTATGCACATGATGTATATAGAAATATATATGGAGAGAGGTAAGGTATGCACACACTTATGCTGTATTGGCTGTCCAAGCTGCCCCGGCCATCGGTGTTGAATCCCTCCTCTTGTCAGCAGTCAGCAGCTTCTGAACATCGCTCGAGGATGCAAAAGAGACGCGCCACAAAATCACACCGCACGGTGCGGCAGGGCGCTGGTCCTCCATCCCTCGGAACTGCTCGTTTCGATCATGCCGGCGGTCGCGGTGTTCGCGACCGCGGTCCCGTTCATCATACCTAATTAGTTGCAAACTGGCAGGTTCAAAATATGTTGCCGTCTAGTAACCTAGCCTAGTACCACCTGCAGCTCTCTCGAAGAGGGCCTGGCCTTTGCCAGGAGCATCGACGCTTGTAGCGGGCCTGGACACTTGGATCCGTTTCAATGATGCAGGCCTGTCTTACCGATGTCTTAGGATTCATGTCCGGCAAAACACGGAACTACAGCTCAGCGCCATCTCCCGTGCGCCTCCTCTTCCTCGTCTTGGGGGTAGGCAGAGGACCAGGTGCGGTGTCGACCTGCTCGACTGCTGCGGTAGGGATGTGAGAGAGGCTGCGTCGTGAAGATACAGGGTCTTCAGTGAGGGTGGCTTGCCGTCAGACTCGCCGACATGCACACTGGTTCAGGGCGCTCCACATCTTGGGTCTGATTCCCTCTGCATCGCTAGGCTGAGCGGCCTTCTGACGGCGACTGTTTCGCGATGTGGGGCACGTGAACCTGTGGGAACAATGTGGGAACAGGTGCAGGCGAGCAAGAGGGCAGTGCCTGTAAAGAGCCACCCTGCCTTGCAACGGTACTTGCAATGCCTCGACGTGCACTCCGACTCTTTCTTGTAGCAAACCTAGCTGGCTCAACAGTACACGCGTCTGAGGAGAGGGGTTAAACAGGACTCAAGATTTCAACGCTCAAAACGCTTCCATTGACCGCCCAGACACGCTGTATCTCTGGTACAGCCACGACTCAACCTCGCAATGTGCCCGGCTGTGCTCAAAATCATGAAAATAAATCCTGCTGGCTGTCCATGTTGTGGAACACGGGCCGCAGGAAATACTTCTACTGACATGCAAGGATTTGGGAGATTCATGCTTCCTTGACGAACGTGCACGTGATACTCGTGATGCTCCCCCTGTCTTCCCCCTTGCGGGTCACGTCGTGACCTGCACGCAATAACTGTGTATGGATCTGCTTTGTGCAGCGTGTTGGAAGCAGTGCTGCTTTAACGCCATGGCCATGACTCCAATCCTTCCGAAGGGGGCCCATGTTTCTGGTGCACCTGCACCAGTCCTCAAGGTTCAAGGTACTGCATGTATTATCTTTGCAAATACTTCCACCCTCAAACATCCATATCTTAGTCCAACAATATAATACTAAAAAGATAATCGTATAAACAACTTCACAATATCACAATATCATAATAGAGGAGTGTAACTCATGGTGGAACAATGTAGTAATATGATAATGTAATAATTTGAAAGTCACATAAACACATAATCATATACTCATATCAAAAAACAAACATGACATTCCAGCATGAAAACGATGTAGCAAAATAACATTGTAACAATCTCACAATCTCATAATATCATAGTATCCGCATATCACAATATTATCATAGTATCAGAATATCACAGTATCATAATGTTCTCACAATATCACAACATAACTCATAATGTAGCAATATACTAAGTTAATAATGACTAGAACATATCATAATACGATAATGTTATTCTAATATCAGGAACTCACAACAGAACTCATAATGTAGTAATGTAACCACATATGAAGACAATCATATCGTAATAACAATATCAGAGTATCAAGATATTTCTCCCTCGTAAATATAAAATAACATACTTATACAATAATAGCAATACCATTCTATCACAGTATCAGAATATCATAATATCACTCTCATAATCAAACAACATAGTCATATACCAATACTGTCCCTGAGTTCGGTGACCTGCTCCACATTTTCGATGCAGTTGCGCTCCAGACCTAGGGCCGCAAGTTTCGCCACATCCGCTGCGGGATTGCTTTTTGGCAAAGAACAAGAGGGGTTAGGGTTTAGGGTTTAGGGTTTAGGGTTTAGTGTTTAGTGCAACCGGTAACCTGCAACAAAAGTAGTTGTTGGTTCCGAAGGTTCGAGCGGCCACCATATTCTTGTGTCAAACAGGTGTTCCGCTTGAGATTTGGATGTACAGCCATCCCCATATATCAGCAAGTGAACTTTGGTGACCAGTTCCCCCTTGCCCCTTTGTCCGCCGAAAGCACGCAGCCAAAGGGGTGCATCGCCCTCGCGTCGGCAGGCGCTGCCGGTGGAAATGAGGCGCAGGGCGCCACTGCTGGAGATCCTCCCAAACGGCCGAAAATAGGGGTACCTTCTTGGGGTCCTTACCATCACGGATCCCACTATTTGGGGGTCCTCAAACGTTTTCGGGACTTGGGTTGCTGCAACTTGCTACAGCGCGGGCTGCAGGTATTCGAGGAACAACGGGAGAGGTTCTGCTTTCCTGTTCTCCTAACCGCTCTAGGACCCTGGGAGGTCGCAATCTTGTAGCCCTCGACTGGCACTGCCAATGCACGCCCCTGTCAGTAACCGCTGCGACATCCGCAACGAATCTTACGGAGCGCAGCGTAGCTGGATGAGGTCACACTGGGGTGAGGAAAGGCGAGGATGAAGGTGGTTGACAGTGCATGCTGAAATCAGCACCACAGTGCCTGTTGTGGGAGAGATGGAGCTCTTCCAGATTTGGGCACTCCTCCAGAAAGCGTGCCAGGAACTCCTTGGCTTTAGAGCGTGGAGGACTTTGTCTACAGCATCAAAAGTGTAGGATCATCCAACGGGCGAGTAGGTTTTTGTTCTTGCCAGATGGCCGCGAAACACCATGCACTAACTGCATTTGGTCCTGGTTGCGGCGCTGGAAAATCTTGACTTAATTTTCCGAAGCGACGGCGACTAAAAGCAGAGCTGCGCGCACCATACAGAACACAGACTTACGCGTGGCCTACGTTGCTGTGCACTGGCTGCAGTTCTGTGCGTCGGCCCCCTCGTCATCGATGTCGTTCTTAAACAGCTTGAGCACCTCGCGAGGGACTCCAAGTGTGCAGTGAACGTCAGTGTGCACAGCTGGGAACTCCACATTGCACCGAGACGTGCCAACAATCGCTGCGCTCCTAGTAGTCTACAGCTGAGCACATGTTGCAACCGTTGGTTCAGATTGCTATCACATACCTTGCATCCACCAGACCTCCAAGACTTGGAATCTCAGGAGGATGGCAGCTACCCAGGAAACGAGTAAGTTGCCTGTGAAGCCTGCTTGCAGAATCCTGAAATACAGAAGATCTGTGCCGATTCAAAGCCCACGGTTCTGCAAGCAGATCCTATACGGGAACATCCCTCTCCGAAGTCTGTGCCTTGAGCCGAGGGCATCGGACGCAAAGATCCAGGATACAGCGTAAGCCGCGACCGGAGAAGTTGTTCTCCTTGCAGGTAGGTGTGTGAGAGATTTCATGCCGAGGCTGCCATGATCATACGGAGTTTGGTTGAAAAGGCCATGCTAGCCATCACAAATTCTGCTTCTGATGCCGCTGCTGAAGCGCTTTCTCCTGGTGCTCAATCGGTCACGGGGTTACCGCCGCAACTCTCAATGCAAGCCACCCATGTCTTCGCATCCACTACATTACAGGAGCACCTGGATCCGATGCCATCAGCATTTTTGGGGGCTATCTTGCCCCAAACCCGAAACTGTGTGGCTATCTGGCAACCTGCGTCATTTCTTTGAGCTAGTGGGTCTTGTTCCCGCCCTGGGTCACACTAAACCCCAAACCCTGAACCTGGGCCTTTAAATTTAGGTTGGCGGCTGCAGCTCTTTACGGCTATTTGGTTAGGGCTTAGGGTTCAAGGTTCCGGCTTTTTGGGTTTAGGGTTAGGTTGGGATTTGGCAGGGTTTCGGGCGGTTTCTGAATTAGGGTTTTTCGGGCTGTTGGGTGCATTCGACCCCAACAACGGGCCATCCATAACTTAGAAACTTGAGTCTGTCTACACCAAAGGAGAAGCTTCATTGACGATCCCGCGGGCATTGTTCTAATGTGGCCCACATAAACTTTAAACTCTGGGGTCCGGGGATGTTAAGGTGGTGAAGACAAAAACACTACAACCTAAAACCCCAAACACCTAAAAAACACGCCAACCCGAGATAATGTTTCACGAAGCCCGAAACTCTAAACGAAAATCTGAAACCCTAAAGCCTAGCTACTCCTGAGCCCTACCATCCTCAAGGCGAAAGGCCTTCATGCCTCTCCTCGATTTGCAGCCCACAAGTTCACTCACCGTGCCTTGTAAAAAGCCTGAGCCTGAAACGCCCCAAGCCAAGCAAAAAAATATAAAACAACGACCCAAGCCGCACGTCAAGCTTCATGCGATGTGCCACCACAACACAGCTCGCAAGAAAAAAGACACCCGGTTCTCGCAAAATATTAAGGGCACAGGCCGCTGCCGAGAATCTGAGAAGTCAACTTCTTCATAGTCGCTGTCGTACTCTGCGCGGAGATCTAACCTAAGCCGAACGAAGCCACTGAAGATCACGGAAACATCAACGGAGAAATGTGCTATTGCCTCTACAGCAAAGGCAGCTAGACACTTCATTGTGCATCCTAAGCCGTCATTTTCAAGCCATAGCACTCAACATGACAGCTACAAGCCTCCCGTATTTTCACAAACCAATTGGGATTTGGGCACTAACAGCCCAACGACGTGCAGCCCCACACCTGGCTGGTGAAGAGGCATCCGATTTCTCTTGCTCTGCAGATGTTGCTGTCCTTGCTGCCAGGTATCCGCGCGAAGTCCGCATCAGTGAGGCCCTTCCGAAGAGACGGGGCGCGAGAAAGAGAGACCAATACCCTAAACCCTAAACCCTACACCCTAAACCCTACACCCTAAACCCTTCGGAGGCGCGCCTGGCTGGCATAGCTCAAGACGTCCCAGCGGCGTCCCTTGCCCTTGCCACCCTTGCCCATACCGTCACCCAACGGCCCAAGCCCACGCCATGGCTTAGGCTGCTCTTAAGAGAGGTGGGGGGGTTGGTTGTTCCGGTTCTCTCTTATGTAGACTCCCACAAGAACCAAAAGGCAAAATCATACCCAAACCCCCTTACACATGATCATGCGGAGGGATTGGAAAGTTTGTCTGTTCTGGGTCGTCCAGGAAGTTCAAGTTGAGCCAAAGCTGTAGGAAGCATGCCCTGTCATCCTCCGAAAGCTTCAGGAGAAGCGAGTACTGTGCGAACAGTGGCATTTCCAGATGACACACAAGAAGACATGCGATCGATTGACCTAGCAGACCTAGCATTCAGCCAGTTCCTCGGCCGCACAGCCCACTTCCTGCTTGAGGGACTGGACCTGAGGGCTGGCAGTAGCCAGATCATGCCAGGTCCATACGCCCATACAGTGTCACTGCACAGTGGCTGCTGCCTTGGCTTCCGTCTCCGCCGCATCAGCTTGCACTGTCTCAACTAAGACCTCTCGAAACTCAGAGACTCAAGCCGCATGGGCACAGCGAAAACTCCCCGGCATCGGGCCTGCTCGGCGTGGCTACGCTGCAGCTGCTGCTCCTCCAGGCTCGCCAGGGCCTGAGCCACGGCACTTCGACAGCCGAATTCTTCGGCAACGCCCTATTCTGGGAGCCTACCAGAAGCTTTCCCTGAAAGATTCAAGTTCAATGTCGGCTGCCTCGGCAACTGACCGCTGGCATCCTGAAAGCACAAAAGCGGCATGAAGCGGCATCATGCGCTGCTTTCACTGATCCACGCTCCGTCGCGCTCTTGAACTCTCCTTGCACCCTCTTCTGTTTCCTTTCGGTCTAGTGAACCTTTAGTGGCTGTCTCGGCGACTCTTCGGCACGACGGAGGTCCTGGTCGTAGGGCAGCGAGCTCGGCAAGGGCGCTCTGGACTTCGTCCTGGCAGCCCCGATGCTCTGAGCAACCACTCGCCCTGCATCCCATCCCATGCTCGCCACGGCAAACCGGCTGCCTGGACGTGTTGCTGCTGCCGTTCGTGGACCTGTCCAAACCAGTGAGTCTGCAAGCTGGGGGCAATTCTCACAACTCGTTTTGCAGCAGCTGTAGAACTTTCCCCTGCTTGCAGATCTTGCAGTGCATCAAGCTCTCAAAGCACTGCAGCTTCATACCATGTCTTCGGCAGCTTGTTTTTTCCTTTGCCGGCCTGAAGATGTGCCCACAGATCCTTCGCACAGTGCTCGGCAGTGCTTTGAACTTTGAACTTGGCTTCCGTTTTGAGACCCGCTGTCTTAGGAGCGATTCCTCTCCACGCCATTCCATGCGTGCATGGATGCTTTCGGCATGTCGAAACCCACAACTCCGAGAACCGCATGGGCACAGGGCCTGCTCGGCGTGGCTACGCTGCAGCTGCTGCTCCTCCAGGCTCGCCAGGGCCTGAGCCACGGCACTTCGACAGCCGAATTCTTCGGGGAAGAGACGGCATCGGCAATGCCGGCTGCCTCGGCAACTGACCGCTGGCATCCTGAAAGCACGCAAGCGGCAAGAGACGGCATAATGCTCTGCTTTCACGGATCCGCGCTCCATGACGCTCTTAAACTCTCCTTGTGCCCTCTTCTGTTTCCTTATAGTTTAGTGAACCTTTAGTGCCCTCAGCGACTTTTTGGGCACCACTGAGGCCGCAGATCCTGGTCGTAGGGCAGCGAGCTCGGCAAGGGCGCTCTGGACTTCGTCCTGGCAGCCCCGATGCTCTGAGCAACCACTCGCCCTGCATCCCATGCTCGCCACGGCACCCGAAGCATCCCGAAGCAGGCGGAGGTGTCAACACAAACCGGCTGCCTGGACGTGTTGCTGCTGCCGTTCGTGGACCTGTCCGAACCAGTGAGTCTGCAAGCTGGGGGCAATTCTCACAACTCGTTTTGCAGCAGCTGTAGAACTTTCCCCTGCTTGCAGATCTTGCAGTGCATCAAGCTCTCAAAGCACTGCAGCTTCATACCATGTCTTCGGCAGCTTGTTTTTTCCTTTGCCGGCCTGAAGATGTGCCCACAGATCCTTCGCACAGTGCTCGGCAGTGCTTTGAACTTGGGAATCAGAAAAGTGGTCCACGGCTTTGGCGCATGAGCCGCATGAGAGGTCGGCAAGAAGCTCTTGCAACTCTTGCAGGGCTTCCCTTGCAGGGCTTCCGTTTTGAGACCCGCTGTCTTAGGTGCTATTCCTCTCCACGCCCCATGCACGCATGCATGCATGGATGCTTTTGGTATGTCGAAACCCACAACTCCGAGAACCGCATGGGCACAGGGCCTGCTCGGCGTGGCTACGCTGCAGCTGCTGCTCCTCCAGGCTCGCCAGGGCCTCAGCCGGGGGAGAGACGGCATCGGCAGGGATGAACCCTAAACCCTAAACCCTAAATCTTACGGCTGCAATGCTCTGTTCTGGGAAGATCAGCATGGGAGATCCCCTCCTTTCAAAGCCCGAAACCGCGGACTTCTACGCATCTCTTGATCGCACCCGTCGAGATATTAACAAGCGCCACAACAGTACAGATTACAGTAGAACAATGGTAGCAAGACCTATCAACCTGGCCTCTTAAACTACCAGTGACCCTAAACCCTAACCCTAAACCCTAAACCCCCAAACCCCTGAACCCTAAGCCCTACACCGTTTTTTCTGCCCAGCCACCTGCCCAAGCTCCGCGTGCATCTTGATACTCTGACGCCGCTGCCTCTGAGCCTGCTCAGAAACACGAATCCGTAGGGTTGAGGGTTTAGGGTTTAGGGTTTTAGGGTTTTAGGGGTTCAGGCGTGCAGGGCTTAGGGGTTTCACGGTTTGTGGCTCAAGTCCAGCGATGCAGGCCTCAAAGGCGAGAAGCTTCAACCTCAGAGTCTCACGTGCTCAGAGGCTGCTCACTGCGTCTATTCTGCCAGAATATGTCGACAACTGACAGCTACTCCAAGCAAAACACAGGGCTTTTCATGTTTTTTCGGAACCAGCCAAAAGCCACAGAGGCTTGTAGAGAGCTCGTCCCTTTGTGGAGATCTGGCACAGCTCGGAGACTTTTGGGCAGAGCTCCAAGATGCTCCGAGTTGAAGCCGGTCCAAGATGCTGAAAACCAGGACTTCCCTGCGAGGCCGTGGAGAAGTGCAGAGGGCTCTCAGAGCTGAGATAAGCGTGCCAACTGACGTGCCAATGTTGCAGTCACGTCCAATCCTTCGGAGGCGCAATATGTAGCGTGCTGCTATAGCGTGCTGCTATAGCGTGCTGCTATCGGCGGCCTGGTGCTGACTACATTCCAGCAGCACCTTGAACTCCCGCTCCCCGTATACAGCCCAGTGATACGTGTTCCCACTCTCTGAGGCCTCCAAATCCTGGTGGCTGAGTTCGGGGGAAAGCAGTGTCGCGGCACCCTGTGTCAATCGGAGTTGGTCTGGAATGCACTTGGCAGATCCTTTCTGCTGCCATGAGCGCTGGATGTTGGCGGCCACAGTTTCGAGGTCTTCAGGCCGTACGGAGTGCACCACCATAGCGCAAGGAGGAACTTCAAGTCTCTCGTCGGGAAGGTGCACATGCGTCACCCTTGTTCTGTTCAGGGCAGCTTCGCTAGTGATGACCTCCGTCTCATAGTCAACATAGCTTACAACATCTATGTGTCCCCACTTCCAGATGCAACCTGCGAGGGAAACGTCCTCCATGCCGGTTCCGCCGGCATGCTGCAAAAGTTGCAGCAAGCAGAAGGGAGCCCACGTCGCTAGCTTTGGCAACAGGGCACGTGATATCATGTAGCCCGCACCTCCAGATGCAAACCTCGTCATTGCGCCCCTGGTGCTGTGCGCAACCTGCGGCACCCCAAGAAACCAGAAGTCAGATGGATCAAAGCAACGTAGCCGCTGCTCGATGAGAGGCACGTTCAAAAAGCTGTCAGCATCAGCTTTCATGTACCAGTCGCAGGCATTCACCCACTCGGGCCGCCCGAGCGCCTCAAAAAGAAGAAACGTTCTGACGGGCAAGTGCGCATAGTCTGTGTCGATATCATTTTCTAAGAGAAATGTCTGGGCATCAAGCGCCAAGGACAGCGGCTGCTTGCTCACAAAGAAGGTCGCGCTCGTCCCCCAAACGCGCCAGGCCGTCTCTGCCGCTTCGATGAAGCGCCGCTTTCGCGCGCTGGAGGGCACGAAGATACAGAGGTGCCTGCGGATTTTGGGTGGGTCCGGGACCGGCGTGGCTAGGGCACCGGGCCCCGCTCGAGGGTCCAGGCCGTGGAGTCGCTCCGCAAGAGACTTCTCCAGATGGACGAACTCGGGAGCCTTGCAGTAGTACAAGGCCAAACGGATCCGTTCTTCGTAGTAATCCTTGGCGTTGCCAAAGGCATCCGAGATGGTGAACTTGCCCATCTGAGACTCACCTATGCAAGGGATGCTGGTGTGCCACTTCGACCACGAGATGCGGTCGTGTATGTGCTGAACTTGTCCTGCAGAGTCGAGCCTTCCCACCACAAGCAGGCATTGTTTCAACGTGTCTGGATGATTGCCGAACCTGGCGACAGTGTGGTTTGGCCGATCATACAGCAGAAAACTCCCTTCCATGTCAGCATAGTTGCTAGCCACTCGGCGACCCAAGTCACTCATGCACATGGAAAAGGTGTAGTCATCAAAAAAACTATCAGAACCATACGGGGTGTCCATGGTCTCTGCATACTTCATGCAGTAGTCTGTCCAGGCAGCCACGTGCTCCAGGAGTCCACGGCTGATGATCGTTCCGCCCCACGGATTCGGAAACATGAAAGGCTCTTCACCAGGGCTGTATGCAACAGTCGGCACCCCGAGAAAGTAGTCATCCGATGCATTGAAGCAATCGAGACGACTTTGGAGTGTTGGCGTGTTCACATAACTCCAGACCGGGATCTTCATGACCCAGTCGCACTTTCCCGTGCCACCACCCTCTTCTAACAAAGACACGAGGTGTCGCCAGAGGTGTAGTGCCCGTAGTGACCGGCTCAAACCACGCGATGTGAGCCTCGTGGTCTGCAAGCCCTTCAACTTCTCTAACAGCCCAGGAGCCTCGCCACCCTCCTCAGGCAGCACGAAGAACGTATTATTTGTCAGCCAAGTCTGGCGCGCCGCCTGGGCCATCTGCCCATAGTGGGCCAGCTCTTCCTGGGATGCCTCCGGGCCCAATAAAGCCGGGATAAAGATGCAAAGTCCTCCAAGTTGTGGCCCTCGTGCCATGACTCCCATGATCTTCTTCACTTCTGGCCATCTGCGCCGGTGATCAGACCATCTCACAAAGATCTATGTCCACCAGGTCATGAGGCTATTAAGTGCCCTGAAATGCTACGTACACGACAACCGACTAGCGACTTACTAGCGACTTGCCAATTCCTGCTGTGCCTTTTGTTTGCAAAGGTCTTGATTTGTGTAAGGTGTGGCCGTTGCACATGACGCCATTCATCCTGCAGTGCATGTCCTCTGTACTTGAAGGGCGGACGCCATGATTCGCAGTTGTTGTCGATGACCAGTGTGCGTGTGTGCGTGTAACCGTCCAGCTCGTCCCGACGCCGTTCACCTTCCCCACCCCCCCCCCCCAACCCCACCTCCCCCTCTCCCCCCCCACCCCCCCCCCCCCCCCCCAAAAAAAAAAACAACAACAACAACAACAACAACAACAACAACACAGGACCTTACAGAACTTAGACTTGTAGCTTGATTTCTTGAGTCTCTCTGGGGAGGAGGTTAATGTTAGGCTGTTTTGGTGACTGCATGCTGGAGTTGCAATCCTGGCACATGCACACACACACACAAATCTCTGACCCGTTTGCTTCGAATTTCCATCGCTTGCCGTACTTGCTGTTAGAAGGGAGCCTGCTGATAATATTTCCCTCAGAAAAACACACGATGCTCTGCTCAGCGTTCGTAGATGCAGTCCCGATAGTCTAGGCCGCATCATTAGCAAGAACAGCGTATGACAACAGCAAGAGAGATGCAATGCTGGCAAAATACAAGCAAAACAAAGCCACCAAGGTTGGAAAGCAGGACAAGCAGCAGCAAACGGGCTGAGCCAACAACAAAGAGTCTAAGCGAATATACTTATGCCATAACTATATGTCTATAGTCTCTAGACATTGCATAGGACATTGAAGATGTTTTCGGACAAGGTTGAGAGTCAAGGCCGAAACTCATCCTGCATGGCGGCGATCGTCCCAAAATGTTCCTTCGCCACTCGAGACATTCGGAGTTCTGACTACACAAAAAACATGAGATCATATTATACAGTACTGTACTATCTTATATAACATACACAGCGTTGTGGCATAACAGGTGCTGCAGAAGCTATGCTAGGATTGAACGCATCTCCTTTTGAATCCTCCTTTGCAGTTCCCCATGACGCAAAACTCTGATAAGGCCTTCAAGTCAACAGCAAAAGTCCGTTGAGCATAGCGAGAACATGCGAGAACTGCACCATTTGCCCTACACGCTAGAAGTAACCCCAAGACCATGGCCCATGAGCCTATATGCTGCGAACATACTCGTTACTCGAACACTAAAAGAAGCTTCAAGAACCCATTTGGTCACTGAAACTAACGCTGCCTGGCTGTTACTGCTCGCAATGTACTATTACGATTACTTTGCTAATTTTATCATTTGCGAGAATATTCTTATTATTATATTCCTGCCCCACGCACCTCGGCGGATGCGGCAGGGAATGTATCGTCCAAGCGCTCAAAGGAGCTTGCCATGGCCCTGCCAAGCTGATGATTCTTGGCAGAAAAGGATGGGGCCTTTTCGCCCTCTGACACGCGCTGGTATTCTCTAAGCCAAAAAAAGCCGGCGTGCAGACGAAAACATTTTTGGGTTGAAGCTCATCACGCGCTCGGGCTGCGCAGTCCGAAGAAGATCATTGCCGGCGCGGGGGCCGCACTCAGCACCCACCACCCCATTTGGGCGGTAGAGGGCGGGAAGCTGAAAATAGGCGGCTTTGAGCGGCGAGCGCTACGGCGGTCAGCTTGTCCCAACGCACGTGTACATGTGCTACACAACAAGCGCCTCTAGGGCAGACGTGCCGACGATGGCACTTTTGCGTTGAAGCGCATCGCGCGCTGGGGCTGCGCAGTCTGCTGGAAATCAGCGCCGGCGCCGGGGAGTCACATTCAGCACCCGACCGGTGCACCCCAGCCCCGCACCGCTTGCCAATTCGTTGCTGGCGACGTCTGTGGCAAACTCGATGTCGATCGCCGCTCGGGCGAGGATCTCCATCGCAGCGTCGACGGGGTCCACCCGCAAGTCCAGCGGCGACGGCGTGTGAAAGGTCGACACCACGGTGGAGACCCTAGAGGGCGGCCACCAACTCTTGGCACCAGCAGCGTCTCGCCGCGGCTGCCCAGAACGCCGACAGCGCTCCATTGACGAATGGGTCATTTGCGTAGCCGGCGCACATCGGGAAATGCGGCCGCGCCCGCAGAGTACTGCGCCGCCGACTCGAAGGACGAACCCTCAACCGTTTATCCATCGTTCCTGGGAGCACGCACCAACGCCGGCGCTGGAGCCCCACCATAGTCTTGTCCTACGGGGCGAAAAGAGAAGTCGGGGCCAGGCCCACAGAGAGTGCGTCGCAGCGTAGATGGGCAAGGCCTGCGTGAGGAAGGCGAGCTTCCCGGCTTGGCAGGAGCGGGGGCAGGCGCCACAGGTTCAATCTTTTGATTGACGCCAGTAGCTTCTTGCGTCCGTGGGCGGGCGCCAGGCGGACGCCGTCGAGTAGGACGGCGAAGCTGATGCCTTGAGGACGGTGTGCTCCAGCCGAGGTAGCCTAGAATGGCACAGGAGGGCGAAGAGTTTTGGGGAAATCCAGTGTGTTAAAGTCATCGACGCAGTGGCCGCCGAAAGGGGAGCAGCAAGGCCCCGACAAGCGCCTGGTGCGCATCGCGGAAGCGCAGAGGTGGAACCTGAGTTAATGCTGTCGTGGGTGGCGAAGAAGGTTTTCGAGTGACCCGGGCTCCGACTGCCCGTGACAGCCCACTAACGACACGCTGACCAAAGATTGGCCAACAAAACCAGGGGTCGACCCGGTCCTCGGTGTCCGGCAGGTGTCGTGTCCTGGACGGCCCTCGTCGATGAATTTGAAGGCAGCCCCGCCACTTCATCAGCCGCGCTGTCGCCGGCCGTCCCTGGCGGGTGCCGACGTCGGCTGGCTGTCGTCCTCGCAGCGAGTGAGCGGCGTGTCATTGACAGGCGACCGCCGCGACGAATCGCTCCCTCGCCGCCACAGCGCCGACCCCAAGATCATGGCGACCTCCGCCGGGGACAAGGATGTCGAGGCGGACAGCGAAGAAGACATTGCATCGAAGGACGAAAGTGTATAACAGAAAGCTGAACATGGGCGGCTTTGAGCGACGAGTGCTACGGCGGTCGTCGCTCAGCTTGTCCCTACGGGCATGTACACGTGCTACACGCGAAGTGTAAGTTTCGAAGCAAAACCCTCTGAAACCCAACAAGGGAAACACAGCACATCCCGAGCATCTACTCAGCACAAGAGGAAGCCGGGGCACACATGTCAGCGATCACCCTCACCAATCCACTGCTTCAGCCCTTCAAGATATACTTGTAGTATGACGTAGTATGATGTTTAGACAATAGTGCTTTGCGCATGAGCCGCATGCCCAGCCTGCCTCTCACAAATACCGTAGCTTACCAGTGCCAGGTCAAATTGCACCCGCAATCAATGCCAGAGGCGCGGGTTGGTCGACAGAGTGTCGCCGACTATGGAACCTGTGCGCGGTCATGGCCTGCCTCACCATGCCTCACCCCTCCTCCCTCCATCTACACAGCGCCACAGCAAGATGCTGCTTTACGTAAATCATGGCCCGAGACAGCGCATGCTAACTTCTTGACTCCTGAGAGCATCCAAGAGTGAGAAAAGGCTGAGGTTGCAAGCCTGACGCGTCCCCGCCCTTCGGAGAGCCATCTGCGAGGTCAAAGCTGAGGACTGTTCTTTCGAGTGAAATTCTGAAAGCTGTTCATGGTTGTTCCGTGCTGTTCTGGCCTCGTAACCCTGAGGGCTGTGAACTCTGCGTTCGCGGACGGGCATCACGAGGTTTCCTGGGACGAACTTTGAGATGCCCCCCTGCTCGCTGGAAATTCCATGGCTGAAGCCCTGCCCTGGAGTTTCGCAGGTTCCTTCAGAAACCCACCCAAGACCCACAAAGGACAGAATTCGTGATCCCCCTTTGGCTTGAATTTCCATGGAATTTCTCACAGGATTTGGTGACGCCCCCGCATCATGAGCACTGGCCCGGAGGGGGTGGGGGGGTCCAGGGTATTCCAGGGTGCGTGAATCAAAGTCTGAACTCTCTGAGATTCTCTGAGGCTCTGGCCCTTGGTAGATGCCATGGGCCGGTAGAGGCTCGGCTGAAGCCTGTCGTGGTGTGCTCCCTCTGCATCTCTTAGTCCATAGGTAGCAAGAAGCGGGAAGCTAGCACTAGAGGAGCTTCCTGCAGGATAAAGAACTGGAACCCAGGATCTGTGTCCGAACTACAGCAGACTCGAAGCAGGAAGGCTGCCATGTGTGCTGCGGAGAGCCTCCCACTGTGTGACCAGCGGCTGCTCCTCTACCTACCAGGCTACAAGAAGCCAAGAAGCCAGCCCAAAGCTCACTGCACACAAAGCTCTCTGCTCATCGTGAAAGCGCAGCTCCCGATTGATTTCGATGTATTTCGATGGTTTCCGTGGAGATGCCCTACATCTGCGGCGTGCGCTGTAGCACGTGGTGCAGTGCGTAGTGCATTGGAGTGCCGCGTGTTCCTAAAGTAGTACACAAAGCACCTGCTGCACAAAGCCCCCCCGTTGCAGCGAATACTTGATGTTACTCGCGCAACGTTCTCTCTTGTGCCTCCTTTGGCTCGCCCAAATTCTGGTGATCCTCGAGTTCAGAAGCTGCGCTTGGCCGACCCTGGAGGGCCAGCACAACCTGCTGCACTGCTGGCAGGACTACTCAAGGACATGAATAGCAAACTAACAAGACGATGCCATGTTCTGTCCACAGGGCACAGCTGGTCTCTTTGCACGTCGATCCTATGCTGACACAACTCAAGGTACCTCTCGCTAAAGGGTGCCTCTATCTGCTGTCTCTTCTGGCTGCTAGCTGGCACTCTGTCTTGCTCGCGCCTCGCTCAGCTCTTGGAGACGGCAGTGCACGTGGTCCAGGTTGGAACGGGCTTCTGCGGCAGTTTTCTGCTCTGCTTCTCTGAATACCTTGGGTTGGCGAGCTCCACATGCGGCCTTCCTAACACATTGAGGATGCTGCATAATGTTCCCGAGACCCACGCCTCCTGCAGCTCGGCCAAGCTATGGCGGAGGTCGCTGACATCGGCAGCTTTGGCAGTGTCTGGCCCCACCTGCTTAACGTCCGTCACAGCCTGGCTGGCACGACAGATCGTTGTCGCATCGCCACATCTACCACAATCAACCAAGCTCATGGGACATTCTTTGACTTTGTTTGCTTGGGGGTTTCTCAAGCTTCGTAACATCATCAGCTCCTTCTGGTCGTCTTGCTCGCGCCTCGCTCAGCTCTTGGACACGGAAGCGCACGTGGTCCAGGTTGGAACGAGCTTCTGTGGCAGTTTTCTGCTCTGCTTCTCTGAATACCTTGGGTTTGCGCGCTCCACATGCGGCCTTCCTAACACATTGAGGATGCTGCATTAACGTTCCCGAGACCCACGCCTCCTGCAGCTCGGCCAAGCTATGGCGGAGGTCGTTGACATCGGCAGCTTTGGCAGTGTCTTGCCCCACCTGCTTGACCTCCGTCACAGCCTGGCTGGCGCGACAGATCGAAAAATTGTCGCATCGCCACATCTACCAGAAGCAACCAAGCTCAAGGGACATTCTTTGACTTTGTCTGTTTGGGGGTTTCCCAAGCTTCGTAACATCATCAGTTCCTTCTGGTCGTCTTGCTCACGCCTCGCTCAGCTCTTGGACACGGAAGCGCACGTGGTCCAGGTTGGAACAAACTTCTGCGGCAGTTTTCTGCTCTGCTTCTCTGAATACCTTGGGTTCGCGAGCACCACATGCGGCCTTCCTAACACATTGAGGATGCTGCATACTGTTCCCGAGACTCACGCCTCCTGCAGCTCGGCCAAGCTATGGCGGAGGTCGTTGACATCGGCAGCTTTGGCAGTGTCTTGCCCCTCCTGCTTAACGTCCGACACAGCCTGGCTGGCGCGACAGATCGTTGTCGCATCGCCACATCTACCAGAAGCAACCAAGCTCATGGGACATTCTTTGACTTCGTCTGTTTTGGGGTTTCCCAAGCTTCGTAACATCATCAGTTCCTTCTGGTCGTCTTGCTCACGCCTCGCTCAGCTCTTGGACACGGAAGCGCACGTGGTCCAGGTTGGAACGAGCTTCTGCGGCAGTTTTCTGCTCTGCTTCTCTGAATACCTTGGGTTCGCATGGGTTCGCGAGATCCACATGCGGCCTTCCTAACACATTGAGGATGCTGCATATCGTTCCCGAGACCCACGCCTCCTGCAGCTCGGCCAAGCTATGGCGGAGGTCGTTGACATCGGCAGCTTTGGCAGTGTCTTGCCCCTCCTGCTTAACGTCCGACACAGCCTGGCTGGCGCGACAGATCGTTGTCGCATCGCCACATCTACCAGAAGCAACCAAGCTCAGGGGACATTCTTTGACTTTGTCTGCTTGGGGGTTTCCCAAGCTTCGTAACATCATCAGTTCCTTCTGGTCGTCTTGCTCGCGCCTCGCTCAGCTCTTGGACACGGAAGTGCACGTGGTCCAGGTTGGAACGAGCTTCTGTGGCAGTTTTCTGCTCTGCTTCTCTGAATACCTTGGGTTCGCATGGGTTCGCGAGATCCACATGCGGCCTTCCCAACACATTGAGGATGCTGCATATCGTTCCCGAGACCCACGCCTCCTGCAGCTCGGCCAGGCTATGGCGGAGGTCGTTGACATCGGCAGCTTTGGCAGTGTCTTGCCCCTCCTGCTTAACGTCCGACACAGCCTGGCTGGCGCGACAGATCGTTGTCGCATCGCCACATCTACCAGAAGCAACCAAGCTCAGGGGACATTCTTTGACTTTGTCTGCTTGGGGGTTTCTCAAGCTTCGTAACATCACAGTTCCTTCTGGTCGTCTTGCTCACGCCTCGCTCAGCTCTTGGACACGGAAGTGCACGTGGTCCAGGTTGGAGCGAGCTTCTGCGGCAGTTTTCTGCTCTGCTTCTCTGAATACCTTGGGTTCGCGAGCTCCACATGCAGCCTTCCTAACACATTGAGGATGCTGCATAACGTTCCCGAGACCCACGCCTCCTGCAGCTCGGCCAAGCTATGGCGGAGGTCGTTGACATCGGCAGCTTTCGCGCTCTTGCGATGACTCGCTGTCAAGTTTGTCACAGCCTTGTGCTTGCGCAAGTGCAGCGCTGCAGCACCAATTTTGTTGAAAATGAAAATAAACTGGCTGAGAAACTCAAAAAACACTAACCCCTAAACCCTAAACCCTAAACCCGCTTCTCAGAATTCTCCCTGAGTTTCCTGAAATCGGCTCCAAGGCGCCTCTTCCAGCCCTTCCACACGAGCACAGGCATCCCGGAGGCTTTCTTCAGCTTTCAAGGCGCTACGGCGATCTTCTTGGCAGACCTGCAGCCAAGGCACAAAGGGAAAAATCTGGGAGCTACTCGTGCCTCGGAAGGCTCTGTTTTCCTGGTTCCTGCCTTACATAATACGACGGCCTGCTGCGTTGTTCCTCTCTGTTCAACACGAATCTGGCGTTTTGATCCATTTCGGCCCCTCTGACCCCTTGGGCCCCCCCATTGTTCAGGACGAATTTGGCGATTTGATCCATTTCGGCCCCTCTGACTTCACGCACTGCAGCTCAGCGAGCCACGCAGGGCACAGGACCTACTCAGGACTCAGGGTTCCTGGATGGAATAACTTGAAGTCTGTGTGATTGTTTGGCCTCTTGGTGCGTCTGAACAGTAATTAATGAACTTTTATTTTCTTAATGTTATGGGATTCTTTGGGCGGGTGGGTTTTGCCTACACACACTGCTGGCCTGGTAAATGCTCGAACTTGAGATGCTGAACAGTAAACCCTAAACCCTAAACCCTAAACCCGAAACCCGAAACCCGAAACCCTAAACCCTAAACCCTAAACCCTAAACCCTAAACCCTAAACCCTAGACCCTAGACCCTAAACCCTAAACCCTAGCTTGGAATAAAGCCCCTGGTGCGCCTCCCGGAGCTCCTCCACACTTCTGGACAGGCTGACTTGGCCGGATGCTTGCGCCTGGCACTCCTTCACTTCCTCAATACAACGACACAGCAATAGAACAAAAGATGATGTAGCAATAGGGTTTAGGGTTTAGAGTTTAGGGGTTGAAACTATACATACAATACTCAACACAGCAATAGATAGAACAAAAAAGAATGTAACCATAGGGTTTAGGGTTTAGAGTTTAGGGTTGCGGGGTTGACATTATACGTACAATACTCGATGGCATACATATATTCAGGACATAACACCAAAAGAGAGAATATAAGAACATAGTACTAAAATATGATATTACAGAAATACATAAGATCATATGATAATATAACTTATAACAATAGAACAACATTCTATTACATCAATATACTTACATAATAGCACTGGCATATATCAACATACTTGTATAATCAGAATAGAAGAATACAATTTGTCTAAAGAAGTGGGGGCCCCCCCTCTTAATGGGTAGCTAGTGGCCTTCCCAGAATCTGGGGCTCTGAAAGTGTTGCGGGGTAGGTAGAGGTACCTTTTCTTCCTCTTGGAGATCCCCCAAATTGTCGGCCTTGAGAAGTGCCAGGTCCGCACCGAGAGTGTCAAGATCTTTGGCCACGTCGTCTTTGGACGCCTGGCTCTCGGTTGCCTGGGCCTGCGCAAGGCGCACACCCCAGTGAGTTTAGGGCTCTGGGGACGTTAGGGATCCCTGGGCTTCTTGTTAGGGGTTCTTTGGGGTTCCTAAGGGGCTGCTAAGGGGCTCCTAAGGGGCTCCTAAGGGGCTCCTAAGGGGTCCCTAAGGGGTTCCTAAGGGGTTCCTAAGGGGTTCCTAAGGGGTTCCTAAGGGGTTCCTAAGGGTTTTTACTTGTTCATAGGGGCTTACTTTAGACAAAGCCGCTGCCGGGCCCTGGCCTGGAGCTCCTCGACACTTTGCCAGACAACCTGCACTGGTGACTTTACCGGTTATTAGGGATTATTTAGGGCCAGGGTTTAGGGTTTGGGGATGTTGGGTTTGGGTTTAGGGTTTAGGGTTCACTAGGAGCCCCCTAAAGGGTTAGAAAGGGTAGAACTACTGAACTCCCTATTTCCGTGCTACGCGCTGATGAGTTGGGGATGTGGGGTGGGGTGGGTTAGTCACTAGATGCACAAGAAAACAACCAATGTGCAGAATGTGATCCTGTTGGTTGCCCTACATGTACTCAGGTACCCAACAGAGAGTTGCACATTCGGAGAACTGTAGTATCTACAATAGGACTTGTCGGACGTACGTTCATTTTCGGAGATTTTGCTGGACGGGCATGAGTCGGAGCTCTCCACAAGATATCATGACATTGTTCTAGTCCCAAAAGACATGTCAAATGTAAGGAGCTACGACATGCTGCAGTGGATGATTTGTCGAAGCACCATCTTCCAAGGCAAACACGGTAAGGCTGGTTGCGGCAGACTATCTGAAGAATCATCGATCAAGTTGGCGGTCACTGCCCTCCCACTTGGGAGGCTCCCCCTTATACTAACCGAACTAAATCGGGATTATCATAGGTGGTACAATAATCCATATTCAGGACTGTTAGTATAAGGGGGAGCATCTCAACTCACCACCATCGAGCTGGAGACTTCCCGCCTGCACGGCCTGCCTGGCTATCGCGTCTTCCGGGGCAGCAGAGGCCTCCGCCACTTCGCTGAGGACCTGCGCGCGCCACCAAAGATGTCAAGCCAGCAATGTGATCATCTGGAGCCCTCTACTGGCTTCTACTGTTCCAGTATCCAAGCAACAAAGGCCTGGCGGAGCTCCTCCACCTTCGAGTCACGGATCTCATTCAACTCGAGCGCTTCTCGGAAAACCTGCCCACAATGATTCACAACTCATCACACGCCCTGGGTGCATGTTTGCTTGAGAAGAATGACTTTTGCCGTCCTCGTCCAGCTGAGCCACACTGCGTGCAACAGCCCCCACATCACTGCGGACAGCATTCAGCGACTCGGGGGTAGGGTTGAGCGCCTGGCAGACGTGTGTTACATGAGTAGGGCTTGGGGCCAGGGATTAGGACCAGCGAGCTTAGTCAGGTATGGGACACTTCCGAAATTAGTCCGCCTGCAGATACAGCAGAACCATGTTTTACATACAGGCCTCGTTTTCGGAACCCCCCACATCGAAATGTTGGAATTTACTGGTAGGTCTGATTTCGGCCTCCTGACTCTTTTTGCCACGCGTTGCAGCACATAGGAGCACACCTTTTTCGGGTGTCCCTCTTATCAGGACCACTGTCACACTATTATGTTGGGTAATTTAGGGAAATACCCAAATATCGTGGCACTGGCAGAATAGAGCATGTTGAACACATTACATGTGCAGATTTGCAGCCTGCGCGGGGTGGCGGGGCTCTTGGCCTGAACGCAAGCTTTAGGCAGCTTCATTGCCCTGTCCCTCATGGTGACAATGCGATCTAGCTCATGGCACCGCATGAAGCTGCGCGTCTTCATGCAGTGCATCTTTGTCAAGGAAGTTTTCATGGTTCGTGACCCTTCGAAATAATGCAAGTCCGGGCCTAGCGCAGCGCAGCGATCGGAGAGGCAGCTCACTTGGCTCACCAGCTGTGGCAAGGAGGCCTATGGCCGACATTGCAGGCAATCATGTAAGAGTAGCTCTCAGGCCCCCAAACCCCAAACATTAAGCCCGAAACATTAATAAGTTCAACCCTGCAATGCAGACCAACGTCTGCCTTAGGATGATGCGATCGCCCTCAACCCTAAAACTTATCTGGGCCACCCACCACCCTGTGAGCGAAGCCCTGCTTACCAACTTGCTGCACCAACTCTTGCCGCCACACGTCCAAACATGGCACATCCTTAACGGGCATTTCCCACAATAAGGGTCCCCAGATTTATACCCCCAAATACCACAATTCCTACCAAGTCCTAATTATAGAACCCCAAAAGAAGTACCGAGCTTGGGGAACCCCCACAATTTGCGCCTTGCCCTGCGCCCTGAGTTCTGGTACCCCTGTGCCTCCACACCCTCCACCCGCTGCTGCACTTCGCTGAGGCATTCGGAAAGCTTCAGAACCTGCACACCCTGAACCCTAAACCCTAAACCCTAAACCCTGAACCCTGAACCCTAAACCCTGCACCCTAAACCCTGAACCGAACCTCTCGGGCCAGGCTTGGGGTCAGGTTTCCCTCATCTAGCTTCCTATAGGATGCGCATCAAGAAGCTCCTCCGGCGGCTTCTACTGACAAGAAGTCATGCTGCGCAAAGGCTTGAGGCGTGTGACACAATTCGTCCGCTCCCACCAAGCAAAATGCAGGGGGGGCACCCTAAAACCTCAGACCCTCAGTTGCTAGTTGCTGCGACCTTCCTCCCCTTCCTGCCCTCAGGCCACATCAGACCAGCAGCCGGCAGGCCCGAAGCGTTAGTACCCTTCTACCAGGAAACCAACAGAAGAAGCAGATCAGAATGTTATTTAGCTTGGATTTTGTTGGACTCATCTTCCCTGGAAGCCAAGAAGCCAAAGTCCTTCTTAAAGCCTGAGCCTGCAGAAAGACGAGTCTCAGACTGTAGCCCAGTTTACACACACACACACCACTTGCCTTGAACAAACTATCCACAAGAACAGGAGGACGCAACAAACTGGTGGACATGATTGATGCCCAGGCACCTTTTGTTAGCGGGTAGCGATTCTAGAATGAACGCAATATTGTTGGAGCAATCTATGCACCTCTAGATTCCTGCTGCTGGGCCTTCTGGCTGTCTTTGGGCAAGAATATGATGCTACTAACCGGGAGGACCGCATAGGACTGCCTTCGCTTCATCGATTTCGAAGTGGGCATGGTTTGCCTGACAGTGGGTCACACGGGCGGCGCCCGGACTTCGTCCTTCTTGGCTTCGCCAAATGTTAAGTCTCAAGGGCGTCCAAGTACAGCACATGTCGTCATTGCCAGGACCATGAGGACAGGTACCACCGAAAAACGACACCCGAATCTAGAAGAACCCCAAACCGCATGTCCTCAAACCCGAACCACTCGAATCAGCACCAGAAAAGCAAGGTGCCTCGTGCAGCTCTGCCCCAACGGCGAGGCAGAGCTCCTCTCTTTGGCGGAGCACCTTCGAGCTTGCTGCAGAGGGCTTACGGTTGGGCTGGAGGGGAGGGGAGGTCTATTCAGGGAGTTGGATGATCTCGCACCTCACAGCGGGCGCTGAGCAAGGCCCGTTGTTCGAGCCACTCGAAGCGCTGCTGCAGGTGTTGCCTGCGGTCGACTTCTATGCTCAAACTCCACGAGCAGGTGTGTAGTTTTGCTTGTATCCTGGAGCTTGAATGTGCAGCAATGTGCAGAATGTGCCACATTATCATCAGGGCCCAAGCTCAATCATCGGCATAGAGGCGGCCGCTGAAGGCCGCAACCTGACGTGCTCACTGTATTTGATGGAACAAATGGTACAAATTCTTGCTGCTGCTGCTGCGGCTGGCCTTTCTGGAGGACCTCACGGGGCGCGGGCCCAGGAAGGTACAACGGTTCAACACCGCAGTGCATGGTTGCGAGCTCACCCGACAGTATCTCAAGCTGCTGCTGGGGTCCTGGACGCACGATGCCCTGCCAGGCCCGAAAGCTTTGGCAAAGGCGCGTGGCCTGAAAAGGTTGGAACTGACGTCGCAAGATGCAAGACGAAGGCTAGAAACGCGCGATGCGGCAGCGCTCGCGTGCAGTCTACAACCCTTTTACAGACTTTGCTGAGAACTTGGCCTCAGATCGCTGCATCCTCAGGACTTGCTTTGCTGACACTTTGAAATGCTTTAAGCAACGGTTGCAAACCTAGAGCTTCTATTGCGCCAGCCCATCGGGTCCTGGGATTGGAAGCGCAGAGTCGCTCAACCACCACCACTACCTCAGCATGCGTTGAAACTCTCATGTTTGCGAAAAAAATCTTGCAAAGGGCGTGTGATTATCTACTGGTGACTTGGTGCAGACGAGGGCACCGGCACTGGCGCCATGTCTGGGGTGGCAGGAGACATCATCTGCCACAGATCGAAGCATAGTAGTGAGTAAAGACAAGTGACCCTTAGCAACTACCTAAGCAGCGCTCAAGGCAGGCACCCGTTTTTCGATTTGTCTTTCAGTTTTGTCGATTGACACAGCTAACACAAACATTGCATGCTCCGGTCCTCACTCTGGACCTGTTGCAAGGCAGACTTCTGGCTGGCGAGTTCATGCCCGATCTTGGCGAGCCTGAGCATCAGACGTACGTGACATGCGTTCGGCGGCTCGTCTTCTGCCCGTCCACCACGCCTAAGCTCCACCTCCTGTACGACACAGGTCAGGTCCTCGGAGAGGCCCCGTGCCTCAGTATGCTCCACATCCACGACAATTTGGCAGAGCCAGAAGCTAAGTTCTGCACACCTCTGTCGAGCGCCTATGCACACATGACAAATTGGGATGCCAAGCGTTTCTAGGGGGCACTGTATCATGAATGCTCGAGGAGGAAAACAGTGATTCTGCACTGGCACGCAGGGGCGCAAGGTAGCTGTATGAACCCCGCGCCAAGCTCTCGACTGAAAGCAGCGCATGTAGCTCCTGCACTTGAGCACCAGTGTGAGCTTTGTCACCTTCAAGCGCAGACCTGGGCAACTAGCCGCTTGAGGTCCCAGTATTGCCATATGGCAAGCTGATGATGAGACAGAATGAAACCGGGGGCGATGCAATCGAGACAGCAGGAGTTCATTCTCCTGCAGCTGGAGAAGCCCGAAACGGTAGAACCCCCAAACTCCAAAACGGGAACCCTCCTGCCACACGGGGAGCAGTCATGCGCTGAGAGGGGCTCAAGCCTCGCACTTGACCCCGCCTGCCGCAGGTCGCCTCGCTGGCGAGTTGCATGTTGCTGCTCCCCCTGCCGTGCAGTTGAAGAGCTCTTCCTCTGTACTCCCCTTCGAACCTGAATAAAAACAGTATGTTTAATATACTCTTGGGATTTATGTAAACAAAAATTTAAAGAAATCCCAAGGGGATATAGCCACGCCCAAGTAGCTCACCCATCTCTCGCAAACCGCACGATGTGGAGCTTCCAGCCATGGTTTGGGCAAGGGACCGGGGGGGGGGGGGGCGAGGGAAGGTGACAAAAAGCGGAGGAAACTCCTGCCAGATTAAAGGAACTAAGTGCTTGCTTTGGGACCATGTGCACCATCAGGTAATCGTGCACTCGCTTTGCTTTTTTTGCATGTTCCTCCGTGGGAAAAGGGCCCTTTGTCATGGGAGAGGCGCCTGAAGGGGGAGGCTTTGTTCTCCCCTTTGAGGCCCACTCCCGGGAGTTCCCTTTTAAACCCTCACGGCCTCCAGGCGCCGAAACTCCTCTCCCAGGCGAGTTACCTCGCCCTCGACGGCCTGGTGGAGTTGCGGCCCTATAAATACTGGGCTGCAGCATGAGAGACCCGCAAGACAAGACTGGGCAGAACTTAGCCTAACCCGGAGGGTGCTCCCCCACAACCACCTTTGTATTTTCTTTGGGGCTTAGAATCGCTTAGAGGGCACAAAGGATTTACGGGAGCAGAGTCAAGGGTTCTGCTCAATGTGTACGCAGTCTTCTCGTCAGCCATCGGCCTGCAGGCGGTTGTCCCAGAAGTCGCTGTCGGGGACCTCGCTCAGCTCTGGGGGTTTCCGCACTCTCAGGTCAGGATTCGAAGCCAAGCCAGGGAATGCCAGCGGGGGGTTCCCCTGTCCCCCAATGGAACCCTCCCCCCCAAACAAAGAGTAGAACCCGAAATGCCTGAACCCTCATTTTGGAGACTGGCAGCCCTCAACCCTGAACCTTGCACTCAAACCCTAAACCCTGAACGCCAAACCCCAAACCCCAAACCCCAAACCCAAGTATGCAAGAGATGTACGGCCGATCTCTGAGTCGGCCTCTGGGACTTCGGGTGGTTCCGGGCCTCGGCGCAGGTTTAGGGTTTGGGGTTTAGGGTTTAGGGTTTGGGGTCTATTTAGGGTTTGGGGTTCGGTTTTTAGGGTTCGGAGTGCAAGGTGCACAATACCCTTTTAAGTCAGGCTTGCAATCTTGTGGGATCTTTTGGGGGTAGATTAGGGTGCTTCATGGCAGCCCGTGCCCAACTCACTCAGAGACAGTTTTTCATCCTCCGCAGCAAAGACACTCGTGCAGGAGGAAGAGAACCATGAAGGGCACTGCGGAACTGCGGGTCGCAAAAGATACTGCGTGGAACAACCATCATGAAACAATGTAGTTGCTCCACGCGCGCACGAAGCTGTCGGAAACGGATCCACAACAAATCGACTCCGCGGTCGGGATTACTCTGCTTGTCACCGCGGAAATAACAGGTGAAACCGAGATGTACCACAGATGTTGGAGCTGCAATTGCGAGATGCTGTGGCGACGCTTACGGGCTACAGGTCTCATTCCGACCACTTCTGCCAAACAACCATTGCATGCGCAGCATTGCTGAAGCTTGCTGTTAAGGGCTCTCGAAGTTGTGAATCTGCAACAGCCCCATCCTTCCACTGGCAAGACGGTAGATTAAAACACGACGCGAGCTCACGCCAATTGGCGCTCGCTTCTTATCAGGCGCCTGCCCCGTGATTTCACAGTTCCAGGCTGTCCTGTCCTGACGATCGAAAGGAGATAAACCCTAAAACCCTGAACCCTAAACCCTAAACCCTAAACCCTAACTGCTGCAACCGCATGCAGAGCAGCATTTTGATGCAACTCGGGCCTGGTGCCGCTCAAAGCTTGCTGGCAATGGGGCGCTCGAAGCACATCGCCACCCCTAGCAGAGCCCAGAATAGCCCGGATCTTCAGCACGTTATGAAGGTTTTGAAGTAGTGTGAGGTACACGTTTAGATTCAGCCACTTACTCTCTCGATCTGCACAAACTCCGACCATTCCATGAGTAGATACGTCTGCCCCGACCCAGCTCGGCACCGGCATGTTCGGGCAGTGTGTGGCCCCTGCCCGCACCTTGACCTCCACCAATGCACAGCGTGGCAAGGCCGCGACGCTTGTTGGTGCGTTTCATGTCGTGAATCAAGTCAACCTGAACAAGGGATTGGTACGAGTAGTGCATTCCAGGCAAGCTCAGGTAATAACAGAAACACGGCACTTAAGCTGGAACATACCCCCCATGGACAAGTACCGAGCCGCGGCAATGCGGCATCCCGAGGCACCGATCGGATGGCCGATGGCAATGGCCTTGGTTGGTGGCTTCACTGAGATTGCGGATATGGTGGGAAAGCCATCGAGCCCAAGCTGAAACACGAAGCAGCTTGCCGTGCTCACTACGGACGCATGGAGGAATTCAAGAGGCCAAGTGACACCACCATTGACGTTGACTTTGGCTGTGTCCCATCCCATCTCCTTTGCGTGAGCAAAGGTTGCAACTCAAACCCTAAACCCTAAACTTTAAACCCTGAACCCTAAACCCTAAACCCTGAACTCTGAACCCTAAACCCTAAACCTTAAACCCTGAACCCTAAACCCTGAACTCTGAACCCTAAACCCTAAACCCAGCGCCACAAGAACTTCGCAGCACTTCCCCATGCGCCTTGTTCACTGCCACAGCCTGCGCTGCAAAGGCCTCGTTTGCCTCGACAATGTCCAAGTCCTGGACGGACCACCCAACCTCCAGGGCAGGGGAGAGTTAAGGGTTTAGGGTTTAGGGTTTAGGGTTTAGGGTTGTATCAATATATGATAAACTCTAGAAAATACAATGCGTATAAGAGTATAAGAATATGAGAATAGAAGAGTATAACAACATATATATATATAAGTAAGCTAAACAAAGAAAATTAAAGACTAGAGTGATATTGTATGTATTAATGTTATAACACCATACTCTGGTAATTGCTACATTACATTGTATGAATATACTTCTTGTATTGTTGTAGTAGTATATCAAACCGTCTTTGGGGGGTATGTACCGGGCACGCGGTATGTGTGACACACCCGCACCTTCTCCAGGCATTTCTTGGAACTCGGAATTGGCCCGGTACCTACAGTACGAGTAGGGACGCAGAACCGGTGCCGCCTGATCCTTCCTCAACTTGTCTGATAAGCTCTGAATGCAGCTCAGGCGCCCATAATCTTAGGATCTACGCCTGCGCTCGCAAAGCCGCGGATGTAGACCAAGGGCTGCAGGCCCAGCTCAGAGGCCTATCGGTCTCTGATTCAGATCCTGATACCGAATATTGCCCTTTGGAGACTCATAGGCACAGTAGTTCGGCCCCATTTGAGAACGGCACCTGATAAAAAGTACCCGCAGAAACAAAACCCTAAGAGAACTGCCCTCAGGCACCTTGGAAGCCGACATCAGCAAGCAGAGTGCCGCGCCGTCGTTGAGGCCGGAGGCGTTACCTCTGCAACATCCCGTAGGAGAGGCGGAGCTCTTAACTCTTATCATTTCCAAAAGTTGGCCACAAAAGTTGCAAAGGCACGCGCCTGCCGTGACAGAGCCATCCTTGGATTCAGTCACAGAGGAGAGAACGCCAGTGACTGCGCCCCCACCGGGCCTTCTTGAAAGCGGGCTTCAGCTTCGCAAGCTGCTCGGCTGTAGAGTCTGCCTTGATGTACTCGTCCTGGTCCAAGACCTGGCCTCCATCCGCAAGGCAAAAAAAATGCGAGCTCTGGCGCACTGTTGCAGCCGCAGCCCCCCGACCTTTTTTGGAAGGGATGGGCACAATCTGGTCCTTGAATTTTCCCGCCTCAGCTGTGTCAAGTGCGGGAGTCCAAGCACTGAACCAGTCAAGCTGAAGGCCCTCCGGAAAACTGAGAAACCATCCTCAGACCCTCCCTCCCGCTCTCTGACACTCTGGGCCTTCTGGGCATCTGCCGCTTTCTTCTGCGATGCCGCTGCGAAAGCATCCTGCGTGGATCCTCGGTCGTCGATTCTTCGATGAAGCGAATCTGGGAAACTCCAGGGATGCGCAAGTCTTGGCGCAGCGACAGCTACTCGGCTAGCGGCGGTCTATGCCAAATTTGGCTGCCACATTCTCGGCAGTGATGCCCATGTGGTACTGATTGAACGCGCACCTTTGCTCTCTCTGCCACGCTTTGCCACGCTATATAACCCCTTGGACTTGTTCATTGCCTGCATTGTCTAGCAGAGAGTCTAACAACTGTTTGTGATCTTGCCTGACCCACGAAACAAAAAGCGCACCACAGCGAAGACACGCGAAGAGCGATGAGAACATGTCAATCGAATTGCCCGTCAGTTTCTCCCTTGCTTGTTGCTGGCTATTGCTGACTATTGCTGACCCTCACTTCCGGTTACTGTGCGAGGTTCGTGTAGCGCGGTGTCTGCATTTTGGGAACACCCTCACACCTTCCAGCGGACTTCACCTCTTCCAGGGCTTTGAGCCGAAGGTCAGCGGCCCGTGGAGTGTCTCAGGTTATGCCTGTCTGGCCTCCCCTCCATTGGCGTGTGGAGGACTGCTTGGCGCACCTTGCGCGCCTCACTCTTTTGCATGCTTTGGTTCCGAGTTGCCCCGCACCCCAGGCACGCATGAGGTTGCGAGTTGCGAGCGACATTCAGAAAAGGTGCACGGAGAGCACCGTGCAGAGGATCTGCATGATCTCTCTCTTTCTATCGTTAAGTTCGGAAGTGACACTCGCTTTCCCACTGCTGCTACGGTAGCCCTGACTCGGATGCTTAGGCGCCACAACCCGTCGACAATCATTGAGTCGATCATCTTCCTCGATTGCACAGTGCGTCCCATCAGCACTGCAAGCTGAGAACACGAAGCTGCATATCATGACGCTGTGATGCAGATGCTTGTGCTGCAAAGCAGCCAATCGCCCATTCTTTGTCCGTCCCTGCTTTTGTTCAGCACGTGCGGACTGGACGACATGCTCTCCTGCAACCGCTTGCCCCTTTGGCCACATGATGCGCTAGAGCCAGAGCAGTCTCCTGACCACCAGCAATCACGATCTGGGCATCACCTCCAGCAGAGTCACACAGAAATGACATGCCTTGCTCACATACAGAGAAATAGCACAATTGCAAAAAACAAAGCAGCATTTCAGACCCTGGCCCGGCAGGGCCCCAAAATGATGGACAAAAACAAGTAACGGATCCCGAAGCCTTGTGGGCTTAAGGGTTTTGGGGTTTAGGGCCAGGGTTTAGGGATATTTTCCCCCTCATACTAACAGTCCCTGATAGGGATGATGATAGTACCCCTATGACAGCCCCTATTAAGGACTGCCAGTATAAGGGGGAACATTCCAAGGTATGGTCTTCCCAAACAGGTTCCTCTCCTTGGGGAGGGCGCCTGATGCAATCGCCTGCATCCCGAGGTGCAACGCCTTGAGGCCACTCCCGCAGACCTCGAGCGGTTTAGGGTTTTTGGGGTTCGGGGTTCGGGGTTTGGGGTTTAGGGTTTAGGGTTTAGGGTTAGGGTTTAGGATTTAGGGTTTAGGGAGATAGACATGAACAACCTATGAGCTCGGTTCGCGGCTTACCAACCCCCCCCCCCCCTCCCACTCCCAGCATGCCCCCGCCACTACTCAACCCTAAGCAAGGAAAGCCTAAACCCTAAACCTCAAACCCTAAACCTTGGGATGTTCCCCCTAAAACTAACAGGGATTCTAATGGGGGGGGAGTACTATAATCCCTATTAAGGACTGTTAGCAAAGGGGGAACATCCCAACCTAAACCATCTGAATCCTAGGCCGCAAACCTGGTAGAGGGTTCAGGAGTCCTTGAACAATGATGGTACGGGTAAAGGCAGCAACAAGAAAAGTGAGAGTCAGAAAGACAAGCATAGTGTATAGGGAACACAGGAATATGAAGACGAATGCAAACAACAACAAGAGCATCTCCAAACTGCCTTGTTGATGGTCAAGGCCGGGCAGGTCTCTGGCAGTCCAGCGCTGATGACTGCCTCGTCGCGGATCGACCAGAGTGTAGGGCTTAGGGTCGGGTCGAGGATACCGGTTTAGGGTTTAGGGATGTTTGGGGTTTAGGGCTTTGGGATGTTTAGGGATGTTTAGGGTTTCGAGTCGAGGGTTGAGGGTTTCGGGTTAAGGGTTCAGGGTCCGAGAGTTAGGGTTCCTCACCGCACATTTGCCTCGGGTCTTGCGGTAGGGGAGCGGTCGTTTTTTGAGGGTTCTGGCTTTGGGTTTCCTGACTCCGTGTGCTTTCGACTCAACATCCGGCTTGGGGTGTTTAGAGGCTGGGCGTAGGGCTTGAAGCTCCACCTCGACCTTTTGGGGATCAGGGCTTTTCGGCCGTGGTTGGGAGTAGGGGTTAGGGGAATAGGGTTTCTAAATCAACCTGCCCCTGGTAGGGATGAGGGCTTTTAAGCCTAGGGCCTCCAGTGCCAATTGCATGCTTCTGTTGCCCCTGCGCAGTGCACCCCCTCCCCCCCGCGCCAACCGCATTTCCTGTGCACTTTGTCCGGTAGAAACCTAGCCGCTTAGGGCTTGAACATCGATCCTCCCATCTTCTACTGTGCACACAACCGTCTTCTCTCTCAGCAGCGTACCCACCAGCATGTTTATCTGTTGGACCCTAAACCCTAAACCCTACCCCCAACGCCCGTCCCAAGCCTGCCGCGCTGGATTTTGGCCACAGCCGGCGGTAAGAACTTGCCCCAAAATAACCTGGAGCCGGGAACACTTGGGGGTTTCCGAAATAAGGGTAAGGGTTTAGGGTTGACATTAGGGGTACTCTATTGGGGTTCTTATTGGGGAATCCGCGGGGCGATGATAGGGGACCCGTCTTTTCGTAAACTCCCACTTCTGCCTAGGGCTTGACGGAACAGTCGGCGCAACAAAAGTGCAATGCCGTGTGGTGCCTCATCCACCATGTCGTTCTTCACCTTGCCGGCCGTGTCCTCGGTCCCGCGGAAGCACAGCGCTGCACTCCCGATTCTGTCGGAGAAGCAACAACCGTCGACATGTCCAGAAATGCTCGCACATGCGCACATGCTTTCGCTACTTTGCGCGACTGCATACCCCGATCTCACTAGGGGCCTTTCTGCAACCCTTGCCAAGTCTCGCCGATCAAGGCCTGGATTACCTTGGCGCCCAGAACATGCGCGGGCACAGCGGCAATGGCGCCGCCGAACTTGCCCACGGGCGTGCGCCTTGAGGCCGACATCACTGATGCAAGAATACAGGTTGATTGAGATGGGGGTTTCTGAAATCAGGGGTACTTTTCTAGGGTCCTTGTAAGGGAATTCTACCTTTTGGGGGTATATATATATATGTATATAATACAGGGGTCCCTTCTTCTCGTAAACTCCCAGATGTACCCAGCATGGCAGCATGTCTCCAAGCCCTTTTGCAACTCTGCACTCCAGCCTCGCAGCAACAACCACCACTTCCACCGCCTTTTGCGCCATGGCCGCGCAGTGACTGAGCCAAGCTGAGGCGAAATGCAGGAAGGCCCACAGCAGTGACCAAAGGATGCCTGTTTTGGGGGTTTTCGGATTTAGGGTTTAGGGGGGATGGCAGACGGTATCAGGTACCATAGGTAGTCGAACAAGCTAGGCCTCTCGCCATGGGCGCCTTGGCTGGGCCAGCGCACGGTCTCCTCGTCATCACGGGCACCACCAAGCCTCACAGCGGATGAAACCAGTGAGAATGATGCTTGTATATGGAGTAGGGTTTATACTTCTTGTATCCCCAAAAGGACACCAAGTATGTGCACTCACCAATATTAAACAGGAACCTTATATATACACATATATACACTCACCAATACCGGTAATACAAACCCTGTTTTATATGTTCCCAGAAGAGAGAACAGCTACTTGACAAAAATCATTCAAATCTGTTGCTGCCCGTTAAACCGGCGTCATGGGTGTCATGGGTGTCTTCATTCGGTTGGGGGGGTTACTCCGTCCATCACTGTCCTCTGTCCGGGGTACTATAAAACACCCATGACCAATGACACCCCATTCACGGTCTTCTCTGCGAGCCAGATGATTTGCAGCCTTCTACCCAGAATGTGCTCCGCACCTGCTGAACCCTAAACCCTCAACCCTAAACCCTAAACCCGTGAAGTCCGGGACCTCGTGAACCCTAAACCCGTGAAGCCCTCTAAACCCGTGGTGCCTGGGACCCTGACAGCATCGCATTCGTGCAAGGTATGGGGCTGATCCCCGGCGGCTGCCTCCAAGTGAGCTGAGCAGTCAGAGCTCCTTTTTCAGACGTTGGGGCACCCCTCGTTCACCACTAAATTTACAGTCTACCGCTCTGACCCCAAAATGGGACCCCTCAGTTTTTGAATCGAAGTCAATTCCCAGGGGCTCTTGCGAAAGGCCCCGGTGAGTTGCCTCAACTTTGTGATGGATGCAGCTGGCCTGGCAGGGGACATGCCGATGGCAAAGGCCGCCTCCCTCATGCTCACGCCTGCCTCAGGTGACAGGCGTTCGGTCATCGGTAGTTGATCATTTCGCCAAGGCTCTGGCTCTCTGGCATCTAGATCAAGAGCCGATCAACAACGCTCCACAGCCCTGCCAATAGGCCTCCACCCACCCTACCCTTGGCAGTTTTGGAATCAGACCCAATACCTGTTCTCGGGGAATTGCGACGGGTGGGGCTCAGAGACTTTAGGCTGCTGGCTGAAGGTTGGCTTCAGGGTTTGGAATTTCAGCCAGCACCGGGTTCAGGGCTCAGGGATGGCTAAATTCAGGGCGTCTATGGTCGAGAGAGCTTGGCTCAACAGCTGGGTGGATCCGGAGTCTGATGTTACCCTAAACCCTAGACCAAAAACCCTGCAGTGCAAAGGCTCCAGGTCAGCCTTTCTACTTTGCGAAGGCCTTGGTGGCATGGCCTGAGATGCTTCTATTTAAGCATTTCCGAAGAAGGGTCCCCGTCATTGAGGCGGCATCACGCGGCGACGCAAGGCGCGCAAGGGGCTCAGCGCTGGAACCCCCTAAACCCCAAACCCTGAGCAGCCCATCAGGCCACCTTGCCCAGGCGCCGCCCCGGCAACTTCGCATAGGCAGGCGAAGGCAACCTCACAGCTCTTGGTTTCAGCAGTTTTTGGCGTCTCATAACATGGTACAGAGTACAGTATAGCATCCTGTATACGAGTACCAAGGGCACTGTCTAAGCGGCCAGCTCCCAGGAGTCTGGTCGGCTCAGATTCGGCCTCCGCCCCACGGACAGAGAACCCTTCTCCCACTCGGGGTCTTGGTACCAAAACACATACACATCCGAACAAACAAACAAACAAACAAACAAGCAAGCAAACAAACAAGCAAGCAAGCAAACTAGCAAATGTCAACCCAAGCAATAAGTGTGTGCTCGCTCATCTTGCGCTATCTCACATGGCCGATGACGACCGGCCGCTCTGAACACGTTCTCCACTTGCTCAATCATACGAACTAAGCCACGCTTTCCGCCATCACCCACAAGAAGAACACACGGCCATGCAGCTACTTCATTGCGATGTATCGTGGCGCAAGCAAAAAAAACTCAGCAACCATCTTGTCGAGAGTGTCATGGAAACGGTTCTCACGAGCCTGCCAGCTCCGCTTGCCCGCAAAGCCTGGCAGTCTCTTTAGGGCCGCATAGGTTCTGAACTTAGACATGAAGTCCCAGTGCTCCCTTTGAAGCTAGAATGCAACAGTCTCGGCATGTGCCTCAAACTCGCGGCGCAGCGCCAACACGTCCTTGCGGATGCTCGTGGTAGGTCAGCTGAACACGCAAGGCCAAGTTTACTGTCACGCCAACTCATCTTTGTTCCGAAGCTTCCTCGGATAACTTTCACTTCCCGCACGCATCACAAGACCTCCAGAACCGAAAGAGCTCATGATGTATCGTCCTCAGCGACACCTCGTGCCCAGGCTTTGAGGCTCTTGGAGTCATCCAGGCCCTCACCGCAAAGGGAGCTACGCAGCTGCGTCTTGCATTTGAGTTGACTCGCTATGTGGCTGCTCAAAGGCACCCTAAACCCTAAACCCTAAAAACCCCAGACCCTAAATACTCAACCCTTACACCCCAAACCCGGCTCAAACAGCATTGGCTCCAGGCCGTGTGGTTGGATCGGCCCGTGTGCGCGGTGCGCCCGCTCGCAGTGGATCCTGCAAAGCAGAAGCCCAAACGTCAGGGAGTAGGGTTTAAGTTGGGATGTTCCCCCTTATACATCACAGTCCTTAATGGGGAATATAGTACCTCCCTATTATAATACCTATTAAGGACTGCTAGTATAACAGGGAACATCCCAAGGTTTAAGCCTAGGCCCTAAACCCTAGTAGTTAGGGTTTCGGCGGCTGGTAGACTGAAAACATCAGTGAAAAAAAACACAGCCTTGATCCAGAGTCCCTTTCCGCTTGCTTGGATGCTATAGGAGTTCAAGCTCCATTCTACATAGGCTGCTCCTTCACAAAGGGCGCCCGCCCATGCACTGCACAGGTAAGGCCAGGCTCCACAATGATGTACAGAGAGTGGAAACGCATTTGCTTTCGCAGGTCTTGTGCCAAGCATGTAGTAGCAGAATTCTCGTTGGCATGATTGTTGGTAGCATTTTCGTAGTGAAGTGCAAATCTTGGATACTCTTCTGCTTCACTTGGACTTCCGACACACTTCATGCGACTGCTTCATGCTTCACGCATGCCTCTATGTTTTCAATTTGGGTGTCGCAAGGGCCCATGATGACCACAGCTGCTGCGAGCAGGTTCTGTCTGGTTTATGGGGTAGGTACACCTGTTCACACCTGTTCACACCTGTTCACACCTGTTCACACCTGTTCACACCTGTTCACACCTGTTCACACCTGTTCACACCTGTTCACACCTGTTCACGGCCCCTGATGGTTGGGAGCCCGCTGCATCACCTTCGGCTTCTGTGAGATTCTTGGGCATCCTGCTGGAGAGAACCGGCCATGCTGTCTTCTTCTGTGTTCCCCAGAGAAATAGTGACTTGCCTGATGCTCAAAGTGGGCTTGGGATGGAACAGCTAGCACCAGCTCAGGTTCTCAGCCCTCAGCTCTCAAGCCCTGTGTAGCGTAGCCCCTGGCACGCCAGATAGATCATCACCATGTGCTGCAGGTGCCTGCTGAGAAGCTGCGGACGTCAGACGGCATAGGGGAGTGACAGTCAACGTCCACACCTGAAGGCCAGGCATTGCACAGTACACACAATACCGCTTTCAGCTCCACAAGACGGAAAACTTCAGCCAAGTCGCCATATGGGTTGCTGCGCGGCCGCGTTTGCATACGCTATTCATGCACGAATTCGTGTTGGATAGTATTCGTGGGGAAGACAATAGCAGTGGTGCCTCTCAATGTTCAGCATTCCGACATCTTGTTGCACACCTTGCAGACTTTGTGCAATAAAGGCCGGCAGGGGAGACGCAGTGATGCGATCTTTGGCAAGAGCGCCACACCCTCAGCATGACAGAGACCTGCTCGACACCGTGTCGGCAGTAGTCTCAAGAGCAAACCGCTATTGACGCCAACGATCTTCCTTTGTACCCTCAGCTCAGAGAGTCCTGTGTGTAGCTACCACTGTACATTGTAGCGGAGTCTATGTGAAGAGACTAACAATACGTTCAAACAGCAGAGGCGCAGGAAGCCGCAGTAGACAAAAGAAATTGTTCATACGGCGCAGGCTCCTCAAAAAACCTCTCCGAGCCCTCCTCAAAAAACCTCTCCGAGCCCAGTAGAAACGCGCACATGTTCATTGAATGGATCAGTCTTTTGTTGTTTCGGCTTCTCTAGTGACCACTTGGTTTCTGCATTTTCGGCTTCTCTAGTGACCCCCTTGGTTTCTGCAAGGCTGCTTGCCCTCACCACCCTGCTTGACGAGCACATTAACCAGGCGCACAAAGTGCCATCAGATGGACGGCGTTGGCTCGTAGCCGCTGTTCCTTAGCTGGTGATGTCGGCCGCTGAACATCAATCTCAATGCGGCACTATCTTATAACAAACTACAACAGCTTCAAGCGATGGATGGCTGACAATGTCAGTTTGGCTTTTGGGTTTTTGCGTGAGCTGGATAGGGGTGTCAAACTCTGCATGCCAAGAGTTCAGCAAGGTTCCAGTTCGATGTTGCTTAGTATTTGCTGCATTTGCTTAGTGCTCGAAGCCTTCCACTTTCTCCCTATGGTGATCAGGAGCTTGATTGCCTCTCGGCCTGGAACCGATCTCGCCCCTTTGCCGTCACCTCTGTCCCCTGAACAGTCCTAACCATGGCCCTTTGCAGAAACCCCCAAACAAGGCGACTTGCCCCCCCCCCCCCCCGGTTTCGAGAATGACCAAATTCGAGCTACAATGGCCATCTTTGCCGCTGATCGTTCTGCTGCTGCTTGCGGGGCCCAGCGATGGCTCGGAGGGGGGCTGTTCCATCTGGGCCGCGCACGGCCGCAGGCATCGTCCAGTTGCTGCTCTAACCGTGCTTGAGACCTTGCTGAAGCTGGCCAGGGGGGGGGGGGTTGGAGAAACACATCAGCAGCAGCTCTGGACACGGAAGACTTCAGAGAACCCCGGGTCGCCGGCACCTTCCATGGCACCAATGACCGATCGAAATGGCCAAGAGCCTTGCTTCTTGGGGCAGGAGGTGCTGTGAAGCATCCGAAAAGGCTGCCCCAACTTAGAACAACCCCTTCGCGCCCATCGGATGTCCGGGCCGAGCAGCTCCCCAATGCGTCAGCCAGCTGTCGTTCCAGCTGCCGCTCCTGGCAGGTGCAGATCAGTGGTTGCTCAGCGCAGGTATATACTGTTGAAAGACAAACTTAACCTTTCAACCCTCAACCCTCAACCCTCAACCCTCAACCCTCAACCCTCAAGAAACAGCTGCCTTGCCCACCTTCTCAAAAGGAAGACCCCCCAATGCTGCGCCTTGATGGCCTGCTCTTGCAACTTTTCGGCCGCTCGATTGGCCGCCTCCTTGAGGCTCGCCGCGTTCTCCTGAATCGAAGAGGCAGATGTTGAGAGGCTGGTGTTGAAACATGGGGTTGAACAATGGGTTGAAAACTGGGTGGAAGAATGGGTTGAAAAATGGTTGAACAATGTGCTGAAAATGGGTTTAAAAATGTGTTGAAAAAGGGCTCCTCTGAGTGCCTGTTGAGCTCCGCACCTCGGCGCGCGCCAGCTGGGCTTCCAACTCCCGCACACGAGATCGCCTTGGAGCTCATTGCTTGCTGGAGGATGCTGTGGGAAAGGATCCCGAACTGCGTCCTCTTTGCCTGAGCCTCACGCGGAGCGGTGTCGATCGAGTCGCCAGCCTACCGGTGCTCTACCAATCTAAGGGGCTCGGAATTTAGGATCATCGACTCACGCAGCTATATGCTGCTTACACAGCTTGTGTGCGGCCATGTCGGAGGACAGGTTAGGACCAACGCCACGGGACGTTCGGCGGAGGATGCTTTTGCACGTTGTATGTATATTATTTATTTATTTATTTAATGTATATTTATTTATGTATGTATTTATTTATTTCAAGTACATATGTGCACATGTGCGCAAGTTATCCAGTTGCTGCCGATGCGCTTGCCGAACAGACTCGGTGTCCTGGAAGTCCTTACAAAGTTCCTGCAGGCCCTCAAGTCTGGCTTGGCAGAGGTGTTCTGTGCTGTGCATCATTCGCATCGCCACGCTTCGCCCTTGCATGTCCCTTGCGCGTGCTTGCGTGCACAAGTGTTTCTCAATATTTAGGTTTTCTTGAGGCATCCAAAGCTTGTGCTCGCCCTATCGCGAGCTTGTGCCCGCCCCGAACGGTGTGCACGTTATTAGACAACTGAGTTTTCGCGAATCGCCCTCATCATCCTCACAAGGGCCCGCCAAAAAACAACAACTCTCACATGCCGAAGGCTCTCAATAAAGCCACCATTGCCCAAATTCGACCTCACCTCGCGAGAATCCTTCACCGTGTTGCGCTGCGCCTCCGCAAGCTGCGCCTGGCAAGGTCGTGTGCAACGCCATCTCTCTGAAATCCTGGGCAAACCCTGGACCCTAAACAGGTTAGGGTTGTACCGCTCTTATCCGAAACCGAACTTCAACCTGCAATTCTGCGTGGGAGCTCGGACAGGGGAGGAGCTTCAGGGACTTGTCGGGGCGCCTCCAGCTCAGCAACCCGACTGGCCAACAGCCTCAGCTTGTATGTGTCCATGTAAATGCTGACAACCTTTCTATGTAAGCATGTGTTTATGAGATTTGGGTATATTCTATATATGTTCAGTCCCTTACTTGGTGAAGAAATGTGCGATCCCACAGTCATCTCATCCCTAAACCCTAAACCCTAAACCCTAAACCCTAAACCCTAAACCCTAAAGCTCAAGCAGACTTGAGCAGGAGGCTTCTCAGCTGCCGCGCTGCCAAGGTCTCCCACGCCTCCCGTGTCAGCCTGTTCACAGAAGTTGAAGCAACCAAGGCATCAAAAGAGCGAGGCATGCAGGGTTTAGGGTTTAGGGTTTAGGGTTTAGGGTTTAGGGTTTAGGGTTTAGGGTTTAGGGTTTAGGGTTTAGGGTTTAGGGTTTAGGGTTTAGGGTTTAGGGTTTTGGGGTTAGGGTTTAGGGTTTAGGGTTTAGGGTTTAGGGCCCTTGTGACTTCGGACGTAAGCTTCTCATTGTCATCCGAGAGGACAAAGGCATGCATGCTGGCTTCCAAGCTTCCAAAATGTCACACACGCATCTTCTTTCGTGCGCAGAATCGCGGGTGCCGCAGCATCTCAAGCGAAGTCCTTCGCATCCTGTGCGGGTCTGCATCCAAACAAAGTCTGGCGTGGCATGATCCATCAGGACACTGAAGCAAAGGGGCGTGTCTTGCTGACATCATTCATTAATACAGTAGTATAGCACCCCTACTCGGCCGCAACGGGGTCTCTTTGCACCATACTGCACCTGGACTGCAAAATCACCTATAACCTTTGGGATGTTCCCCCTTATACTAGCAGTCCTTACTAGGGATAATGAATAGGGTGTACCATAATCCCTATTAAGGACTGTTACTATAAGGGGGAATATGCCAATGTAACCTGATGAAGTTCTGTCCACGCCTCTGTCGGCGGGGCGGACCACCTTCTCGTCTCTTCCCACTCGTCGAAGGCGACTTGCAGTCGAACACCTTCCCGAATCTCCGCAACAAATCGGGCAGTCTGGCGAGAGGCAGTTTCGAACCTCTTGCATGTTTCACAAGCATCGCATCCATTCTTGCATAATTCCTCCCTTGCACTTCGCATGGTGGCCTGGCCAGGAGCCGGCCAACTGGAAAAACACTGCGGTGCAGGATATGCACGGGTGGGCGGTGACGTACCTGGAGCTGCATCCAGGTACGTAATCACATCACCCTGCAGAAAGAGGCGGCATGGGGGCACAGGCGAATTCCACCCTTTGGCGAAGCAAGTCCTCACGGACGATTTGACAGCACAGCGGATCTGGCATGGTATGCGCATCATCAACAAGCCCAAAACCCTGCAAGCGCTGAACTGCAAAACCTCCAGCCCCAAAATCCCTGAAAAAAACCCTACAATCCCTAAGATCCCTAAAAGCCCCCAAAATCCCTAAAGTCCCTAAGAACTCTCAACCCCGAATGCCTAGAAAGCCCCTCCACCCCTTCAAGAGCCTCCCAGAAGCGCTTCCGCTTCGCCCAGGAGCAACAGCAAGGCCTGGAGCAGCCAGAGACTAACACGGCAATCGAGTAGAATTAGAATTAGAATTAGACAAATAGACAATTAGACCATCTTAGAGTTAGAATTAGAATTAGAACTAAAATTGGAATTAGAATTAGTATTTAGACTTGGAATTAGAGTTAGAATTAGAGTTGGAATCATAATTAGAAATAGAAATAGACATGACAATAGAACAGAATAGAACAAATTATTAATATATCTTTATAACGAGATAGTTTCATAGAACATAATGTCATATGTGAAGAAGATAGCATAGAGTAGCTGTAGGGTCAGGGAGTTAGAGAGTAGTTTGTCGGGATCCGCAGGCTATTGATGAGAACGCTTCGGGTTTGAGCATAGAAAGGTTCATTCCTTGCGATATGGCTCACATCCAACCCCTACTAGTACCTTTGGTATCCGTTGGCGACCCAGTGCCGGGGCCCAGTGCAACAAGATCAACAAGACCTTGAAAAGGCTGCGGCCTGTCGCTCCGCATGCTGCGAACGGTCATGGTCCGCTAGGATCGACGGCCAGATCACATCCACAGCCGCCTCCCTGCACAGGGAAACTTGCTTTACGCTACAAGCAACCACCTTGTGGGCTTACTTCCACCTGTGGCCAACGACTCGGCCAGCACTTGATGATGACGGCTGCTGAAGGCTGAGCTCACTTGCCACCTCAGTAGGCCAGAGCAGCGCTCACGGATGCCACGCTGCGCCAGCAAAGAGGCTCAGCACATCTCAGCACGACGCCCAAGCAGGAACCAATTTCGCCGCGAGGCTGGGAGATGCGACGAGGAAAATGCCTGACAATCGGCAGGGAGGCAGGGAGATGTCTCCGACCAAGGCAGAGCCGCAGGCGGCGCCTTCCGAGCTGTACAGCCGCCGCAATGCAAGCTGTCCTGCTGCTCAGCTTGTGCCTTGAAAAACATCCTGTTCCATACGCTCGCTCGTGCTTCCCTCATATACGTATGTTTTTGCATGTGTATGTATTACGCAGCTCTTACTTCTTTCGTATTGCTTTACGTCTTTATCTGTTTTCTTACGTTCTTTATGAGCTGCTTATGTTCACTTCTTCCTTTGATGTTTGTTTTTTGTTCTTTCTTCGCCTTGTTATCTGCGCCTTTAGTGTTCCGGTCAATGCTTCTTTATGCGATTACTTCGTTGTTTCGTTGCTTCTGTCGTTACTTCTTTGTGTCTTTGTTTCTTTGTTTCTTGCTCATTGTTTGTGCTCTATTTCTGTATTGCTCTTATCTCTTTATTTCGATATGGTTTCTTTCGTTCATTCTTTAGTAACTTCTTTGTTTCTGTTGTTTGTCTTCTTCATGTCTTTGGTTCTTTATTTCATTCTTTCGTTTCTTCTTTTATATTTCTTTCTCTTTCGCTGTTTTGTTGTTTCTTTCCTTCCTGCCTTCTCTTCATCTTAGATGCTTCTTCATTTCTGTCTGCCTGCTTTGCTTTCTTTCCTGCTGTCTGTCTCGGTCTGTCTCTGTCTGCCTCTGTCTGTCTTATCCCCCCTGCCGCCACCCTCTCACACACACACAACACGTGCACACCCCGCGCCCACCCCACCCCACCCGCAAAACCAAGGGCCAAGCACCCGCACATAGATGGTCACTCAGAAGCTATGCTGCACGTGCGTGTGCTTTGGCTTTCAAAAGGAAACGCCCGCAGAGTAGGGCCTGAGGGCACGGAGCGCAAGCAGGGTGCGGAGGGTGCGGCAACAAGGGACCCTTGGCTTTGGGAGCTGTAGAATGCCGAAGCTCTGCTAAGGCCACACCATTGTGCACAACATGCCCTCTGTAGCATCACAAATAGACAAACATGCCTGCCTGTGTAGGCCTTCTATCCTCTGTCTTCGCTTGGGATTTGCTTAAATGATTTTTGCTGGCATGACTTTGCTTGTGATGCCATTTTCGTCTATTCCTGAGACCTAAACTCTAAATCCGCTACGCTCTACACCTTGAGGCCCAAACCCTAAACCCTGCACACGGTCCTAAGAGAGTTTAGACTCGAGGAGGCCGACGACGACACGCCACGCACACGTGAGCGTTGTATCTTGAACAGAAGCGACCGCAAAATCCAAGCAAAACAAGCTAGAACGTGCAGCGAACGAAGCGGCAAGATCTCCAGACGGCCTCGCCTCCTGCTTGAAAACGATAAGTCTGAGTTTAGAACAAAATCACAGAACTCATCAGCCGTGCAGCAGCATGCGCCCAAGAATCCGATGTCGTCCGTGGAAAAACATTCGGACTGGATGTCAACCCCCACCCCGCCGCCCCCCCCCCCCCACACCCAAAAAAACGGCTAAAACACAATGAGTCGGTAAACAAGTCACGGCGTCTTATGTTAAGAGCGGTGGTTTCCGAGTCCTTGCTGCGGCGGGCAGCCCGCAAAATTTGCCTTGCGAAGCGTCTCTGCGATGCCAGCGCCCAAAGATGGCTGCCGCTGCAGCACCTGAGTCGAGCTTCTTGCGCACTGTTTGGGACCCAAAAAGGGACCCCTACTTAGGAGAAACTCCCCAGGTTTCTACCAGGGCCCCTCGCAGGATCTGCCAGGGGGCCATTGCCCTTGGCATGCCAATAGCGCAGCTGTTGGAAGCGGGCCCAGCAACCTCGAAGCACCTCGGAAGGGCTTCTAGGGACGACAAGGGCTTAGGGCTTCGGGCTGAGGGCTTAGGGCTTAGGGCTTCGGGATTAGGGTTTAGGGTTTAGGGTTTAGGGTTTAGGGTTTAGGGTTTTGGGTTTTGGGTTTTGGGTTTAGGGTAAGAGGAACTTCGTCCCTGTGGTTCGTCTTGTTACCCTTACTTGGGAAGCTGCGTACCTTGATCCATGGATAAAGACTGAGAGAGTTGACTGTGCTGTCGTTGAGTGCTCGTTGGAGCTGTGTGCACTCCTGCTCGCCCCTCCCCCATGGTTATGATAGCAATGCATAGTAACTTAGTACTCAGGACAGTGCTTTATCAACCATACTTCATAGTGTCATAGTTGCCGAAATCGCTTTATCAGTAGGGCTTCCTGTAGCACGGGAATGGTCTCAAGGCATCAGCACAACTTCTGCAGCCTCAATTTGGTGAGCTGGGACAGGGCGCTTTTCGCTCCAGAACAGCAGCAGTGCGGGAGTCAAAGCCTTGGCTTGTAGCATGCAATTAAGCAATGCGGGCCCAAGGCAGATGGCACTCCTAGCTGAGGAACACGGCGCATGCTCAGGCCTTTACGCCCGTGTTGCTGCAGTCTGCAAGAGGTCGTGGTGACGACCTGCTACGAACCACAACGCTGTGGAGTGTGGATTTGCGCTTGCTGAGGCTTTGGCACTAGGATCTTCGTCTGCAAGTGGCAGGGCAAGCAGCTCAAGAAGCCGAAACTGCCTTAAGATTCACACAGAACGTACAACTCGATGTGACAGCATGCAGATCTTACGCATATCGGGCACAGTACCAAATTAGCTGTGCCCTGTTCCATCCTTTGTTTCCCCTTTCTGGCGGGTCCTGCTTCCTGGGAAATGTCTTCGGAAGCTGGCCGCTTTCACATTCCGGAAGACAATGGCTGGACCACGGACCGCCGATTATGTTGACACAGCGAGACTCCATCATGATCAATCATCATCATCATCATCATCCATAGTCATATTCATCCCACATCATCCCCACCTCAAACTGACGAGGTTCTGCACTTCCTTAAACAATATGCCTCGGCCGACACCGCGATACTATGCGATCAAAGCTCCAGAACTTCGAGA